AGAGATCGGACTTGTGGATACCCGAGGAGGCAGAGTGGGGGGGGAGGAGGAATTGGAGGAAGGTTGCCAAAAGGTACGGACTTCCAGGTATAAGAAAGAAAGTGCTAGGGATGTAATGTACAACATGAGAGCTATAGCTAACACCACTCCCTGATACATAGGAGAGCTGTTAACAGTAACTCCTGAGAATTCTCATCACAAGGAAACATTTTTTTCCTCTTTTTCTTTTTGTCCCCTTCTCTTTTTATTGTATCTCTATGAGAGGTGGATGTTAGCTAAACCTACGGTGGTAATCATTTCACAATATATGTAAATCAAACCATTATGATGTATACCTTAAACATCTACAATGATGTATGTCAGTTATTTCTCAGTAAAACTGGGGGAGGGAAGAAATGCACTCATAGCCTCATCTCCATGACTTGGCATTGATGTCTGCAAGTACGGTCGCTCACAATCATTAACCCTAATGGAAGGAGGAAGAGTCTTGGCAGAGGCCAAATGACCCAGTGACCATTTACATTTAACATTGCTGTGTAATTGTATGTCTACCTCGGAATGCTAACATTACGCCACACCACCTTCCTTCCTGTGGGACCTGGCTGAAAATCTTGGAGAGTAGGGCGCCTGGGTGGCTCAGATGGTTAAGCGTCTGCCTTCGGCTCAGGTCATGATCCCGGAGTCCTGGGATCGAGTCCCGCATCGGGCTCCCCGCTCTGCGGGAAGTCTGCTTCTCCCTCTGCCTCTCTCTCATGAATAAATAAATGAAATCTTAAAAAAAAGAAAATCTTGGAGAGTAAACTTTTTAGATGGCCATGGTTAGTGTTATTTAGCAGTTATTCTTACTCAATTAAGATTTGTTTCTCTGAGCCCCTATGAAGTAAAAGCAGCTGAATACCATTTCCACCTTAAGCTTTTACTTTAAGCTTCTTGAAAGCTGAAAGAACTCTCACCAAGGAGTTGATCTAAACCTCAGACTTCAGAAGAAAACACTTGAAGCTTTTTTTTTTTTTTTTTTTAGCCTTCTTGACTCATGTTTATAGATTTCTTCAGCAATGACTTCTGGTTTATGGAGAAAAGATTTTAAACCAACTGACTGAGAGCATTTAGGTCTATCCCCAGGAAAATGATGAGTTCCATGTATGGTTGGTGTATTAGTTGAACATCTTTGGTTGCAAGTGAAAGGATACATGAAGGGCTGGAATGCTTCTGGGCTTCTGGAAGCCAGTGAAACCAGAATGCAGCGCCAGAAAGCTCCAGAGACCAGGAAGTATTTTTTCTTCATGTTTTTTCTCTCCATGTGTCTATTTCCTTTTTCTATCTCTTAGCTTACTAACTGCCTTTACTTCTCAGACATCCTAATATAATGACAGAATATGGCTACCACTTAGTTCCCAAATTTACATGTTACCATTCCTTCCACTTGAAAAGACTACTAGACTGTCTTTTGTCCCATGTTAAGTTCCCAGAGGAAAAGATCAGGATTTAGGTCAGATGTCCACCCTGACATTTATAACCTATTAATAGACGGTCACTTCCTACAAATAAGACTGCTAGGGGCCCTGCTTTATAAAACAGGATAATTTGAGCCTCATGGCCTAATAATTTCCTGTTAAATGGGCTTGGAACTGTCCGGAGAGTTCCCACCCCAGGAAAATTAGATTAGACTCACGCTAAAATTGTATTTTTTTAAATTTGATTGATTGATTGATATCACAAATGCATTGGTTTGACTATTTTGTAGTATTATACTCTTGTTACCAATACAAATGACAGCTTATAGTTCCTGTCTCCATTCATTTAAAATGGAAATAGTAATGGCCTTGAACAATCATCCAGTGTTCAGATCAGTGATTGTCTGAACCATTCAGGGAAGATATAAGCTCTTCTCAAGGAAATCCAGGAAAAGAAACTACAACCATCCTTCAGTGACCTATTCAACTATTTCTTTTTTTTTAAATCATGCTTTGACTTTGAAAACAGAACTGTGTAATTTTAGGAACCTAGACTTGAATTATTGACCTAGTATAGGCCCACCTCAACCGAGCCAAATACAATCAAGAACTTTTCTATTCCTCAGCAACTTATGAAAATAAGTCCCATAATACTGAAACAGCTTTTATTTCTTGATGGTTGCTTTCTATTTTATACCACCAGCATCTTCTTACTTACCTGTGTGACTATGATACAGTTTCTCAGGGCCTTCGGAATAAGATTGAAATTTCAGCTACTTAATCTTGAAGAAATAAATATCTCTGCCCTATTTTAAAAGACTTTTAAAGAAGATTCTTCAGCTTTTCCTCTACTGCCCACTGCCACATACTCCTGTGTGTATCCACATTCTGTGTATAAGAAAATGAGGTGGGACCTTGAATTTGTTCTGATATACAGTGGGTCATAGCTAATGACTGAGCCAGGACCGGAGTTCCTACTTTCTGATTTCCTGTCTGATGCTCTTTTTGAACAGTCTTTTTTTTTTTTTTTTTTAAGATTTTATTTTAAGAGAGAGAGAAAAAAAGAACACGATCAGGGGGAGGGGCACAGGGAAAGGGAGAAACAGACTCCCCACGGAGCAGGGAGCCTGATGTGGGACTCGATCCCAGGACCCCGAGATTATGACCTGAGCCAAAGGCAGACACTTAGCCGACTGAGCCACCCAAGTGCCCCTGCACAGTCTTATGAGGAGAAAAGAATCAGGTTAGAAATGTCTTGTGTCCTATGCCTTGAATGTAGACAAGTTCTTCCTAATCCCTTTGGTGGCCGCAGTCTCCATGGAAGGTCCATTCTATAAGAAAACACAGGCCTTTGCATACTTTTGTGTCTCTACAATCTTAATTCATAGCTCTTTTTTCTTTATTTCCTCTTAGATTCCTTTCAGGGTATCTGTGTGAGAGGAAAGAAAATTTCTCATTCATTTGCTCTTTAAATAAAAATATGTTAAGTACATGCTTTGTGTCAGGTCCTATGCTAGGCATAGCATGCATTACTATTATTGGACTCAGATAGAAAATTCTGTTGAGGGAGCGCCTGGGTGGCTCAGTCGGTTAAGTGTCTGCCTTCAGCTCAGGTCATGATCCCAGGGTCCTGGGATCGAGCCCCACATCGGGCTCCCTGCTCAGCGGGGAGGCTGCTTCTCCCTCTCCCTCTCCCTGCTGCTCTGCCTACTTGTGCTCTCTCTCTCTGTGTCAAATAAATAAATAAAATCTTTAAAAAAAAAAAAAAAAGAAAATTCTGTTGAATTCTACTTTAAAAATTCTAGGTGATTACTTGCAAAACACAGCAAAGAGCTGTCATGTCCATACTCCCCATTAGATCACCATGATACGAGGTTAGCCATGCAGTGTCATTATCCCAATCATATCTCTTTGATGAGGGCAATGTGTGTAATAGTGATAGCTCGCAAGTGTTAAGTGCCAGGTACTATACTTGGTATTTTACGTTCATCATCTTATTTAAGCCTCACAACAACCCGGTGATGGGTGTTGTAAATACCTTCTTATAGATGAATAAACTGAGGTTCAGGCAAAAATGGTTAACATTTAAGTCATTTACTGTGTACCAGGTACTGTGTTAGGTGCTTATATGAATTATGCTTAATCCTTACAAGAGCCCTATGATGGTCAACATAATTATTCCCATTTTAAAGATGAAAAAACTAGGATTCCAAGAGGTTAGGTATATTGCTCAGGTCATACTAGTAAGTGGTCTAACTTAGTTAAGAGTAGTAATTATACACCTAGCTTCACACTTCAAAGCCAAGATTAGGATTTCTCTTGAATTTTAGTCTAATATTCCTGCCTTCAGAAGTGGATCATGGGTGAGATCACTCTTGAGTCCTATGTGTCAAGGCACTGGGACTGCCTTCCGTCTGTCCTGGTACACTGGCCTCCCTGGAGGGCTCAGTGCTTTGTTGGCCATTTCCTATGGATGGCCTGATGTCTGAGCGTGCCCAGGAGAGTCTTAAACAGAATCCGTTTTGACCCAAACATCATGAACCCACCACCATGTTTTCCTGTGTCTCCTATCACTGATACCTCCCTTATAGTTGAGAAAGCTACACGCAGGTTCAAATTTGAACCAGTGGCTTGTATTTAAACCTCAAATTCAAGTGGGTTAGATTTTGTTTTGTTTTGTTTTCAATCTAGGACAGAAAAAAAGCCAGTTGTAGAGAACAGGGCATATATGTGGTCCAGAGAAGGTGTATTTGTAAATGGAAAGGCAAACTGTAAATACTGGGTTGATAATAATTAACCTTTTCAATACATTGGTATTTCCAGAACCCTTGGGAAAATATTTATCGTACTTTCTCACAACTTGGCTTTTAAACTTTCCAGTAGTTCTCTGTCCAGCCAGGAGACCTCCTCAATCCCTGATCTTCTCATTTGTTTATTCAGTGAATATTTACTGAGTACCTGCTGTGGGTTAGGCAGTCTAGATACAGTTGTGAATGAGACAGATAAATAATTAATTATAAGCATGATAAATGCTATAGAGGAAAGTATAAGGTGCTATTAAATTATTAATAATAATGGGGGAGGGAGAAGAATTGAAAGTCAGGGAAGGCTTTCTGAGGGAATTGCTATTTAAGCTGAGCCTGAAGAATGAAATGGAGTTAGGCGGGTAGGACAGGGGAATGGAAGGAAGCATTCCAGACAGAGGGAAGAGTATGTATGAATGCTCTGAGGCAAGTAAGAGCCTGACTCATTTGAGGAGCTAAGCAGCAGTCAGACCCAGGAGAGTACTTCCAGGAGGAAAAGAGCCGCATGTTGGAGAAGGAACTTTCTTTTTCTTCTTAAAAATTATTGACTTAAGAATTAATACTTCTGGAAAAATTGATAATATTGCTGACCCATTGTTATTCCCACGGCATAAGAGAGAGAGTGGCCATGGTTCAAGGGTGGTGCTGTGGGGAGGAGTAGAAGCCAGTAGCTAAGAGGGAGGCTGGGGGAGGTGGGGAGGGCTCTGAAGTGACTCTGATTCTGGGGCTTCTATCTCCTCAGGCCTTAAGACCATTGTGGGTGCCCTAATCCAGTCAGTGAAGAAGCTGTCCGATGTGATGATTCTGACAGTGTTCTGCCTGAGTGTCTTTGCCTTGATTGGACTGCAGCTGTTCATGGGCAACCTGCGAAATAAGTGTGTTGTGTGGCCCATAAACTTCAACGAGAGCTATCTGGAAAATGGCACCAAAGGCTTTGATTGGGAAGAATATATCAACAATAAAAGTAGGTGGCCCCTTCTCTGCAAGGGGCAAAAGACAAGTCTGTCTCTAATTTACATGGTCTGATGCCATCACTGGGCTTTAAAAAGTAGTTGGGGCCAGAAAGGAGTCCAGTGCTACTGAGGTTATTCCCTGTCCTCGGGGTAACACTGTGTTCAGAAGCGTCTCTGGGTTTTTTCTCTCCCTTTAAAACCCAACGTGAAACTCTATAGCTTTTTCACAGGCACCCCTAAACTTTTGCTTTCAAAATCAGGCTTAGGAGTTCGATAAAAATACCTTTTGCCCTAGTTGGGTTACCTCAGATGGTTCAGAAAATGCCTCGTAAGCTCTCTTCATGTTACTATGACCTTAGTAGTCAGCCTGGTGTGGGAAGTCAGGTAAATCTCTAAGTAACCATTTGAGCCCCTTTCAGTGAAGGGGTTTTAATAATTTCATTTCAGGAACCACAGCACTTGGGTCTGCACTAAGGAACATTTGGTGTGGTAGTACTTCCATAAAATAATTGGGAAAATTTAGCAATATCATTGTTCATCACCCTGGAGGAACTAAAGGCACTTAAGTAGCCATTAAAAAAATGTTATTGCAAAGGCAATTTCAGGGACACATACAGGAAAGGGGAAACATGCCTTCTAATTAATACAGGACAATGTAATGTGATTAGTGAGGGTTTTAGCCTCTCTTTGGTAAAGAAAAGTTTAAAGGATAGAAGGCTAAAGTTGTATGGAGGAGTAAAGAGCTCAGAAAACTCACTTTCAGACCCCTTAGACTCAAGCACCAGAAAGTAGCATATAGATGTCAAATATGAGTGGAGGCCAAGTATCTGTGAAAAGGACTTTGGATTAGGGCTATATGGTAGCACTTTTCATTTTTAAGTATATATAAGAAAATAATTAATGGGAAAGAATTCTTACCAGGTTTTACTCTGTCAGAAAAGATTTATATGAGCTAAAATCAGTGACTGTTTCTGCCGGGGCTAGTTAGGAACAGTATAACCTTATTCTCTCATTCACTTAAATCTGCCTTATTCATTTCCTGCTCTTTAAACTTTTCTAGCAAATTTTTACACAGTTCCTGGCATGCTGGAACCTTTACTCTGTGGGAACAGTTCTGATGCTGGGTAAGTAGCTCGCCTAATTTTATTCTTCTCCCTTAAAATAATGTGTCAGATGAAAATGGGCAATATTTTCACTTTTCTTTGTACTCATGTAGTAGATCCTAACTGGGTCTGACATATTGGTTGACTCAGAGTTTCTTCCTGTTTCATATTCGTCCATCCAAAATTGGCATTTCACTAGTAGGTGAATGTGCCTATAGTCTCAAGCCAAAATTAAAAATGTAAAAGGCTAAGGATAGAGTCTATAACACCAGATACCTTGCCTGTCTCTTGTAGACTCCCCTCATTCTATTATAACACGATTAATAAAATATAGAGTAGGGACACTGCCTTGATGATAGATTAGTACCAAGGATGACCCAAAACATAGCAGGCCTGATGGCATGGGGAGGGAACAGAATAGCAACATAATATTTTTCTCCATTTTTAAAAAACATTTTATTTATTTATTTATTTATTTATTTATTTATTTATTTATTTATTTGAGAAAGAGAGCCCACAAGCAGGGGGAAGGGGAGAGGGAGTGGGGAGAAGCAGACTCCCCGCTGAGCACGGACCTTAAGTGGGACAGGATCCCCAGACCCTGGGGTCATGACCTGAGCCAAAGGCAGCCACTTAACCAACTGAGGCACCCAGGGGTCCCCTTTTTTTTTTCCATTTTTAAAATATTGTGGTAAAATACGTAGAACATAAGATTTACTCTTGTAACCATTTTTAAGTGTCCCGTTCAGTAGCATTAAGTACATTCACAGTGTTGTACAACCATCAACACCATCCATCCCCAGTACTTTCCATCTTCCCAAACTGAGACTGTACCCATTAAACACTAAATTCCCATCTTCCCCTCCCAGTCCCCTAGTGACCACCATTCCACTTTCTGTCTCTATGATTTTGACCACTCTAAGTACGTCATGTAAGTGGAGTCATACAGTGATTGTCTTTTTGTGACTGACTTCTTTCACTTAGCATGATGTCCTCAAGGTTTACCCATGTGATAGCATATGTCAGAATTTCCTTCCTTTTTTAGGCTGAATGATATTCCATTGTTTCTGTATGCCACATTTTGTTTATCCATTCATCTGCCAACAGACACTCAAGTTGCTTCCATATTTTAGTTATTGTGAATAATGCTGCTATGAACACAAGTTTATAGCAACATAATGTGAATCTTGATTCTGCTACTTTTAGCTTTGAGACTTTTGGCAAGCCTTTCAACTTAGTTGAGCCTCAATTTCGTCATCTATAAAATGGATTTAATAAGTCACATTCTCAATTCCTCAAAGGGTTATTTTAATGATCCAATTAGATAACATACATGAAAGTGCTTTGTAAACAGAAAATTATATAAATGTGAGGGTGTCAAATCATTATCCAGAGTATATTGGTCCTCTAGGAATTAGTGTTTTAAGATGACCATGACAACTAGAAGTCCGTTTAATTTCTCTATCAAAGTAGATACTAGAAATTACATTGAAATAACTATCAGGTGAATCTAAAAGCAGGAGAACTGATAAAACCAAGGTCACTGAAATCCCCAGTATGACTTAGGTTGTCATTAAGGTTGCGTATTCAGAGAAGAGAGAGGGGCGCCTGGGTGGCTCAGTCATTAAGCGTCTGCCTTCGGCTCAGGTCATGATCCCAGTGTCCTGGGATTGAGCCCTGAATCGGGCTCCCTGCTTGTCGGGAAGACTGCTTCTCCCTCTCCCACTCCTCCTGCTTGTGTTCCTGCTCTGACTGTGTCTCTCTCTGTCAAATAAATAAATAAAATCTTAAAAAAAAAAGAGAGAGAGAGAACAGATGATTAAGAGGAACTTCTAGCTGGCCATTTGTCATTTGGGATAGTAGCTAAGATGAATTTGGTTGAATTGCACATTGATGTAAATCTAGAACAATGATTCTCAAATTTTGGCGTGCATAAGAATCACCTGGCATGCCTCTTTAAAATGCAGATTCATGGCTCCCATGTCCAGAGCTTTTATTCCTAGGTCTGGGTAGGACATAGGAATCAGCATTTTTAAGAGGCATGCCTGGTGATTCTGATCCTAGGCTGTTCCCAGAACATCATTTTTTTTCCTTTAAAGTTGACCTGACTAGGGACGCCTGGGTGGCTCAGTCAGTTGAGTGTCTGCCTTTGGCTCAGGTCATGATCTCAGGGTCATGGGATTGAGTCCCAAATCAGGCTCCCTGCTCAGCGGGGAGCCTGCTTCTCCCTCTGCCTGCCACTCCCCCTGCTTGTGCTCTATCTCTCTCTCTACGATAAATACATAAAATCTTTAAAAAAAAAAAAAAAGTTGACCTAACTACTTTGTTCTTTCTTCTTTTTCCTTTTTTTTTTTTTAATACCTATTTTTTTGGCCTGACTTTCTAGATGGTTACTTATTATCTCCACTGTCCTGGAGATAGCTTAGAGTTGATGTTTGGGTAGAATTATACTGAAAAACCCTCAACTTCCCTTTCTTTTCTCAGGCAATGCCCAGAGGGATACCAGTGTATGAAAGCAGGAAGGAACCCCAATTATGGTTACACAAGCTTTGACACTTTCAGCTGGGCCTTCTTGGCATTATTTCGCCTTATGACCCAGGACTACTGGGAAAACTTGTATCAGTTGGTAAGTAGTAACACCTCTTTTTTTGAGTCTGCCTTTTTTTTCTTTGGTGACAGAATTTGCATGAGGGTTTGTGGGTTTGGAGACATTCTGTGTAAGAGACCTTCAGGGAAGATATTATATAGGATTATAGGATGTTGTTTCTCAGAGTCAGCTGGTTTACAAAATTAAATGAATTCTCCCAGCTCTTGTCCCTGTTTCTTTAGTAGCCAGTCACGTGTAGCTGTAGAGGCTCACGGTCTCGACAGCCTTTTCCCTGGCCTGGGAATCTGCTATCTCTGTTTACTTCCTGTTGTTTCACCAGACCATCTGCAGTATTTCTCTTCTCAGATTTTTGGCTTAGAACATCTTTTTAGGGAATATCAATTAAACATACTGTACAAGGCACTATGCTAGACATTATAAGGATGAGATTTCTATCCACAAGGATCTTGGATTCTCAACGTATCAACATTTGTGAGATTTGTAACACATCTGAACTTGTTCAGGCAGGTTGTGACAGATTCAAAAAAAAAAAAGGTCTACCATTCTGTTGGGCTATCTTGGTGACTGTAGGCAAGTCATTTAACTTTGCTGGTGGTGATGGAGAAGTAAGTCTGGGTGATTGCTAAGGGTCTTCCAGCTTAGAAATTCCATGATAATTCATTGTTTTCTATTTGACTCTGTCATTTGGTGATGCCCGTTTGAGAATGAGAAACATGTCTCCCTCAGACATGAAGGATCTCTTGAAGGGAAGCTTCTAATTTTCAGATCCCATAAGGAATTCTTACTTTCCATTGGACAGCCTAGAGTTCTCTTAGGTTCAAATCTTTTCTCCTGAAATATTTACGGTTGTTGCTAAGTTCCATTAAATATTTGTGGTTGAAAAGAATAACAATGAAAACTAAGTAATAGTGGGTCACATATACATAACCTAAAACCCAAGTGTTCTTTGATGTCTGTTTGCTCACTAAGAGTGAAGGGAATAGTCCAAGGATCTTCTTTTCTCTCTACTGTTCTTTATGCCATATCCCTCTTTAAAAACCCACCTTCTTTCTGAAGGATAAGGAAGGATGTCACTTAAGATGGGGACTTTCTGTGACTTGGACCTGATCCCTAAGTTGAAGTTTGTCTATTAATGCTCTTTGAGGACCCGTAGATAAATGAGCTGAAGTCTTGTATTCTTTTCTTTATACTTGTTTTAGAACCAACTAACAAAGTCAAATATAATTCTTAGCTCAGAGCATTTTTTCCTTTAAAAAAAAAGAATCAAGTGTTTTTCCATGAAAGGAGTATATTAGGAGTATTTGGAAATGGAAGAGGATTTTTTCTGTCACAATGAATGGGAGGTACTAGTGACATTTACTCTGAGTTGAGGAATAGAGGAAGCCATTTGGCCATTGGGATGCTAAGTGCTCTGCAATATGAAGGCGCACCACACAATAAAGGACTGTTCTTTTTTTTTTTTTTTTAAGATTTTATTTATTTATTTGAGAGAGAGAGAATGAGAGAGAGCACATGAGAGGGGGTAGGGTCAAAGGAAGAAGCAGACTCCCTGCTGAGCAGGGAGCCCCTTGCGGGACTCGATCCCGGGGCTCCAGGATCATGACCTGAGCCGAAGGCAGTCGCTTAACCAACTGAGCCACCCAGCGCCCCAATAAAGGACTGTTCTACTCAAAATGCAGTGGTGCCCCTGCAGAGGAGTATTATCCCATGAGTTATTTTCAGCCTGGTTCATTTGATGCACGTGACTCAGAAAATGGTTTCTGTCTTGACAGACTTTACGAGCAGCTGGGAAAACGTACATGATCTTCTTCGTCTTGGTCATCTTTGTGGGATCTTTCTATCTCGTGAATTTGATCTTGGCTGTGGTGGCCATGGCTTATGAAGAGCAGAATCAGGCAACCCTGGAGGAGGCAGAGCAAAAAGAGGCTGAATTCAAAGCAATGTTGGAGCAACTTAAGAAGCAACAGGAAGAGGCACAGGTTGGTGATCAATTCTTTGCTACAGTAACTTCCTGCCAGATCACCATGACTAAGGCTCCATCTGATTGTCATTCCAGTTGATCTTTTTTAGGCACATGGTCAAACAGAAGTCATTAATCTGATTAAAATAACCCAAGTAACAACTGCAGATGGTTGGTCCAGTTATTCCATTTGTCTTAATGGCCCAATTGTTTGTTAATATGATCTCTAGTTGAATTTCTCAACTGTTTAGTGTTCATCTGCTCTGGTGGCTGGGAGGAAGACAAGTGGCCAGAGCAGGGTATATGGTGTCTCATGTAAGCACAGCCTTTTTGTTGAGGAAATCGTTAGGATCTCCTTCAGAGATTCTCTGCAGTCATGAAAATATTGGCTGTAATTGAAAAGAAGACACATGTAAGATAGTAAAGTAAAATTTGAAAAACAGACTAGTGATCCCACCACCCTAACACTTTGCTCTCTGATCCTTATCCAAATACACAAATGTTTTTATACTATTGGGCCCATAATATATAATATAGTTTCTTAGCATTCATTTTCAGACTTGCCCCAAAGAAATTTTTGGTACCAAGAAGGCAGCTAAGTTCTTGTCTGAGAAACTCGAGAGAATAAATCCCAGAGTTCTCACCACTGGGTTCTGCCCTGATTACATAGGGCCATGTGCCATAACACAGATCAACCAGAAAATGGAGACAGCCAGGTCCTGGCCACAGTCTCCTCAACGGGCTGGTCCGCCTTCCTCCTTTCCCCTGCTTCCCCCACATGTGGGAAAGGAAATGATCTGCACTGGTCGCGTGGCTTCGGGGGGCTCCAGTTAACAGCTTCTGACCGGCCTGCCACTGTGGCTCCTCCCCTAGGCTGCTGCAATGGCAACCTCCGCAGGCACTGTCTCAGAAGATGCCATCGAGGAAGAAGGTGAAGAAGGGGCAGGCTCTCCTCGCAGCTCCTCTGAAATATCTAAACTCAGTTCCAAGAGTGCCAAAGAAAGACGTAACAGGAGAAAGAAGAGGAAGCAGAAGGAACTCTCTGAAGGAGAGGAAAAAGGGGATCCTGAGAAGGTGTTTAAGTCGGAGTCAGAAGATGGTATGAGGAGGAAGGGCTTTCGGCTGCCAGACAACAGAATCGGGAGGAAATTTTCCATCATGAATCAGGTAAACTCTCTGCGCTGGGTCAAATAAGCCTAAGAAATTCTGCTTTTCCTAATCTCACTTGATTCTCGAATTCACTGTCTGCTCTTCATTTTCCAGCCCCTTCCCTACATCCTCTGGCCTACCTCTCCATGCTCCATACTCTTCTCTAGAGGCAGGTTTTGTGGGTGTGTTAGGATGGTCCTCTGCTACAAGGCTGTCCTCCCCACCCCCAACTGCTCTAGCCAGCCCTAGGACCGTGTGATCACCTTTGGCAGACTTACTTCAGCTGGAAGATTCGTGTCACACCAGTGGGCCTTCCATTCTGAAACTTCAGGAAGTACCTTTCTCCTTAAACCTTGGAACATCAGAATTTAGCTTTCAAACATCTCTGTTTAAGAACTGCATATAATTATAGGTTAAAAAAAAAAGAGTTCTGAAACTCTTTAGGTCACCTTATTTGAGTGTGGCAAATTCTAGTAATTAATTATTCTAGATATAGTGTCATGCTGATAAATTAACCTATGGTAGATTAAAAGCCTCCAGTTGTAGCCAACTTTGATAAATGGGGAAACTAAGAGAAAGAGAGAGGAGAGGACTTATGGATAATTGCTGAGCATTCTGTTACTATAAATAATACTACATAACACCTATTTTTGGATTTCAAAGAACACCACCAAAATCCAATTCTTAGGCCATTTAATTCCCCATTTTAAGGAAATGCTAGAAAGTTTGTATGGTATAGAATAGATTACAGTTACCAGTTTTATGGCAGAGTACCCAGTGTTTTTTTTTATCTCCCAGAGATGCTTCACTGTGCCTCTCCCTTGTATCTCTCACCTCCCAGTTCAGTCTCTGCTAGTCCTGTTCATTTTATCACAGCAGAATCTCTCTCGTATCATCCCCTTCTTTCTATCCTGTTAATCCTTAGTTGAGACCTTTGTTTTGTTTCATTCTACTACAATTAGCCAATGCAGGTTAGTTTCCTCTGATCTTTCTCCCTCTCCTGCATGTTTTCTATACCATTGACAGAGCGCTTCTTAGTAAAACAGAGCTCTCATTATTCACTCCCAAGCAGTCACGGAGTGCCTGTCATGCGTCAGGGATTATGACGGGTCCTAGAGATTCATGGGGGTTCAAACACCATCCCTGTCGTGAAGCGGCCTCTAACACTTATTTCTGTAATAGCATCGGTGGTTCCATATTGTTACATAATTGCACTAGGCTGGAGTGTTTTAGAGGGCACAGATCTACTGCAGCCTGGAGGCTCGGCAACAGCTTTCTTGGGAAGGTAAATAAGGGACAAATGGGAATTAGGTAATGTATGTGTTGTTGGTGAGGGAGCAGTAGGACAGAAGAAAGGACAGGCCAGATTTGGAAGAAAAGTAACTTCCGGTATGGAACCCCAAGCTTGAATTACTTGTTGGATAACCAAGTAGAGAGGTCTTTTAGACACACAGACAGGCAAGTGATAGCTTTGGGAAGAGGTTCTGAGGTGAGAGACGGTGACTGGAACCGTGAGACTTGAGATACTCAGAGAGGTTGTGTCAGGTAAAGAAAGGAATGGTGGGCTAGGGACACGACCACTGATGTCCATGGGCATTGGAGATGGAGCTCATGAAGGAAAACAAATGAATGGTCATCAGAAGTGCCTAGAGAACCAGTTCAGTGAAGCCCGGAGAGCACAAAGGTTGGAGAAAGCAGGGGAGTGATCAATGGATTGAAATTTAATGGAAATGCTTCATGTGCTCAGAATTGGAAATATGTACTGGATTTGGCAATATAAGTCATTGAGAACTTTAAAGACATATTTCAGTCCAGCATAAGGATGGATACCATATGGAATACAGGAAATTCAAAGTCCTTTTGGAGGGAATGAGAGATTGAGTAGGGGGTTTAAAGAAAATATTGACAGTGTAGAATAGTTATCATGAAGAATGGGAGAGGGAATTATCCTAATCAAATTCACTCTGTTTACTAACAAAGCGCCAGCCCTGTAGCTGGCAGCCCTAGCAGCCCCCTCTTCTGGTCTTCTCAGTCCCCAGTCACTGCGCCCTGTCAGGCACCCTGCGCTTACACTAGAATGAACTGCTAGATGCTTCTCATGTTTGTTTCCTACCCTCAGTTTTGCTCCAGAAACCCCTCTCTAAGATGCCCTATTTTTCTCTCAATGTCCACACCATACTTATTCTTCACATCCTTCTCTCAGAAAACCATCCCTGACCTCCCCCATTCCACACTTCATTGGACATTACCATTTCATCTTTCTATTATGTTTTATACATACCTCTTTATGTGTTGCTTTTTACTCTGCATGGACTCATATTCTTTCCTCTCAGATAAAGTGCTAAAAGCAGGGCCTGCATATGGCTAGCATTCAGATATTTGTTGGACAAATGAATGGGGGATTTTTATAAATCTGATTTCACCTCTTCTGGGACTTCTTTGTGGCCTGGAACCATCTCTCTGTCTCACCTTCACCTCACCTTTCTCCTAGTTCAGCTTTTTTTGGGGAAAAGTGTGATTCAGCTTTGTTGTCATCCAACCCTTGTCTTGAGAGCCGTCACTGAGCTAGTTAATGAATACCTTAGTGCTGTTATTGAATGGTCTCTGATTAATCTATAGGCTTTAGCACAGAGTTGCACTGATTGCTCCCTAGCTCAAAAAATAAAACCGGGCTTCTGAAATGTCCTGCTTTGCATGAAAATGTTCACTTCCTCTCATTTCTCCATCTGAAAAAAATTGTAGATTCCTAGAGGGCATGGCTGTCTGCCAAGACTTGCTGAGAAACCCCACATGGAAGTCATATTCTTTGTCCCAGGACTATTCTGCAGTTTCTCTGGTTTTATCTGGAAGAATGACTGAGGAAACTAAGGCCAAGAGAGATTAACTAACTCACCTAAGGTCATATGGCTAATAGGTGTTAGAATCAGGATTTGAACGAGGTCCTTCAGACCGCAGAGCTTGTACTCCTGAACACTACGGTATATAGCCACCCCTCCCCACTCACCACCACACATACATGGTCTTCTCTTATTGGCTCACCAGTGAATGTGGCTTCTGTTTCCCATGGCCAGTTCAGGTGTATGTCCGTCTCCTTTATTGCCAGATCTTCAGAGAGCCCCTTAAGACATCTGCCCACCCCATCTCCTACTCATTTCTCTATAAAATTACTGCTTTTGTTATAGGGCTTAGGACAGTTCATAAATAGTAAGTATTATCAGTTTTTCATAGTATTTTAATTTTTCCTTTGCAGCATTTCTCAAGCTTTTTGGTCTTAGGACCCCTTGATGTCCTTAAAAATTGAGGACCTTGGGGCACCTGGGTGGCGCAGTCGATGGAGCGTCCAAATCTTGGTTTCAGCTCAGATTTTGATCTCAGGGTCATGGGATCGAGCCCCACATCTGGTTCAGCATGGAGTCTACTTAAGACTTTCTCTTTCTCACTCTCCCTCTACCCCTCCCCCTCACGCTCTCTTGCTCGCTCAAAAAAAAAAAAATTGAAATTAATAAATCTTTTTAAAATAAATAAATAAATAAGAATCCTTTGCTGTATTAGCACCATAGATCTATAACTCATGAATGATTTGTAGTATCATGCACTGATCATTTGGGAAATACTGGTTCACTGAGTTACACAGATCTTCCAAGTACTGACACACAGTATTAAAAAATCACATACATTATTATCACTACCAATTCATCAGGAAAGTCCAAATACTGTGAAACTGTCAGGCTCCCAGAGTCCACTCTATACTTGTGAGAAAATGAAAGTGATAAAGGCAGATATCATCTTAGTATTTATGAAATAGTTTTGACCTCTTGAGCCCCCTTAAAAGGATCACAGGACCCCCAGGAGTCGCTACACCACACTTTGAGAATGCCTGCTGTTTGGGGAAGAAAAAGTGAAGTGAAGAAAAAGTGAAATATGGCATGGACATAGAACATTTAAATCACCAAATTGTCACATTCTAAGCATCCCAGTCACTGTTAAGCCTTGTCCCAACAGACGGCTGACATGGATGCCCTAAAATCCTCAGTTTTTCCATGGAAAAATATGAGGGCCACCTCCTCAAATCAAGAACACCCCAGAGCCATTCTCCTAAGCAAGCACCTAGACCTAAGGTAGTATATTTAGTTAGCTGTGATGTGCCTGCCTGAAAGGGACCAGAAGCTCCTGATTGGTGGACAGGGAAGATTTTGAAGACAGAAGCTAAGGCCCACGCATTTTATAAAGCAGCCTGGATCCCAGGAGTTAATAGAGCCAAGGGTCCTGAGTCATCACTGAAACCCTCCAGCCCAGGGAAGCTGAGACTGGAGAGAGGCTGAGGTGGATAACCTCAAGACGTATCTCCTTAGAGAATGGGCTAGAGCAAGATTGAATGCTGGGTCCAAGGAGAGATGGGGCAAATTATCTTTTCCCCTTCCACATTTATTACAGGCAACTCTTTTGCCAAGAATGGAACAGGAAATTAAAGAATAATAGATTGTTTTCTTTTAGTGTGTATTGTCTTAGGATCCTCATTTCTGTGTGTTTGTAGGTCACTGAATTGATCATTATGTTACTTATCACTTCCCTATCAGTTAAGAATAGATCTCATATAGTATATATTTCTGACTAGGCTGCAGGGTGTAAGAGAGCAGGGACCATGTTGTATTTCTTCTTTACCACTATATCCATCTCACTTAATACACAGTGGGTATTTAATGATCATTTGTCAAATAAATGAAGCCTCTTTCCTAATGTACCGTGTAGTGTCAGCAGCCAGCATTGGCTTAATGTAAAACCACAGATTTAGTCCAGGGACGTGAACTTCTATGAGAAGTGAGGCAGTGACCCAATGCAGGTGCGGGGTAATGCTCAGGTGTGGGGGGCTAATTTACAGTATATAATCTAAATACATGTTCATTAAATTAAGCACTGTACCTACAATATACAAAGCACTCCAGGAGATACAAAGATGAATCAGGCAGATTGCCCCCAAAGAGCTTGTAGTTGGTTAAAAAGGAAAGCTAAAAGCATGTATATAAAGAACTGTAGTAGAAAGTAGAGCTCGGGGCGCCTGGGTGGCTCAGTCGTTAAGCGTCTGCCTTCGGCTCAGGTCATGATCCCAGAGTCCTGAGATCGAGCCCCGCATCGGGCTCCCTGCTCAGCAGGAAGCCTGCTTCTCCTTCTCCCGCTCCCCCTGTTTGTGTTCCCTCTCTCTCTGTGTCTCTCTCTGTCAAATAAATAAAATCTTTAAAAAAAAAAAAAAGAAAAAAGAAAGTAGAGCTCAAGTACTGTAAAACAGAGGCTCGGGGCTGTGGAAGGGTGAAGGAGGTTTATAGAGGAAGAAGCTGAAGGGCTGGACCATGGACAGTGGCGAGGATTTCCACAGCTGGAAGTGCAGAACATACAGACCTGCAGGCAGTGTGGCTCCATGGTCGGGTCTGTGAGGGGAAAGAGTGAAAGATAAAATGGAAAAACTAAATTAGGGTCAAAGCTGGAAGGATCTTGAAGGACATTTTTAGGACATTGATTGATGATATTAAGTGTTATCATGGGATTCAGCAAAGGAGGCCAAGAGTGCCTGAGTCTTGTCTTGTCCTGGCCATATTTCTCTTTAGTGAGCCCTGCAAGGGAGATACATATGCCCAAGGCACTGTTCATTAACATCTAGGGAGATATATACACCCAAGGCACTTTTATTAACATCTAACACAGAACCTCAGCTGAACTGAACGTGTGGGTAGAAGCTCAAAGATATTTCCTATCCCCCTCCCCCTGCAATCCAATCTTGGAATCTGACTGTATTTTTTTTTGAAAAAAGATTTTATTTATTCATTTGAGAGAGATAGAGCACAAACCGGGGGAGAGGGAGAGGGAGAAACAGACTCCCTGCTGAGCTGGGAGCCCGACATGGGGCTCAATCCCAGGATCATGACCTGAGCCCCCAGGCGCCCCAAGGGATCTTACTGTATTATCGTTTTTATTTTCTGTATTTTATGATGCTTTGACATTTTAGGAGGCTTGCTAGCTGGGGAGAGACTGCCCCTCCCAGTGCAAACTTCATTCCTAGACAGTGAACAACTTGTCTGGAAGTGTGCCTTTCATATACAAATCAACCAATCCAAACCCTCAGCCCCAACTTTTTATCTAACGCTCACACACCAAGACACACCAAACCAAAGTTTCCCCTGCCCTCAATCACTTTTAGCTAGGACCACTCCTATAGACCAGAGCCTGCTGAAATTACTCAAACCGCCCAATCCTAAACTTGTCAGATGTGCCTACTCTGCCTCAGCCGTTCCTTCTGAGGAAACCATCATACAGGTTCGGAACCATGCTTTTCCCTTGCTCCTTTTGCCTCCTAACTGACCCTAGTACCTCCTCATGAGGCCCTGCCTGGCATGGCGTGGCATGCCCCCTTCTCTTGAGAGCTATTAAGTAATAAACTCTTCCAAAAGTCGCTGTCTCTGTGTCTGCCACCTTACCATTTCTCATTAGAACAAAATCAGAGGCACAATAGGAAGGCATTGCCTTCAGCATAGCACATTGCCCTAAGGTATAAAAATTTAGGGGATGCCAAACAAAAGGACAATTGAAAATATTAGTGTCTTTAAGTTTTCTTTAACCCAGAAAATTTAAATCCATTGTAAGGCTTTCCAAATTTACCTGTCTTATAATCAGGGCCTTTGGGGTATTTTAAATTCAGGAGTGGGATAGATGTCACTTGGATACATATTAGTATATTTATTACAAAGGAAAAATAAGGTCATAATTTTTCAAATAAAAATAAATCTGATTTGGCCAATTGCTTTGACAATAAGGACTGGCTTTGCTAACTATATCATATGGTAGATAGTTTTGTAAATTAAATGAGCTAAATCTGTGGCTTTAAGGTTTTGATGAAAGTATCTTTAAAGCATGTAATAAGATAAAATTATTTTATTAAAAAATTAATGTTGGAAAAAATGTTGGCAGTGATGTATTGAAATTAATGATATTTTGATTATTCCAACCATTTCTTTTGGGTTAAATAATGTTCCTTTAAGTAAAAGAATAACCTCTTTAAGAGTAACCCATATTTTTATTAGTAAATAAAAATGAATCCTTTTTGGCATCCTCAGAAATCAAGAAATGGAATACTTCTAACAACTAGGTAACAAATCATGGGGCAAGTTGAGTGGTTTAGAGTTCTTTGCTTTCAGTAAAGTCGAAAGACTACCTGATTTGATTGTCAGCCAACAGATCATTAAGATAAATTGTGCTGATAGCTTACTCTGTGATTCTGGTGTATCATTTGAAAGGAGATCAAAGAATTGAGTGCCATTACTATAACCAAATTCTTCTGTTCCAAGATACTATTTATGTGAATAAGGTTTCTCAGCACTTAAAAATCTAAATATTAGGGGCGCCTGGGTGGCTCAGTTGTTAAGCGTCTGCCTTCGGCTCAGGTCATGACCCCAGAGTCCTGGGATCGAGCCCCGTATCAGGCTCCCTGCTCGGTGGGAAGCCTGCTTCTCCCTCTCCCACTTCCCCTGCTTGTGTTCCCTCTCTTGCTGTGTCTCTCTCTGTCAAATAAATAAAATAAAATTTTAGGGCGCCTGGGTGGCTCAGTTGGTTAAGCAACTGCCTTCGGCTCAGGTCATGATCCTGGAGTCCCGGGATCGAGTCCCGCATCGGGCTCCCTGCTCAGCGAGGAGCCTGCTTCTCCCTCTGACCCTCCCCCCTCTCATGTACTCTCTCTCATTCTCACTCTCTCAAATAAATAAATAAATCTTTAAAAAAATAAATAAAATAAAATAAAATTTTTTAAAACTCTAAATATTAGATAGGGAAGGGAGAGTTGATGTTGAGCCATGTTTGATTCTAATAATAAATAATACTGTCTACAAATATTTCATCACCAAAACACCAATTGGAAAAAAAACTCACTAAGAGATACATTTTAATAAAATTTTCTTTTTAAGCTTAGTAATTACTTATAAAATGTGTATGTATATATCTTGATCAATCTTACTGATAAGAATTGTAATAAAAAATCAATCCAAGAGAATTTTTAAAAATTCTTAGAGACTCATGGTCACAGGAATTTTTTTTAAATTTTAAGTACAGTTTATTTATAACTTTTTGTTGAAGAAAATTATTGATCAAAGGTGATCAATAAAATATAGTAAAGCATAAAAATATACATTAGCATACAATTCTCTAGGGAATATGGGATTGGAAGTATGGGTTGAAAGAGAAAAAGAAATGAGGAGAAATTTGTAAGTGATAAATAAAAGTTTTATTTTAAATTGTCAGTGCAGGGGCACATGGGTGGCTCAGTCGGTTGAGGATCTGCTTTCTGCTCAGGTCATGATCCTGGAGTCCCGGGATTGAGATCAAGCCCCACACTGGGCTCCCTGTCAGCAGGGAGTCTGCTTCTCCCTCTGCCCCTCACTCTGCTCGTGCTCTCTCTCATTCTCTCTCTCAAATAAATAAATAAAATCTAAAAAATAATAATAATAGTAATAAAAATAAATACAGTGTCAGTGCAGAGGGCACTTGGGTGGCTCAGTTGGTTAAGCGTGTGACTATTGATCTCAGCTTGGGTCTTGATCTCAGGGTTGTGAGTTCAAGCCCCGAGTTGGGCTCCACACTGCATGTGGAACCTACATAAATAAATACATAAATAAATAGTGCTGGGAATTATGTAATTTACATATTTAAACTTTTGATGGAGGCACTTGGGTGGCTTAGTCCATTAAGCATCTGCCTTTGGCTCAGGTCATGATCCCAGGGTCCTGGGATCTAGCCCCACATCCCGCTCCCTACTCCCTGCTCAGTGGGGAGCCTGCTTCACCCTCTCCCTCTACCCCTCCTCCCACCCCCTCATGCTCTCTCTCTCTCTTTGCACTCTCTCTCAAATAAAATCTTTTAAAAAAATAAACTTTTGATGAAAAAAATGTTGACTTTAAAATGGAGTAGGTGGGAGCATACCTGATATTCAGCTGAACAAAACATGCTTCAAGACCACTGTTGGCATAGGACTTACCTCCAGGGCGTGTACTCATTGAGAGAATAGCAAGTGACAAAGCACTTTTACATTCTGTCCTTTTTGTCAAGTGTGGCATGGACTCTAGCTTGAGTAAATGAAAGGCACACTTGATGTGAGCTCAGAGTAATGAGAAACAGACACACCGATGTGTTTCCCGGGGGATTAGCTACATAGAGCTCGAGATAAGAGCATCGTTGCAGTGCATGGGTGAACGGTGAGTAGGATTTGGGTATGGTTGGCTGGTTGCGAGGCTATGGGGCAAGAAGTGAGTGCTTACGGGTGTTGAGAAGTACTACAAACGCAACACCCGGAAGTGCTTTCTGGGAACACTTGTGTTCCGATAGCAGGAGTGCAAGGCTGGGGCCAGGATGGGGAGGCAAACAGCCTTTGCTCAGCCTGTGCGGGGTCCCCTTCCCGTCTCACGGTGCCTCTGTGTCTTTCTCTGTCTCCTTGCCCCTGCAGTCACTGCTCAGCATCCCGGGCTCCCCGTTCCTCTCCCGGCACAACAGCAAAAGCAGCATCTTCAGCTTCAGGGGGCCCGGGCGGTTCCGCGACCCGGGCTCGGAGAACGAGTTCGCGGACGACGAGCACAGCACGGTGGAGGAGAGCGAGGGCCGCCGGGACTCGCTCTTCATCCCGATCCGGGCCCGCGAGCGCCGCAGCAGCTACAGCGGCTACAGCGGCTACAGCCAGGCCAGCCGCTCTTCGCGCATCTTCCCCAGCCTGCGGCGCAGCGTCAAGCGCAACAGCACGGTCGACTGCAACGGCGTGGTGTCCCTCATCGGCGGCCCGGGCTCCCACATCGGCGGGCGGCTCCTGCCAGAGGTGAAAATAGATAAGGCAGCTACCGATGACAGTGTAAGGAAGTAAACACATAGACCGAGCCTAGGCATGGCAGTCTCTCCCGCGCCCTCCTCCCTTCTCTCCCGCCCGGCCTCTGGCTCCCACGCTCAACTCTCCCGTCCCCCCCGCCCCCCCCCCGGCCGCTTCTGTCTTCTCCCTCCCGGTTTGTTTCTGTTTCTCTCTTCAGCCCCTCCTTGTTTTCCCTTTCACTTTAATCCCTGCTCTGTCCCCCCCCCCGCCCCCACCAACTTCTTCCTTGTTTCTGTTGCCCGACCCCATCAACTCTTCGCTTTCTTTTACTTCCTTTTCTTTCTCTCCATCTTTGCGAGTCTCTATCAGCCTACCTGTTTCCCTCTCCCCCCTCCCCCCCCACCCTGCTTTGACTGAATGCCTCTGGCCAGCGGATCCTGCCCGGATGGAATGAGAATGGCATCCTGCCACCACCAATGACCAAGTCTGAGCCGGTTTGGAACTACCATTGCTTCTCTCCCTCCCACGTCCTCTCCTCATAGGGAAACAGCCTGGAATTTAAAGCTCTTATCTTTCTGTTAAAACAACAACAACAACAACAACAATATAGTTCAGAATAATTTTCTAGTCTCCTCTGTAAGAATGAGGTGTGATTTTTCCAAAGAGGAACGTGGATACCTGGTGCTGCGGGCAGGAGGTGTGCACCAGGGAGAGCCAAGCAAGGAGAGGTTAGGGAAGCCAGTGCAGAACTGGAGCTAGACATTCAAAAGGGATTGAAATGGAAATAAATCAAAGGAGGGAAAAGTGGGAGGTTGGGGCAAGAACACATGGTGTATGGGGGAGGAAGGAAAAGGGAAGCGAAAGATGAATTTTAAATGTAATCAAATGTCAGGCTCTGGAGGAGCTACATATAATAGCTTCGTAAAATCACTTGTCTAGGGGTTTGGATAATGGCTCCCCTCTTTGGGAAAAGCCATCTCTTAACACTTCTTTAAATTCTAAGCTGTTTATACCTTTTTTTGTAGTTTCAAATTCTTGTAACCTCAGCGAGCCTCATCCTCTGTACATCTAACTCCTTAACTTCCCTCAGTCCTTCCTTAGCTGGCATAAACTCCATGGGATAGCATGCCAGTCCATTTTGTTCTAACACTTCCTTCCCCTCTAACACAGCACGAAGACAGCCGGTCCTCTAATTAGCATGTTGCATGTGTGGAGGAAAACTGGACAGTCAAGGATGGAATAATTCACAATGATCTGTTTTTAACATTTCAGGACAGTTGTTGACTGTACAGATAAAAGGCACTTAAGGATGTGTTTAACATTGTCTTTTCTCTCCTGCCTTTTTATTTATTAGCAAAATACCCACCCCCACACACACGTGTTTGTTTAGCTTTTTACAAGCTACAACTTACTTTTACATTCATTATTTAATTTGCTCTGAATAAAAATTTCTGTAAGGCTGACCAAGTGGAGAGCATTATCCCTGTTTTTAGATGGGGAAGTAGAGCTCAGAGAATTTGGGCTCCTGGAGGTCACGCAGCTCATTGTTGATAGAGCCAGAGTCTTCGGGAGAAGACAATCTTCTCTTTCTCAGTGAATTTTAATGCCTTCTCTGTTTAGGCACATAGGCATTTTTCTTCTGGAAAACTGTTTCTTTAGTATCAACTATAATAGGAACGGTAATAATAACAAACAGTGGTTCCAAAATCCCCCCAAAACCAGATAGTTGGCCAAAATAAATGTTATAGATGATTATCTTTACTCTAAATATAATTTTTGTTTGTCTCTAATTCTATATCTAGAGGTAAATTTTTAAGCTCCATAATTAGACAGTTATGTTCTTTGAAAAAGCAAGAGATGATATCAGTAGAGAATGAGGGGTGGGTCAGCATGGACAGTACAGTTTGGGCAACTCAAATGTTAAGAACCAAATTAAATTTTGACATTCTGGCTGGTTTTTTAAATATTTCAGCCAAATAATACATCTTGCTTTTTCTTTGAAAAGAAGGTATGAGAAAAGGTATTGAGGAAGGAAGAGATTGAACTTCAGCTAAAGGCAGATGAGCATGTTTGCAGGTTTGGTTCTTGGTTTTTTTGCAGCTTCTGTTATAATGTGTGGGGGGAAAAATTTGAGAGGCAGTTGAGCAGATGGTTGTGGAAGTAAGGCTGTCTGCACCACCTTACATTGTAGCCTACAGAGTCCTGCCTTTGGGTTTTGGGGCGCCTGCACACTCAACACCCTATAAGCACTTAGGGGATTCGTTGCAGAGGTCCTAAGCGATGATGGTGACAGATTTGAGGATTCCCAAGGCCAGGAGGGCAGATCCCAGAGTGGTAGGAAATGAGGTAGGCAGGACTATTTCATCCCCAAAGGCTTCATAACTAGGAAAAGCTATTTCATTAGAAGCCGTAAAGAAGCACTTCCTAGCTATTAATTGTGTGGCAATCTATGTAAGTTATATTAATAGGCCAAAAAGACAAAACAAAACAAACCCAGACTGCGTAGTGTGTGTGTGCTATGATAAAGACAAACTACCTACAGAGAGAGGGTGACTGACTAGAAGTTAATAGTAGTTGCCTTTGGGAGGGGAAATTAAAGGTGACTTTTTTTCTTCCTTACACTTTTCTGTTATTTACAGTTTTCCACAATGGACATAATAATTAGAGCCACCATATATTGGGTTCTTGCTATAGTTATGCTAAGCACTTTATATGCATGATCTCATTTAATTTCTTGTAATCATTGTGTTCAGTAGGTGGTTTTATCCTCTTAACAGGTGAGGTTCTGAGCCTTAGTGATTCATGGAAATGGAGCTTGAACCAAGGTCTTCCTGCTGTCAAAGAGGCCTTCCTGGCTGCTTGAATATTAGCTTCTTTGGGAAGTGGGAAAAACATCATTCATCTTAGAAGGACGCAACAGATTACTAATGTTACATGCAGTCCAGACCAGAGGAGCAGCGAATACCGCTTTAGGCTAGGATGTAGCGATTCCTACTGTCAAAACATTTGGGATGCGTCTCCAGTGGGTTAACCACTAGAGTGCTTCCATTGTATGCTCATGCTCTGTGGAGTGGTATGGGAGCTGCTGAGATGCACAAGCTGGGCTCACACAGTATTGATGCTTAGGCTATGCCACATCTGTATTTTTTCCTCAGACTCAAGTCAAGAAATATAATATTCTCAGGGCGCCTGGGTGGCTCAGTTGATTGAGCATCTGACTCTTGATTTCGGTTCAGGTCATGATCTCAGGGTCCTGAGAGCAAGACCCACGTTGGGCTCCACGCTCAGAAGGGAGTCTTCTTCTCTCCCTCTCCCTCTGCCCCTCTCCCTGCTTGTGCATGTGCTCTCTCTCTCTCAAATAAATAAATCTTAAAAAAAAAAAAAAAGAAAGAAAAAAGAAATATAATATTCTCTGTGGAAAAAAAGATACCCGGACATCACCTCATTAGAGTTTCATCAGAAACTGTTTCACCTGTTCATTAATTATTCAGTTATGATTAGTGAGTATTTTTCAATAGTTTAGGAATTTTCACTTTCGCTTTTTGCTGAAGCAGAGGATGAGGGGACTTTTCCCGTGTCTTCATCTCTAAGCTGGAAAAGTAGGTGAGAATCTCATCACTCATGGAGAAAGCAGGTGCTGCTGACAAATCAAAAAATCACAAGTAACTCAGAAATCATGTTGCACTAGCTTACACAAGCATTATCTCATTTAATGCACACAGCTGATAGATACTACTCGTGTGTGCATTTCACTGAGGAGGAAACCAAGGCTTAGAGAAATAAAGTGGCTTGTCCAACATCACACAGTAAGTGGTAGGGTTAGGGCTTGAATACAGGCAGTCTGACTCCAGCGCACTGGCGGGTAACCAGGGCACTGCACCAACTCTGAAGCCCGGGTTCTTCAGTTTATTTACTGATGTGATCCTGGGAGATTAATGTCACCTTTCTAAGCCCATTTCCTTATCTGTAAAAAAGAGACAAAAGGACCTGTGCTATAAGGCTATTGTGAAGATTAAATGTAATAACATTTATAAACTGTGAAGCATATTATTTGGCCCATTCCTGGTGTTCAGAAAGCCAGTTTCCATTTATTTCCCTATACTTTTTTGGCCTGCTTAGCCGTGAGAAGTAGACATTAAGATTTCTCCTGAACTGCTTGACTTGGCAAGGGTTGCATTCCTTCTAAAATCTTAAAGAACCTTTGAGAAGAAGAAATTATTGTGCAATTATTTTAAAGCCGATTACTGCAAAAATTTGAGAAAGGCTTGAACAGGAGATAAATGGCTAGGTTCTTTAAAGCTACTTCTAAAATGCTCTAAATTTTAGTTCCAAGAAAGGTAACTGCCTGATAAATTTACGTTCATACATCTCCATCGGAAAGCAATTTAGTTGAGCTTCCTTGGGCAGATCTATAGAAATGTGGGCAAAATCTGCCATCTGCAGGTGTTATAGGATATCTCTTTGAGAAGGACAGCTACAACTTAGGAGGTTGGAAATCCGAGGCTAAATGTCCTAATAAACTTTGCATTTGGGTTGAGAGAAATGGAACAAATTTGTACTGAGTTTAACTTTCAAAGAATGTAATTAAGGTTCTCAGTGGCTTCCTCTGTTACTGATAGTTTTACATGAAAGCTGCTTAGAGGCTGAATTCTAAGAAGGCAGAAGCTCCTGCCTTTAAAACATTATTAATTCTTCTCTTTCCTCCCCAACAAAGTAAACAAAACAAACAAAAGAAATAAACACCTCCACTTACAGGAATGAAAAATGACCTGAAAAGATAGGTAAGGGAAGGGAAAGAGTATGTGATCTTTCCACTGGTCCTTGGGTCTCAGCGTGGTTGAAGGAAGAAGTCCTCTCCCTCCCTCCCAGGTGATAATAACTGAGTAGCTGAGCCAATAGCAGACACACCTCCCAAGCAGAGTCTGGAGGAAGGGCGCCTCTGAAGCTGCTATACATGGGAGAGTCCACTCTAGCATTCCTTCCCTCCAGTTGGCTAAAATCTGACACAAGATACGATAGCCAACAACCCGGATGGTGCGGCCACTTTGGAGAACAGTGGCAGTTCCTCAAAAAATTAAACACAGAGTTACCATATGATCCAGCAACTCTGCTCCTAGGTAGAACTGAAAACAGTGTTCACACAAAAACTTGTACATGAATATTCATAAAATCATTATTCATAATAGCCAAAAAATGGAAACAACCCAAATGCCCATCAACTGAGGGATGGATAACTAAAATGTGACACATCCCTATTATGTAATATTATTCAGCCATAAAAGGGAATGACGTATTGATATGTGCTACAGCATGAATGAACCTTGAAAGCATGATGCTCAGCGAAAGAAGCCAGGCACAAAATGCCACATAATATACAATCCATTTATATGAAATGTCTAAAAAAGGCAAGTCTGTAAAGACAAAAAACAGATTATTGGTTGCAAGGGGCTAGGTAGAGGTGGGGTTTGGGATTGGCTGCTAACAAGTACTATGTTTTTCTTTGGTATGATGGAAATATCGTGGAATACACTGTAAATATACTACAAGCCACTGAATTGCAGTAACTTTGAAACGGTTAAAATGGTGAATTTTATGTTATGTGCATTTCATCTCAATGTTGTAAAAGTTGAAAAGAAAGAAGCAAATAGCCTGGGCTTTCAGTGCCAGCTTTCAAAACTTCACTTGGGGACTGGGGTGCCTGGGTGGCTCAGTCGTTAAGCGTCTGCCTTCGGCTCAGGTCATGATGCCAGGATCCTGGGATCGAGCCCCACATCGGGCTCCCTGCTCGGCGGGAAGCCTGCTTCTCCCTCTCCCACTCCCCCTGCTTGTGTTCCCTCTCTCACTGTGTCTCTCTCTGTCAGACAAATAAATAGAATCTTAAAAAAAAAAAAAAAAAGAATTCCAAGCTAAGAAACACTAGCTTAAGAACCTTGGCTAATTTTATTCTGTGTCTCTCTGTCAAATAAATAAAATCTTTAAAAAAAACTTCACCTAGGGAGGAAGGATTTCAGGAACTACATCCATCTTGGATTCCTGCATACCCTGGTTTTAACAGATCAGACTTTTTTAGTACAGATTTATTTTTCTCTGGATACTACTATCTTAGCCCCCAGTTAGTGTTTAGCACTTTTAAGTAATGTTCTTCATAGGGAGTTTTAGTTTATGTCATCCTAGGCAGTTAACAGTGATGAATATATGTTTGCTCCCTGTCTCTCCATTAATCAGTCAGATCTGATGAATAATGAGAGACTCCATGTTTAGACAACAACCAGACCATATATAAAAATAGGACTTTTGGGCGCCTGGGTGGCTCAGTTGGTTAAGCGACTGCCTTCGGCTCAGGTCATGATCCCAGGGTCCTGGGATCGAGTCCCACATCGGGCTCCCGGCTCAGCAGGAAGCCTGCTTCTCCCTCTCCCACTCCCCCTGCTTGTGTTCCTGCTCTTGCTGTCTCTGTCTCTGTCAAACAAATAAATAAAATCTTTAAAAAAAAAAAAATAGGACTTTCATCCACAACCTGCCCAAGAAGCCAGCCCCCTTATCAATGATAAACAAGCCAGGCAACCAGCCTGCTATAAGTCAGACTTGCAGGAAGCCAGATTGCTATCTCTAGTGACAATCCAGTAAGCCAAACAATAACTTCTATAACAATCAGCCCCAAATGGTCAGGACTTGATTACTAAGTGACACTTTCCCTAATTTCTGTTTCTGTTTTCAACTTAGGACCCAGCAGAGAAAGCCAAATATGCACCCCTAATCAATCACCTAGGATGCCCTGCTTCTCATTAGCCCACCTACAGCTTCCTCGTGCCAGCCACCTTGAAATCAAGGCACACCCGAAGTCTTCCCTTTTTTCCACTATAAAGCTTTTCCACTCTGCCTGCCTTTGAGTCTCTGGCAAAACACATGTGATGGTGGCTGACTCCCTACGTCAAGCTCAGAATTAATAGCTTTTCCCACTTGATTGATCTTCATTTATTTCCACACTATAGATAGCATTTTTTTTAAAGATTTTATTTATTTATTTGACAGAGAGAGACAGCGAGAGCAGGAACACAAGCAGGGGGAGTGGGAGAGGGAGAAGCAGGCCTCCCGCCGAACAGGGAGCCCGATGTGGGACTCGATCCCAGGACCCTGGGATCATGACCTGAGCCGAAGGCAGACGCTTAACGACTGAGCCACCCAGGCGCCCTAGATAGCATTTTATACATATTATATACACACTCTGTGTCCCATATTCTTTCTCAAAGGAATTGTACTGCATAATCAGTATTGCAGCAGTGCAATGGGTAACTGTTACCCAAGAGTTACCAAGGGTGTGCATATGATGGTGGTGGAGTAGGAGCTGTCTGACCAGCTGAGAATTGTCCCCTACACCCCTTTGTACCACAAGACTCTCCCAGAAGGAACCCTTTCCTACTCAATCCCCTCACCTCTCTGAGCAACCTCTTCTATATGTATCACCATAGATTCGTTTTCTTTCATTTTCTTTTTTTTTTTTTTTTTTAAGATTTTATTTATTTGACAGAGAGAGAGACAGCGAGAGAGGGAACACAAGCAGGGGGAGTGGGAGAGGGAGAAGCAGGCTCCCCGCAGAGCAGGGAGCCCGATGCGGGACTCGATCCCAGGACTCTGGGATCATGACCTGAGCCGAAGGCAGTCGCTTAACCAACTGAGCCACCCAGGCGCCCCGTTTTCTTTCATTTTCAAGGACTCATACAATATGTATTTCTTATTTGGCTTCTTTCACTCAACAAGATGTTTTTGAGATACATCCATGTTGTTTCAATAGATCATTCCCTGTTATTGATGAGATTGATAAGGTACTTCATTGTATAAATACACTCTACTGTGTTAGTCCACTTTCCTGTTGATGGACATTCAGGTTGCTGAGAGCAGTCTTGTGCAACTCTTTTGGTAAATAAATGTTTTCATTTATATTGAATAATTATCTCAGAATGAAATTCCTGGGTCATATGGTAAATGTTATATTCAGCTTTATAAGAAACTGCCAAACAGCTCTCCAAAATAGTTACACCATTTTTTAATGCTCCTACCAACAGTATATTAGAGTTCCAATTGCTCCACATCCTAGCCAACATTTGGTGATGTTAGTCTTTGATTTTAGCATATTAGTAGTCATAAACTGCATCTTACCTGCTTTTAATTTGCATTTCCCTGCTGATTAATGATGATGAGCATCTTTTCATGTGCTTATTGGCTTCTCACAGATCTTTTATTAGTTGCTTATTTTTAAATCTTTTACCCATTATTGATTTGTTTTTATATGTTATGGATACAAGTCCTTTATCAGATACATAAATTTTTAATTTTGATGAAATCCAATGTAACAGTTTTTTCCTTTTATGTTGTTTTTTGCATCCTGTCCAAGTAATCTTTGCCATTACCCAAAATTGTGAAGTTATTTTCCTTCTATAAATTTTACAGTTCCGGGTTTTATATTCAGGTCTCTGATTTAGCTCAATTTGTGTGTGTGAAATTAGATGGGAGTTGACTTGGATGAATATCTAGTTTCTCAGTACCATTTATTAAAAAGACTTTACTTTCTCCATTGAATTGACTTGGCACCTTGGTCAAAAATCAATTGATGTACATGTGTGGGTCTGTTTCTGGATTCTGTTCTGTTCCCTTAGTCTGTTTGTCTATGCTTAGACCAATACTACATTTGTCTAATTACTGTAACTTTATAGTCTTGAAATGAGATAGCATAAGCCCTCCAAACAAAAAAATATTTTAAAGATTATTAAATAATCTCTTAAGAGATTAATTTGCTATTCAGATCTTTTTTAAAAGATTATTTTCCTATTCTAGATCCTTTGCGTGTCCTTATGTATTTTAGAATCATTTTCTATCAGTTTCTTCAGAAAAGCCTAGAATTCTTAGAGTGATTGCTGGCAATAATGGATGTCCTTGAGTCTTTCAATCTGTGAATGTGGTATAGTTCTCATTTATTAAAGTCTTCTCAAGTTTCTCTCAGCAAAGTTGTATAGTTTGTATTGGATGTCTTACCCATCTTTCATTAGTTTTATTCCTTGGTATTTGTGTTTTTTGATACTGTTGTAAAAGGTATAATTTTTAAATTTTTTGTTTTCAAGTATTTGTTGTTGCCAGAACATAGAAATACAGTTAATTTTTGTGTATGACCTTGTATCTCATCACCTTGATAAATTAACATATTGGTTCTATTAGGTCTTTTTTTTTTTTTGTAAATTCCATAGGGTTTTCTACATGCACTATAATATTGTCTGTGTATAACAGCAACTGCACCTTTATGCCTTTTACTTATTTTTCTTGCTTTATTGCACTAGCTAGGACTTGAGATACAAAATTGCATAGAAATTATAAAAGCAAACATTCTTCCTTGTTTCCATTATTAGAGGAAGAGAATTTAATGTTTCATCAAGAAGTATAATGTTAGCTGTAGATTTTCATAGATATTTTTTATCAGATTGAAGCTGCTACATTCTATTCCTGGCTCACTAAGAAATTTTATTATGCAGAGGTGTTGAATTTTATTAAATGTTCTTTTTCTGCATCTGTGAGATAATCAGATGGTTTTTCTCCTTTATTCTATTAAAGTGATGAATAACATTGACTTTTTTCCTAATGTGAAACTAGCCTTCCTAATATAAGCCCTGTTGATTGTGATATATTATCTTTGTATATATTTGCTTGTTTTGTTAAGAATTTAACATCGTTGTCCATGAGGGATATTGGTCTCTCATTTTCTTTTCTTGTGGTGTTTTTGGCAGGTTTAGTATCAGGTTATGTTAACTTTATAAAACAGGTTGAGAAGTATACCCTTATCCTCTATTTTCTGAAGGAATTGGTATTAGTATTGGTATTGGTATTATTTTTTCTGTAAATGTTTGGTAGAATTCACTGGTAGAGCCATCTGGACCTAGACTTCTATTTATTGTAAGGTTTTTTTCAATTATAGTTTCTAATGTGGGCTATTTAGATTTTCTGTTTCTTCTATCAGTTTTGATAAGTTGTGTTTTGATAAGTTTGTCCATTTCATACAAGGTGAAATGACATGAAGTTGTTTACAATATATCCTTTTTTTTTTTTTTTTAGGTTAGACCACTTAGATTTTTGGGTTTATTTATTATCATACTGTAGCTTATCATACTCTGACTAATATAAATATTGTATAGAAGGTTTCCATCTTACAATAGTTCAACTTAGAATTACGGTATGTTCTTATTATCCTAATAATGCCTATAGGATTTGTAGTAATGTTCCCATTCCTTTTCCTGAAAATTACCATTTGTGTTTTCTTTTTTTCTTGATCAGTCTTGCTAGGGAATTATCAATTTTAGTAATCTGTTTTTAAAAAAACATTTGCCCTTTTTGATTGTCTATTGTTTGTCCACTTACTAATTCATTAATGTCCATTCTTATTTTTATTATTTCCTTTCATCTACTTACTCACAGTTTAATTTGATCTTTTTCTAATTTCTCAAGGTGAAAGCTTAGAGCATTGATTTTATATCTTTTCTATATTCTAATATAAGCCTTTAGCACTGTAAAATTTTCTGAAACCATGTGTTAGCTGCATCCCATAAATCTTTTTTTTTTTTAAGACTCCATAAAGGTCATTTTTTTTTTGTTTTTAAGATTTTATTTATTTATTTATTTGACAGAGAGAGAGAGAGAGACAGCGAGAGAGGGAACACAAGCAGGGGGAGTGGGAGGGAGAGAGGGAGAAGCAGATTCCCCACCGAGCAGGGAGCCCGATGTGGGGCTCCATCCCAGGACCCTGGGATCATGACCTGAGCTGAAGGCAGACACTTAACGACTGAGCCACCCAGGTGCCCCTGCATCCCATAAATCTTAATGTATTGTTTCCGTTATCCTCAAAGTATTTTCTAATTTCCTTTGTGATTTCATCTTTCATCCATGGACTTTTACCAATTTAAGGGGACTTTTCTGACTATCCTATTATTACCACAATACTTTTCAATGGAACCTGTTATTTGGATCTGTGGTATATGCTTTCCTATGTAAAAAGGTGACATAATGACTTTCTTTTTTTGCCCTCTGAAGTTCCCCAAGTATGGTCTTTGATTTTTTTTTTTTTCTTGGTGTCTTCTTTCATTTATTTCTTTTCTGAAACTGAAGATATGTTCTATAACATGCCTTACTCTGGAACAAATTTTAACGTTATAGAACTATGTTGTCTCCCCATATCCCTGCTATAGTTCATTTTCATTTTACATAGAAAGTTATAAATAATAATTGTTCCATCTTAATATTAAGCTTGGGGATAAACTTTATGTGGATTTTTTAAATCCAAGCTAAAAATTATTTTAGCTTTCAAATAGATACCACTAAATAATAATCTAATGATTTGACTAGGTCCTTTAGATAGCATTTTTATTAACTTTGTTTAAGGTTAATGTTATTAAAGTCTGAAGATTTTATATCTTGTTATATCCAGCAAGTCCAGAAAACAATAAGATATACTTAGAACCAAAGCAGTGTTAAATACAGTTTTATCCTTTCTTGATGAATCAGCCAGTCCATCAGATCTTACAGGACCTTGGAGTCAGCATTATGAAAATTATCTACCATGTACTGTAGATCTGCAGAGGGCAGCTCAGTAAAATTCTAGAATGAATAAATGCCAGAAACAAGAGTGTCCACTGTATGGGCCTTTCTGGATTCCTTTTTAGATGGTTGTCATTTTTAAAATAGAGTAGTCTAATCTGATTTATTAGGTGTCGTGAATATCAGGCTGGCAATTGCAGCAAAAAGTGGCCTATCAAAGAAATATATCTTATTATGACCTGAGGTACTGGTCAACACATCGTTGTTACATATACAGGTGTTTGTATAATAATGCAGCCAGGAATTCCCAAGGAAATCAGTTCTTTTTCTTTTCCATTTCTTCTGTTGCTCTGCCAAACAAAACAAAACCCTAAGGTAAACCAAATGTCTGAATCAGTGAAACAGTTTGATGAAACACTGTAATAAGATAAATTATAATCTGCCAGAAACTTTCTTCTCTACAGTTCTTAAAATCTCATCATATCTAAGGGCAGAAAGGCTTTCTGACGTAGCTCTCTAGAAACAATTATTTTCTTTTCAAAACAGCTAGGATAATTCTGGTACTGATCAGATATACTTCTCCAGCTTCATACAAATACGTATCTTCCCTGTCCTCTGAGAGATGGTGACTGTCTCTGCCCTCTTACCTTCACAATGGAAGGGACAGCCAACATTACATGGATGACCTGTTATAGTGGTTGGCATGGTTACTAGAAAACTAGCTTTTAAGCCACTGCATGAAAGCTGATCTAATGTAGTATATTCAGGATGTCACAAAGAGCACAAGCAAGGGGCATTAAGAAACACGGTGCTGTAATCTTCCATACCAGTATTGCCCACAGTGGAGCATGTAACAGTTACTTTGTATAACCGTCTGATGGTGTTTTCTGCCCTTTTTGTTTGTTTGGGAATTTGAATATTGCAGGTTAACTTATAAAGTAAAATTTTATAAGGGCAAAATAAACATAGTGCTATATATGTAATTAAAATAGTGAAACCCTTAGCATACTTGGAGTGGCTTGGAGGAGAATTAGGGTAGAACTTCAACTTGCTAACGTTCAGTTAGGCCCAGGTTTGACATTTGGAGGTGATAGTTTGAGAGAGTGATGGTGCCTCCTTCCCATGGAGGAAACAATGTCTACAGTACTCAGTGTGATCAGGGACTTGGCCCTTAATGAAATGTCGAATAGAGGTGAATTTGACTTATTTTATCGTGTGGTCCAATTCTAGCCAGATGCTGTGGATATGAGACTGAGACAGGAAAACTCATGTTCTGCTTCAGATGGCATTGCCCCTGGAGATCTGGTCTTTCTACTGCATGCTAGGAATTGACCAGATGAGGTGTTTGGGTCCCAGCCAGATTCTTTGGTTCATTGTAGATTTGTACAAACTTACCTGGTCTTGTCATCTATAGAGGTAGGATGATCCGTGGTCATGTTTCCTTCTACTTCTTGAGGTTAATAGGATCGTAGGGTCAAAGTTAAAAGATGTCATGAAGAGTATCTGTTTCTGCTCATACTCTGGACTATCTGTCCAGTAAGGCCCAGCTGTAATGTTTGTAAGACTTTATACTCACCTGATTTGCTATTTTTTTCAGGCTACAACTGAGGTGGAAATTAAGAAGAAAGGCCCTGGATCTCTCTTAGTTTCCATGGACCAACTGGCCTCCTATGGACGGAAGGACAGAATCAACAGTATATTGAGTGTTGTTACAAATACACTAGTTGAAGGTATGTGCCCTTGATGTCAGTCCAAGCCACCACGATATCAATATGTAGTGCGCATGATAAATATAATCCCTGTCCATTGGCCTGAGTTTTGCAAAGATTGACTCTGAACTTTAGGAATAGAGTCTACTGGTTGTAGAAACCAGCATCCCAGATCTGCATGCAGAGACTCGAATAAGGACTTCAGAGCTGCTGCCAGCATCCTACACAGATAGGTAAGAAGAATGAAGGAATGACAGTCAGGGGTGAGCTAGAAGATCTCAAGGCCATAATGGTCATGAGGAGCCAGGGGAGTGAGGTGAGGCGTAAAGGCTGTAGACTGAAGAACTGTGAAAAAAGGAAATGATGGAATCCCCTCTGTGCCCTCTGCCCCAAAACATACCTTCCTCTTTTCCTTGTTAGCTACCTACAGCCCTCTTGGTTTTCCCTGAAGGACTAATGTACTGTGCATTTTGATTGCACCTAATTCTGCCTCTCATCAAACACCCCCACGTATCCATAAATATATTTGATGTGTGAATAGGTAAGCCGAAACCCCTCTTATTTCGGCTCTCTGTGCCATAGGGAAAGAACAGGCACTGTTGAATCATAGTGTATCTGCAGTAACGTCGCTGTCAGTGCTTGTACTTGGTATTGGGCGGCTCCGCCACGACACAGCCTGGCATGCTGAGGAATATCAGGATTTTCCATGACCCCACAGTCCCCTAGCAAGTATCAGCTCTCTGTCCAACTGTGGTCTGTATTCCAGGCTCCTCTTGCTTTCTCTGGAGGTAGATTCACTGACAGGGTTTTCTCTCACGAGGTTCTGATTGATTCTGCATGAATCTTCTTCCTTTGATTCACGTTGATTCAGCTGAGCTGTCCCACTATAGATCCAGAATATTCTCAAGGCCTCAGATTGCTGTTCTTCAGAGTTCAGACCCCCAGGCTAACCCAACAATAACCAGAGTTCCTGAGATAAGGAGATTCAAAACTATCCTGGTGTCTTTGCGACAAGTTATTTTTTGAGTCATTTGAGCCCAATACCACTTCTACTCTGAGAGAAAGGGAATGAGAGAGAGAGTGTGTGTTCATTCATTCGGCAGGCATCCGTGATAAAGGGAGAATCCCCAGAAAGGAACTCCCCTAGATTGTTTACATTCCCACATGTGAGCAAGGTGTTAGACTGTATGTAGACTAATCTGAAGAATGTATCATGTAAAAAGAATATTGAGTAAACTGTTTTCAGCTGCCTGAACATTTATTCCTGTTTTCCTTTAATTCTCATCGAGGTCATCATCTGAGAAAATATCTTTAAATTTTGTAGTTTATACTTTGAGATCACAGGCAAATAACTGCAGAGCATAAGAATTCCAAGCTAAGGGGGCGCCTGGGTGGCTCAGTCGTTAGGCATCTGCCTTCGGCTCAGGTCATGATGCCAGGATCCTGGGATCAAGCCCCACATCGGGCTCCCTGCTCCACGGGAAGCCTTCTTCTCCCTCTCCTCTCCCCCTGCTTGTGTTCCCTCTCTCACTGTGTCTCTCTCTGTCAAATAAGTAAATAGAATCTTTAAAAAAAAAAAAAAAAAAGAATTCCAAGCTAAGAAACACTAGCTTAAGAACCTTGGCTAATTTTATTCTTTACTTGGAGACAAGGACAGGATTTCTCTGGATATCTGTGGACATCGAGAAAGACAAATGAACCACCTCCAACAGGCATATTTTATGACGGCAAAGACATCAGAATGGGAGAACTATTGATGCAATCCAACAGTTACTCAGTTTGACTACTTCAGTGGCCCAGCACAGGGTCTAGTAAAAGTACATGTGCCCAAAATGTTTGTTAGACTGACCCTTGCCGTGCTTGGAGCGGTGGGGCTTCCGTGCTGCGGGCTTCCTTTTGGAGGCCTTGGTGCTTCTATTCCTCTACTGAGTTGGGTAGAAACCACTGGAGCAGTAGCTTGGTCTTTTTCTTCTCCATTTTCTTCCTCTTCTCCCCGTGCTCTTCTTTTTCTTCCTGTTCTACCCTACTCATTCTCTACCCTCCACCCACCAGCACATACATAATAAAAAATAGATATAGGGGTAGTTCAGGGGAGAGAGAGACAGTCATATTTGTGTTCCTGAGTAGGAAGCCATTCCAGTTCTTTCTCCCTTTTTGAAGTCCCAATGTTCACATAGCCTTTGACATTCCCCTATCTCCTCCCCTAGTATTCGACTCCCTTTGTTAAAGCTGATGAGACAGAACTGCTGTAAGCAAAGAACAATGAATGGCTGGAGCTGAATAATGTGAGAGGGAATTAAAGGACATTAAGAAAGATCCATTCCTATTTAGCTGCTGGTCCCTCTGTATTCAATGATTGCTACAACATGAAAAGCCAGCATTGAATGAATAATTGTTCCTGCTTCTCAGACTTCAGTTAGGAAACTCTGACGTTGTTTTAATCTTTGGATTACCAAACCAAAGAAGCAGGCTTCTACCTACCTGATATCTTAGAGAGCACAGTGGAGAATTCCAGAAGTGTGTAAATAAGGAGAAAATCCTGCCTGCTGTGTGTCCCCCAATCCCGTTGCAGACATGCTCACCCGGATCCAGGAAACTCAGCAGAATTTAGTCAGCAGAGCCATCAGCTTGGGGATATTTCAGAGGACTGGGGGTAGGTTGTAGGCAGACTACTGTAGTCTCACTTCTCTGAGCAGTGAAGCTGTGGGAGAAGGGGAGGGAGTTGGTGAAGTAAGAATGAAGAAGTGATGGTAGTACTTGGCATTATCGGTTCTCAGGTAAAACAGGTTCAAAAACTGCCTTGTAAAGACAACTGGCCATAGATGTTGGCTGCCATGGTTTGCTGATTCACTCTTGTGTTCGATTGACCAGCCCCAAGTGTCAGTCAGCATCATTACTTACCTGCTGTCTTTCGTGGGTGTGGCTGCTCTGTGAGGGTGGGGACTCTTGTTCATCAGCGTATTCCCAGGGCCTCACGCACTGTAGGTGTTTCAAAGTTGTTGAGTTGAACTGAGAGAAGCCCTGCCCTCAGAACCCTCACGGTCTACTAACACCACCATCTTGGAATTGTGAGGCCCTCTCTGAAAACAATTCCCAGCACCCATGAGGTTGAGACTACAGTAACCTTTGAGAATGTCCAGGAGCAAAGTAAGGGGGACCCCACAAACCTTTGGATATTTCTTTGGGTATGTTAACCCATTCCCCCAGACCAAATTCTTAGCCGCTTCAGGCATGTGGAACCAATAACAGTTTGTCAAGTTGTGAGTCAGTTTATAAACCTCTGTTTTCACCTAACTGATCTTTTCTAGCTCCTAAAGCTCTACATTGTCTTACCGTTTGTGGAACAGAAAAGATTATCCTGGGATCTTACCTGAGAAAATGTGGATAAGATCCCTAGTATCCCTGTAGGAATCTTCTTGATGTCCCATAGGGTGGGGAAACCCTTCTTCAGTGTCTGGCAGAGACTTGGAGCCTAGAGCACTGTACAACACTGCAACTGTGTCTACTGTCAGAGACGTGAACAGTTGCTGCTTTAACCTCCACGTGCCAGTGAACAGACGTTTGGAGAAGGGAGGAGATTAAAAAAAAGGAACGGAACCAAATTTCCAAATATGTACTGTAAGAATTTATGGAAATAAGAGAACCTTTTCATTTTCTTTTTTTGGTTAGAAAACTAAATTTACCTTGGGAAGGGAGGGAGTTCTATGAGGAAGAAGCCAAAGCAAATTTTCTTCACAGACTTCCTTTCCCACGCAGACTCCCACGTGGCGCTTGCTGTGGCCCTTAAATCTGAAAAACCAAGGCAACCATTTTCTTAGCAACCAGGGAGCCAATCAAAAACCCAACCAAAGCACCCCATCTAAAATAAAGCCATCACCATGGGCACCATCCAGCTGGTTGGAAAAAGGGAAAGTAGACTAATTTAAGGCAGCCATCTTGTTCTTGGTGAAACATTGGGAAACTTTTTTCCATTCCCTGAATGATTTGATTTTGTCAGCAGAATTGGGTTGGGGTGTGGAATAGATATCCAACCCCTTGGAACCAAGACCTTGCCTCTAAGGATTATCATGCTGACCGTTTTTCAAAGCTACATCTCTTAAAGAACATCCTGGGAGATCAAGGTCCTTGGACTTTGGTAACCCAAGCTATTATATAAGTCATACTGTACTTGAGGAGGGCTTTGTTACCTATGGCCTAATGCCTGGATTGTTGTGGCTGCCAGCTGAATGGCTCTCTTCCTTTAGTGTCTAATGGTCCTTTTTCATCTTTGTTTCGTGAATGACCTTAGAGATCACCATGGTCCATGATACTCAGTCTATGTCCAGGATTCTAGGGAAGTGCCTCAGGGAAGGAGGAAGTCCGTCGTCAGACTGGGCTCCTCTTCCTGCATCAACTAGAGCATTTTTTATATTGGGGATCACATAAGATCTTGTTGGAAACTAAACAGTCTGTTTTTTTTTTTTAAAGCAAGAGAGCCAGACTGAAAGAAGATAAGAAAAAGGAAAGAAGAGAGAAACCAAGGAAGGGAAGAGGGGAGGGAGGACAAAAATGACAAAGGGAAGGGGAGGGATGAGAAAGAGGAGGAGAAGAGAGAGGAGTGGGACTCCTGTGCCCACCTCAGTGGTGAATGGCGAACTCACTGACTTGTACTTCTTTGGGACCGGAGGGAACAGCCTGCACTGGCTCGCCGGCCACCCGCCCTGCCTCTGCTGCCTAGAGAATGGGAAGAGCGAATGCTTCTGTAGCACTTACTGTAGACCAGGGCGCTCCGAGGCACTTTCACTTTCTATCATAGCCCATTTCATTCTTCCAGCAAATTGAAGTACTGTACTCAGGTTCCCCCACTGAGCAGTGGCTGAGCACCCAGGTGCGTCTGGCTTCAGGGTCTGTGCTTTTGACTGCTTCTGTGATAATGATTTAGTGATATGATGGATAATATAAAACCCACCATTTATCGAGGACTTGCCGTGTGCCAGGCCCTGTGCTGGCCGCTTTGTGTTCACCCACTCACTTACTCCTCAGTCAGTGGATGAGGATTATAGGACTCGTTTAGTCCTATAGCCTATAAAGGAAGTGTCATTTCAGATGAGGCAACAGAAGCGTAGAGGAATCAGTAACTTGCCTGAGATCACACAGTCGTGAGTGTTAAAGCCAGTTGGACTGGGGAGTCAGATTCCAGAGGCCAAGCTCCTAACCATGATGCTGTGCTCCCAAACGGACAGATCAAACCCTAGTTTATAACCGGATAGTTGCTAACAGGGAAGTGACCTGGGACTGCCCCTGCCTCCTCTTTCCCTTCATGAGAAAGAAAATGGGGTGGGGGGCAGCAACTACGCGCTCAGGACAGACAGCCTTCAAACCACCTTTCTTGTGGTGAATAGCAGTGATAACGACCCAGCAGAGGATTAGTAGCAGCCCCCTTTGTTTTTTCCCTGTGTTTGTTCTTTTACTCACTGCAGAGCTGGAAGAGTCTCAGAGAAAGTGCCCGCCATGCTGGTATAAATTTGCCAATACTTTCCTCATCTGGGAGTGTCACCCCTACTGGATAAAACTGAAAGAGATTGTGAACTTGATCGTTATGGATCCTTTTGTGGACTTGGCCATCACCATCTGCATTGTCCTCAATACCCTGTTTATGGCCATGGAGCACCATCCCATGACACCACAATTTGAACACGTCTTGGCTGTAGGAAATCTGGTAAGACAGAATACTGTCTCCTGATTTTATGATCTGAACATGTTTTGCCTGTAGGACATCTTTTTCTGATACTGGAAGCTGGAGTTTAGTTGAAAAGAAAGTAATAGTTAATTGGAAGACAAATGCTTCCACATATGGCGTAGCCCCAGTCACTTCTGCTCACTGTTGTGATCCCTTGGCTGTTTCCTCTTTCTGCAGAACTTTGAAGACGTCATTTAGGAGCTATTGGCAGAAAACCAGCCATGGTGACAGAATGGGAGGCATGGTGCAGTGGGTTGGTTTCAGCAACCTGAGCCAAGGACGTCTGGATTTTTTTTTCTCATTCTGTTTCTCACATTGATTCCTGCATTACTCCAGCACATCACTTCCCCTTTCACCTTCAGTAACAACCACCACAAAATAGGGGAGCTCTTTTAGTGCATTAAACATAACTATAAATTTGCCTGCACTGTCATATCTTAATTATCCATATGGGGCCTATCTGTGGGAAACTTTTAATTCTAGGCTGGTTTCCCCCTCACATCCAACTTCTGGGCTCTCATCCAGTTTCTACCGTTAGTTGATCTGTGCCAAATTTATTTTAATGTTAGCTTAAGTCATATATTTAATTTATCATATTGTTTAGAAGATAAGAATGAGGTTGGTTTTTTTTAATTGTTTCTGAAGTCAAATAGTTGTGTTTTGGGGATTATCTGTTTTATTTCTTTAATCCAAAAATCAGGAGTTGATTGAATTTTTATAGATAGGAAAGATTTAGTTGGAAAGAATCTTCTAGGTCATCTGGGCTTCATTATTCCTTAGGAGTTTCACCATGCGCAAATCAAATCTAGTTGTCTGTTACCTTTTGAGTATGATCTCTGCCTGATGTTCTCCCTCTCCCTCTCCCTCTCTCTCTCTCTCTCTCCCTCCCCCCACACGCGCACACACACACACACATGCCTCATACACACAAAGAGTTTTTACGTTAAGTCCTAATAGACTATTAGAGTGTTATAATATCATTTTGAGTTCTGATTATGAAAACACATGGCAAAGGAGGAGATCCTTTATCTGCTTAGTCCTTGCAGCCTATCCTGTTCCCTGGTATATGTCCAAGATAATTCTGTGGTCTTTCCACTCTCCATGTCTGAGTTAGTGCCACACTTCAGGCACTCACTGCTTCGACGTAAACCCTCATGTGCAGCCTGGTGAAATATGGGTGGTCTTGAAACAGGACACTCTCATAGGCTGTCCAGGAGATCTGCTGACTCTGAAGGGTACCTGACAGTGGGCCGTGTGACTGGCTGACCAGAAGCTTGGCCATCAAGCAACATTTTGAACCAGTCAACAAAATGGTACAGATAAGAGCTTTATTTTATTAGCCAAGAGTTAAGTAATGAAAAATATGACTTGATAATTTTGTTGTTAATGATGGTGGTGGTGGTATTTTCCCGGTGATGGTTTGTTTTTCTTAAAGTCTTTACTTTTACTTGCTTTTTACAGAATGAGTCCTTGATTTTGAAGGGATTTTGAGAGGCCTTTTCACCTACCACCAGCAGAATTGCCCTCAGACCAGGCCAGGAGATAACATTATTTTTCCCTTTCTTAAAAATCTGTAGAGACTTAGGGTTACACCTAAATTAAAGTTGTGAGCATTCAGAAGACTTTGCTCAGAATCACCGAGAAGAAAGAGGAGAGAAGGGAAGGTCAGCAACTAATATTCAGGGATTTCTTGAAGCAAGCTAACCAAAACCGAGCTTTAAAATGAGAAAGCACTCTGGGGGCAAGAATTTTCAAGGGATTGTAAAGAATTGTAAGCATGCAATTAGTAGTGGGGATGGAAAATAGTGAATGGTTCAGGACACTGTGGACTGGCCAGTAGATTCGAGGTGAGCATGAAGGGAAAGAAATGAAGAATGGTACCTAGATTTGGAAGTTTAGTAGCTAAGAGGGAAGTAGGATGACTGAGAAAGGAATAGGTTTGGAGTTTAAAATCAAGAGTTCTGTTTTGGACATACTAACTTAAAATATGCTACTCATTTCTAACCACAAATGTTTGCATCTATGAAACGAGGATAACACCATGTCATCAGTAGTTGGGAGGATAAAATGAGAACCTATAGAGAAGTTTTGGGAACAGTGAAAAGCACTCTACAAATCATGGGAACTGTATTAGTGTAATTCAGTAGCTTGGACTTTGGCTTTATTAAATGATTCATTGATCAGGCAGCATCCCATCTAACAAGCAGAGAGGAGCTCCCAAAGGCTTAGACATCTAGAGAGTCTTTGACTAAACCTGAGAAAAAGAAGATGGAAAAGAGTGAGATTGACCAGCTTGTGAAATAGGGGACGATCTTGTCTCACGGTTGGAACTCTGAGGACTTCCCATAGCTGGGACAGTGAATTGAGCTGTGTTTGTCCATAGATACACAGATGGAGGTTTCTGATGGTAGAAGAGAATAGTTTGTTGTGAAGTGAGGGTCCCTCCTGCCTCTTCCACCCTCCCCACAAGGAAAAACATTAATACGAGGAAGAACCTTACAGATAATTCTATCTATCCCCCATGTTCCATAGAGGAAATGGAAGCCCAGGGAGACTATCTACAACTTTTGTGTTATTCAGGAGATAAATGTAAGGATTCTTTTCTTGCCTTTTTTGCAACCATTTGAACACAACAGTGAGTTTATAAGGTGTTTTGTTTTGTTTTGTTTTGTTTTATTTTGTTTTGTTTTTTAAGCAATCTCAATCTTGGAGAAAGGTTTCAGGTACAGTCTAAGACAATTTTTTGGAGAGTAAGTTGCTGACACAGCCTCTCAGCCTCTCGTGTGTGTGTTTTATGAACAGTACACTCTCATGCAAAACCACGATACAGCCATCAGACTCAAGAAATTCCTGTGCACCTCACAGACACTTCATTCTCAGGCCCCTTCAGGTTCTGCCAGAAATCCCAGTCATGTCCTCTCTAACAAAAGGACGCCGTTCCAATCTCCTGTTGCATTCGGTTATCCTGTCTCTTCAGTATTCTTCAGCTTGGTGGACTTTCTCAGTCTTTCATTGGCTCTCTTGACCTTGGCACTTGGGAAGACTACAGGCCAGTTATTTTGTAGAATTCCCTCAAGTTCAGTTTGTCTGATGCTTCCTCACGATTAGACTCAGCTTACACATTTGGCAGGAATATCACACAAGCGAGGCTGTCTTCTCTTTGAACCTTCCAGGTGGCACGGTTTCCATTTGTCCCATATTGGTGATGGTCACTCAGTCAGTTGATGAAGGAGGGGTCTTCCAGTCTTCTCTCCTGTAGAATTACTCTTTTCATCTATAATTCCATTATAGTCAGTAAATCTTTGTGAAGATGTTTTGAAATTATCTAAATTTACTTTTCTTTGTTAAACTTATGATTTATTCATTTATTTATATCAACGTGGACTCATGGCTTTCAGTTTTATCTGGTGGGTTATAATCCATTATTATCATTTACCTAAATGTTTAAACCATTCCTGATTTGGCCACTGAGAGTTCCTTCAAGCTGGTTTCTGTGTCCTGTTAACATATCCTCATTACTTCCTTTTTTCTGGTATCACAGAATATTCCAGGCTAATTTTATATTTTTCCCATCTCAGGCCTGGACCAGCCATTTCTCAAGGAGCCCTGGTTGTTGTAGTGGAAAATGATATTTAGAAGTCAAGATCTACTGGAGGCAATGTGCATGACTGGGCCCTCTCAGTATGGGGCTAGCTGTTTATTCTAGTCCAGCATTACTGGATTCATTCTGGTGTCTCCCTTTCTATAGTTGTAACTCCTCTGACAAAAAGAAACCTGGTTGCCACTATCTCTAGTGTATTTATTTGATCAAAAAACCACTGTTACCTCTTGCAAGGTGATGGTCCTCCTTGCCCTGTTCAGGCTCTGGCTTCCTATGCTAGATATCCAGCATCCACACCAGTGTCCTCCCTGTAGGTTTACCTCTCCCCACACTTGTCAGGCCCTGACACCCCAGTCCCAATTTCTTTGAGAACTGCTACATTAGGACATAAATTCCTAGGTGAATATTTGAGGACACTCACAAGAGCCATATTTATATACAGTTGTTGGTTGATACTCTGCTTATAATTCTCCTTTTTTCTCCTCCTCAAGAAGCATACCACAGTGCAAATTAGAATGGCATCATAGGGATAGCCTTAAATCTACTCTTTTCCATTTGTAAAAAAGTAGTTCTTTCATACCAGCAAACCCCAAATGATGGCAATCACTGTCTGTTGAAATAACATGGTTGCTGACCTCTGTCACAGGCATTTCTGCCCGGCATCTGGGTGCCATTCATCCCATTGAAAAGCAACAGGACTCTGTCATCGTTGATTTTCTCTTAGGAACCAGAGTTCCCACAGTATAAATATTCCATGGTCAGTTAGCCAGTGCTTATTACTGAGCATTTCCTGTGTGTTCACCAGAACCAACAGGACAGCAAATGCAGTCTCTACTTAGTGTGCAGTAAGCAGGCTGACATTTCTATACAGAGAAACCTTCCATAGGTTTACGCTGAGGGTAAAATGTCTGGCGGGAATTGATTAGCTGCCCTCACTTACAGTGATGTTCCATCTGTAGATGCTTAGCATGCACTGTGAACTTTGATTTTGCTTAACTGGATCTCTCTAGGGAATATTTCCTTTCAGTTCTAGAATACTGCATCTTCAGTTTAGAAAAATGGGGAGCCATGGAAAAGTACACAGACACAAAACCTTACAGCCCACGTATCCATTTTGATTTCCATCACACTGTTCTGTTTTGCCATTGCTATACATTCATTGAGTCTGTTTCCAAACACTGTGTGTAATCTAAGTATTTTTCACTATTTCCAGTTTTGTCCTCAGACCATATCTTCAAAGTTTCCTAAAACTGCTTCCTTTGTAAACTTGGTAACCGGGTAGTTGCAAGCTGTAATTTATTATGAGTTTAAAACCTATTACATATAAAGTTCTCTAATATCATAATATTCAGTAAGAGTCTGTTGTTACATGGTTAGCTTAGAATGAGGGTATCGGTCTTGTTGAAACTGGCATTTGTGGGATTTTACTTTCTTACTGCATGTTATGTTACCAAGTCCTATGGGATATAGAAGGCATTGGGAGACACAGGGTGCTCTGAAAGGTAGAAAAGTGGGAGTTGTGTAACACTGGGAAGAAGTCATTCTCGGGCGCCTGGGTGGCTCAGTTGGTTAAGCGGCCAGCTCTTGATTTCAGCTCACGTTATGATCTCAAGGTCCTAGGATCGAGCCCCATGTTGCAACAGGCTCCGTGCTCAGTGGGGAGTGTGTTTGAGATGCTTTCTCTCTCTCTCCCTCTGCCCCTCCCCCTGCTCACACTCTCTCTCTCTAAAATAAATAAATAAATCTTTAATAAAAAGAAAAGAAAGTTCTTTGAGGATATACTCAGTAGAATTTTATACAAGCGATATAAATGGGAATTCAGAAGCCTATGTAGCAACATGGATTGAATTATGATAAGTGAAAAATAAGACCCAAGATATTATGTACTCTGTGATTTTATAACTCTGACAAAATATATATGCATTTGAAAAAAACCAGAAAGGGAATACATAAAAATGATGGTTGTATGCAAGTTGATGAGACTATACTTTTTTCCCATAATTTATACACTATTAGCAGTGTTCTGTTGCTTTTACAATTTAAAATAAGAAACTCTGCAACATATGTCAACCTTTGATAAGACACATAATATCAAATCAGGAATAACTATATTTTTAAAATAGAATTATAATTCAATGAGTGGTGTTTTTTTGTTTGTTTGTTTTAGGCAAATATCCCAAACATAAACATTCAAAATGACTGCTGACCCTTTAGAAGGGATCCCCTCTGTGGTCTTCCTGTTGCTTAAAATAGCTTTTTAAATGTGGTCTTGAACAATGTGAATTAGGTGGTTCTGGCAATGAAGGTGAACGTTGGGACTGAGTACTTGATTCAAGAGGAAAACAAGGCTCTCCTGCATCATGTGGAGTAGTCATGCGACATCTAAGTGCTGATGTCCTCAGATGCACAATTTAATAAGGCTAGCTCTTGCAGCTTCTTGGACATGTTGTATTCAAAGATAATGATAAAGGCATTCTCTTTCTATTATTTCTTTTTCTTACCCCCTGCCTTCCCCTCTTTAGGTTTTCACTGGAATTTTCACAGCGGAAATGTTCCTGAAGCTCATAGCCATGGATCCCTACTATTATTTCCAAGAAGGTTGGAACATTTTTGACGGATTTATTGTCTCCCTCAGTTTAATGGAACTGGGTCTAGCAGACGTGGAGGGGCTTTCGGTGCTGCGATCTTTCCGATTGGTATTCCATATTTCTCCAATTTCTTTTTACATTTCCTGTCTTGCAGCTACTAAAAAATTTTTGCCTAAGTTAATTTGATGATTAAAAAAATCCTTAGCTATACTCTACTCACAATTCCTGTTGGCAGTTTATTGGCTTAGATACTAAAATCTTGAAAATTTTTCTGCTAAGTGCCTAATATAGAAGTTAGTTTTTAATATCAATCAACAAACAGAGGTCAATTTTAGGAAGTTCCTCAGAAAATAATGGTTAATCTAAAAGATGAAAAAGGATCCTAAGGGCTATTCTGAGGTCTAATGAATTTGCTAGTAAATTTGTTTCTTTATTTGAACATCTCCCTGAAATGGAATTTCTCCTTGTTCAAAGATATCTCTCATTTCTTCCATCATGGTGACACCTTCCAGAAAACAGGAATAAAATAGTATTCTTTAAAATTATATTGAAATTAATTGTTGAACATTGGCTTTTTTCCCATAACATTAGCTGAGGATTTTATAATGTATTTGAAGAAGTGAATGTTAAAATTACTAAAATGACTTTGAAAGAATAGTTAATGATATCCTCGAAATAGCTTCCCATAAACACAGGCATAAATGATGTCCTGATTAAGTCCCTTGAGAAGCTGAGTTACTTGGGGGATATCCTACTCAGAGCATCAGAACTGGCTTAGGTTTTTCTCTCCCTATTGGGAAAAATACCTTAGCACTTATAACTGAAAGGATTTTAGGTTTTTTCATTAGGATATTCAGCATGTTGAAGAAAGAGAATTGGAACAGAATGGAATTATTTATAAAAGAGAGGTCTTGCTCAGTCTAAGTCACAAATAACATCTGCCAAGTTTCTGAAACCTCTGCTTACTAGTCTTGGGTTAGGATCCAGCCCACAGTAGACTTTCTGAAAATTGTTCTCATTAGCTGGAAGATGAGATGAAGGACTAAGAGGTGGAATTAGCACTAGTATTCCTTATAATTTAAAAAGCCAGTCAGACAGGGAAAAAATATGAACGATCCAGATATTCATACAGAGAAATACCTGGTAAATCTTGAACTCTCAGATAAGACTAAAGCTTTTAATCGGGAAAAAATGTTCCATTCTGTGCTGTTGCATTCTACCAGAATTCCTATTAATCCTGTGTTAGTTATTAACTTATGACATCTGAAGATGATCTCATCATTATCATTTCATTCATGGGCTTTATGCATTATGATTCTCAGACTATTAGCTAAGACCTTGTAAGTCATTCATTACAGAATATAGAAATATCATGATTGCAGGTAACAGAAGTTCTGTCCTCTGAGTTAATATCATTATAGGCCCTTTTCATAAGATGTTTGGTATATGTGGAACTGCACCTACTAGGGCATTGTGCTCTTCCTCCAAGTTATTCCAAGCATATCTCAAAGTTTCATATTGATTATTTATTGGCAAGCAAAAAGAGAGATATTTAGATTTTTTTTTTTAAGATTTTATTTATTTGTTAGAGAGAGAGACAGCGAGAGAGGGAACACAGGCGGGGGAGTGGGAGAGGGAGAAGCAGGCTTCCCGCTGAGTAAGGAGCCGGATGTGGGGCTCGATCCCAGGACCCTGGGATCATGACCTGAGCCGAAGGCAGATGCTTAATGACTGAGCCACCCAGGCGCCCCAAGATATTTAGAATTTTTAAATGCAGTTTTTTTTTAAAGAGTTATGATTTATTTTTCACTGTCCTTACCATCCTGATCTTTTGCTTTACTACAACTCACATTTTCCTTCATATGCTCCTTGAGAAGTCAAGGCAAAATCAATAACAAAAGGATATATTCATGTATGGGTTCTTAAAAAGTGGATTGAGGGGTGCCAGCGTGGCTTAGTTGGTTAAGCGTCCCAACTATTGATCTCAGTTCAGGTCTTGATCTCAGGGTCATGAGTTCAAACCCCCTGTTGGGCTTCGTGCTGGGCATGGAGCCTACTTAAAAAAAAATAAAAGTTAAAAAATAAAACATAAAAAGTGGTTTGACTCAGAGACTAATACAGGGGGCTAGAGGCAATATTCTTGGTTCCTAGTTTAAGTCTTTAACTTACTGTGAAACTAATCCATTTTCCCTGTCTATGCCTCACATTCTCCCATTTTAGTCTAAGACAGAAAGTCCTGGGAACTTCCCAAAGGTGCTCAATAAATTTAAGCTGATCTCACTAATTTTATATATTTTTATTTTAGCCATGTGGAAGAACATGGATTGAGTATCATTTGATTTTTGTTTTGTTTTTTTTCCCCTTAGCTCCGAGTCTTCAAATTGGCCAAATCCTGGCCCACCCTGAACATGCTAATCAAGATTATTGGAAATTCAGTGGGTGCCCTGGGCAACCTGACCCTGGTGCTGGCCATTATTGTCTTTATCTTTGCCGTGGTAGGGATGCAACTCTTTGGAAAGAGCTACAAAGAATGTGTCTGCAAGATCAACCAGGACTGTGAACTCCCTCGCTGGCACATGAATGACTTTTTCCATTCCTTCCTCATTGTCTTTCGAGTGTTGTGTGGGGAGTGGATCGAGACCATGTGGGACTGCATGGAAGTGGCAGGCCAGGCCATGTGCCTCATTGTCTTCATGATGGTCATGGTTATTGGCAACTTGGTGGTTAGTACTAACTTGTACAACTTTTCATTCTTTGCCCGGAACATCTTAACCCTTGACCCAGATGCCCAATGGGCTTGGTCCTACTAGCTTCCATGTCTGTACTGGTTTTTAGTCTTTCTTGGCTCAAGAACCCTAAGGTACAAATGAGGGAGAGGAGACTGCTCTTTGCAGAGGCCTGCTGAGTCATAAGCCCCACAACCTGTCAGCCCTTTTTCATAGTTATGGAAACAAAACTCAGCAAAGTTAAGTGACCTTCCTGAAGTCAGGCAACTGGTAAATGTCAGGGCATGTATTAGATCCTGGACTACAAAATCTATGCTCTTTCTACTACAGAAGTATCCTTCATTTAAATTAGAATTTCTCAACCTTGACCCTGTTGGCACTTTGGGTTAGATAATTTTTTGTTGTAGGATTATCCTATGTGTTGTAGGATGTTGAGCAGCATTCCTGACCTCTACATTTTACTGGCCAGTAATGCCCCCCCAACCCTAATATGTGACAACCAAAAATGTCTCCAGATGTTGCCAACTGTCCCCTATGAGGCAAAATTGCCCTCCATTGAGAACCACTGGTCTAAACCGACGGAGGGTTTTATCTAACTTGTATAAATGGCTAATCACTTTTTTGCTTTACTCTGATCTGTCAGCCTGCTGTCTTCTGCCTCTGTATGTAGAATATTCACCAACAGAGATTTTGACGCCATGTTTTTCAAAGTGTGGTCAGAGGACTAGCAACAATGAGATCACTTTAGAGTATGTTAGAAATGCAGAATCTTGGGCCTCACCCCAGAACTACTGAATCAGAATCTGCATTTTTAACAGGACCCCCAGGTGATTGACATGCACACTAAAGTTTAAGAAGTACTTGTCTTTCACGTCAGGCCCAATCCAACTTGCAAGTCTAGAGCAAGGGGGGCTGGAAGAAAGCAAACCCAGATAACCCCCGTCAGCTCATCCAGAGCAGTTTTCCTCCTTTTTGTGCCATAGAGAAGCACGCCAGGAGAGAGTTCCAGCTCACCAGCCTCCGAACCAGCCGTGCCACCCTATTCTTTCCTATGATCTGTAAAAATAGACACTGTGATGTTTCTGTAATCCCTCCCTTTCTCCATTCCCGACCATCCTTCCCTCAGTGCTACTCCCGCTAGCCTTCCCACTTCCTCAGTGAATGCAGCTTTGCCTCCTGGTACATAGTGGGATCCACATTTCCCAGCCCTGACCTTGCCCCCCTTTCTCCATTCTCCTCACTTGTCTCCACATCCTCTCCCCATGACTCTACAGACACCTGAGCATGTGACTTTATTTCTGCTTCTGATGACACCTTTCCAGGTTCCCCTTTGCTCAGTCCTTCTGCCCACCTAGTCTCTGGGAATCTGTGACTGTAAGTCTCTTCTGACTCTCTTCTCTCCCTTCCCAGTAAATTGTCTGATGCCTTTCATACATCTTCATAGTATTTCTAAGATCTTCCCCACCCTTTCCATTCCTGTAGCCCATCCAGTATTTTTAAAGGTGTGGTCTGAAGATCACAGCCATCCAAGTTTCACTCATTAAAAAAGGCTGTCCCAGGGCCTATAGCAGATCTACTGAATCAAATCTTAAAGGTGAGGCCAAGGAAATATGTATTTTTTCATGTAACTCCCCCACTCCAGGAGATTTTCATGCATGCTCTAAGGTTTGAGGTTATAATAGCCTAATCCAGACCCTTATTAACTCATGCAAGTAACAGCTCTAACTGTACGTACCTGGTAGGAATGAGTTTCTCAAATCTCTATCATCTCTTACTCCTTTACTCAAAGACCAATAGTGAATCCAATTACATAAAATTCAAATCCCTCAGCCTGGCCTTCAGAGCCCCCTCCACCTCACCCCCATTTTACCAACCATATTCCTTTGTAATTCTACAAATGGCCCAAATAATTTGCATACATAAAGTTCACTTATTGTTTCCATCCCTCCCACTCTACCCATACTATTATCCCCACCCAAAATGTGTTGCTTGCTCTTCTTCAGAAGTGTGACAAAGTAAGGGCCAGGTGTAAATCAAGAAGTGAACACCTCTCCCAATTTGTAAAGTAAGTCTTAATAAAAATAAATTAATCTTAATGTCCAATGTGGTAAAATAGGCTATTAAAACATAAATAAATAAAGCTTGCATCTGATGGCTGGACACTTAGATATACAACAGAACACAACAGTCACCATCACTGTCTTATTAAGCTATTTTATTTTATAAATGTTAGGAAAACAAAGGAAATTAATTCTTCAGATGACATAAGCTGTATTTCAATTCTTTCTTGATTTGTTGTAAGAGCTCATGGCTCTCCAAGCCTAGTTGTTTTTCTCATGTGGGTTCTCCAAGACGTCCACTGCCCGTGAATACATGGCATCTGTCCCTTCTTCAGTCCTCCCAGTAAGCCATGTCCATCTTTTGCTTTGGTTTGAGGGGGAATTGTTTCCCAAGATGGATACAGTTTTTATTTTATCTGATTATAAGAAAAGTAATATATTTGGGGGTACATACATATGTATGTCAAACTATAAGAGAACCAAGAAAAGAGGTGCTAACCTTGTATTACAACCAAAACCAAACAAACTGCCCCCTTGGTGGAAAAGAGTATGGAGGTTCCTCAAAAAGTAAAAAATAGAACTACCATATGATCCAGTAATTCCATTACTGGGTATCTTCCCAAAGAAAACAAAAACACTAATTAGGAAAGATATATGCACCCCTATGTTTATTGCGATAGAAACTCTTGTGCCTGTCACATAAGTGTGTGGGCTTCCAGTTTTAATCCTAGTTTGCTGGCTGACTTGACTTAATGCCGTCTATGGGCTTCCAGTTTTAATCCTAGTTTGCTGGCTGACTTGACTTAATACCACCCTCTACGCTCCTTCTCCTTTCTCCTAATGCCACTGGTGCAGGTGCTGAACCTGTTTCTGGCCTTGCTTCTGAGCTCCTTCAGTGCAGACAACCTGGCCGCCACAGACGACGACGGGGAAATGAACAACCTACAAATCTCAGTCATCCGGATCAAGAAGGGGGTGGCTTGGGCCAAACTGAAAGTGCATGCCTTCATGCAGGCCCACTTTAAGCAGCGTGAGGCCGACGAGGTGAAGCCTCTGGACGAGCTGTATGAAAAGAAGGCCAACTGCATCGCCAACCACACTGGGGCAGACATCCACCGGAATGGTGACTTCCAGAAGAACGGCAATGGCACAACCAGTGGCATTGGCAGCAGTGTGGAGAAGTATATCATTGATGAGGACCACATGTCCTTCATCAACAACCCCAACTTGACTGTGCGGGTGCCCATTGCTGTCGGAGAGTCTGATTTTGAGAACCTCAACACAGAGGATGTTAGCAGCGAGTCGGACCCTGAAGGCAGCAAAGATGTAAGGTCCCAGTCTAGAACCCAACCTCGATTCTGTGTGGGAACAAATGGGGCCCTGTCAGCTCCCGAGACTGGTTCAGCTATGGGCTTGGTGGAGAGACTGTGGAATAGCCAGCTAGGTTTGGGAACCAACCCTAATACCCACTGTCATTCTAGACCTTCCCTGGGTGACCTAGTTTCCTGAGATGGTCCTAGATCCGTCTCCACTGCTGCTGGATCATCTCAGTCAGAGGCTGAAGCAAACCCTCCAGAACTGCCCTGCCGTTAATCTGTCTGAGCTGTAGCACTGAGACCCACCAGTAGCCACATTTTGTGTAGGGTGGATCGCTCATCTGGGAGCAGACTTCAGTGTGTTCTACTCAGTCCTGACAGAAGTTTTGAGGGCCCTCTGGTAGTTGTTTGCCCCTCCGGAACCGGATGATGATGAGTTTATAGTAAGAATTGCAAAGAATTACAGCTGGTCCCTCGTCCATGCCTGAAGTAGAACTGTCAGATGGAGTGGAAGTACCACTCCAAAGTTGGTTGAGCTCCCTTTTCTTTGCGAATCTAGAAACTGGATGATACTAGCTCCTCTGAAGGAAGCACCATCGATATCAAACCCGAAGTAGAGGAAGTCCCTGTGGAACAGCCAGAGGAGTACTTGGATCCAGACGCCTGCTTCACAGAAGGTGCAAGGGGGCAAGGACAAGGGTGGGCCTGTGGGCCTGGCACTGCTCGCGGATTTCTGCCGGGGTCAGTGGTTGGCTGAGGGTGGGTGCTCCGTGGCCATCTTCAGGAGCTTTGTTCCCCACCTCCGCATTTTGAGGGAAGTTGATGTTGTTTCCCTCGTTTGGTTCCTACCTATAGCGAGTTTCTATTCACAAACATTTCTTTGTCCATTTTCTCTTGGCCTCAGGCCAAAAACTTCCGATAGCATGGCCTGTTCTGTCATGGCTGTGTCAGCCTCCTGGCTACCCTTTTCTCCTCTCTCTCACTGCTTCTTTAGAGGACATCTTCCCAACCGCAGAGGCCATGCCCTGGTGGTCTTGCGGCATAGCCCCAGCCCTGCCACCGTCCATGTCTGAGTCAGACATTCCGATTCAGCCACTGTACTCCCGGCTGTGTGGTGGGGCAGTGCCTGGTGGGGCCTGAGAGCCCACGAGGGCTGGTCTGGGCGGGCACGCTCCACCGTCTGACCTGCCTCTCCCACTGGTGCCAGGTTGTGTCCAGCGATTCAAGTGCTGCCAGGTCAACATCGAAGAAGGGCTAGGCAAGTCCTGGTGGATCCTGAGGAAAACCTGCTTCCTCATCGTGGAGCACAACTGGTTTGAGACCTTCATCATTTTCATGATTCTGCTCAGCAGTGGCGCCCTGGTGAGTCCAGGGGAGAGGATGAGGAGGGATGGGCTGGGGAAGGCTTTGTAGGAACTAGTGGGAGAGACCAGAGGGGGCCCAAGCCCAGTTTCTCTGAGAGCACGGATGGCTGTGGTCCCAAGGATAATGGCCTGCCAAAGTGCTTTGGCCTGTTGTTTTGAGCCTTTAGGATTAGAATCCACTTAGCTACATCTTGATCTTCTTTACACTCAGCATGACCCCACTCACGTCCAAGACCCCCTTTCAATCAGGATGAGAGCACAAATTAATTATCTTCGCTGCTTAGTTTGCCCCATCCTAAGCAACTTCCTAAAATGAACTTCCCTTTCTCGCCTAATACCCCAAATATCTTGTTCTTTACTTTTCACTTGCCCCATATAGGAGAGAGGTTGGGTTCCCCTACGCCATCTCCCCTCACACCCTAACTGGTTTGGAAAACCCATGGCATTAGCAAATACTTAAAGAGCCAGGCCTCTGGTGTAAAGGTGGTTCATATTCTAAGTGCTTATCACTGATCAGTGTGAGGCACAGGGGGCACTGAACACGCAGGCTCCTTCCCTGCTGGAACTAATTATCTGAGCATTTGCTTTCATTTTAGCTGGCTTGTAACTGAGGAGACCTGGACAGGGTCAGGGGTGAGGGAGCTGTTCCCCAGTTGGATAGATTTGAGGATAGGAGGGACTTAGAGATGCTGCACATTTTCCTTGTTTGAGTTAAGGGAAAGCTGAAGAATACAGAATTTTGAAATGCTTTCAAAGAAGGCGGGCCCATTTGTGTAGGGATGGAAGCAAAGCCTAATCTGGATGCAGAAAATAGCAAGAAAGAAGCCCCAAATTTAGTGTTAAAGATCCCGACAGTGACTTGAGAAGTTTCGCTTCGACTGATGAGGTAGGAGAATAAGAGGAACTGAAATGGAGGCAGTAGGTGGCAAAGAAGAGCTGGTGGGGAGTGGGGGGCGGAAGCCGGGATTATGCAGGAATGCAGCAGGACAAATGCAGGAGGCCTGAGGGATGGCTTGGGAGCCTGGATCTGAGCCAGGCAGGGGTCCCACTGCCCTGCCTGCTCTGGGCCTTTGTTGGCTCCACAGCCCTTCCCTCAGTGCTGGCTAAGGTGCTGTGCAGCCCAAGATGACAGCAAGGTCTCTGCCCGCGAGACTCAGGCCAGTTCCGGGAGAAAGGTGTTTTGTGACTGTCATCATCGCTCTTCCTCCAATCTAGTAAATAGAAACCCCAAATTAAGAGAACATACCTCATCTGACTCTTCTCTTTCTCATCTCCACAAAAAATAAAAGCAGCAGTGAAACAGAAGTTTTGAACTTTCTTTACTGCCCACCTTTGACAGCTTTTCTTTATTGTAGATGAATAAAACAGGGGGTACTTGGCCCAGTACATGAAGACCCTGTACAATTAGTAGGCTTGAGACCTAAAAATAGTAAAGTGAAGGGGCGCCTGGGTGGCTCAGTTGGTTAAGCACCCAACTCTTGATTTCGGCTCAGGTCATGATCTCAGGGTTATAGGATCAAGCCCTGCGTTGGGCTCAGCAGGGAGTCTGATGGAGATTCTCTCTCTCCCTCTGACCCTCACCCCCACTCTCCACTCTCTCACTCTCTCTCTCTCTCTCTCTCAAAAAAAAAAAAAAAAAAAAAAAAGAATAACAAAGTGAAGCCATAGCTAAGATGTCTGAGAGAAGCCAAGAAGGGGGTTATGATGGGACTTCAGAGAGAGGGAATAGAGCCACCAGTGACGGGAAGCTCAGTCTGGGGCATCTCACATGTATTGGGTGACAGAGTGAATCTCTGCAAAGAGAGGTAAGGGGAAACTTGACGTGGAAGCTGTTGAGTTTTTCACTGAGCAGACCCCTGAGAAGGACTATGGACCTATGACCTCTCCCCAGCTGCCCAGTAATGGAACTGGAGTACCTGATGTCCATGTGCCCCCATGTTGGAAATGTATCTGCAGGCAGCCCAATTCTGTCCTTCCTTTCAGAACTGTCCGGAGCAGGACCTCCCATTGCAGGACACAGGACTTTTGTTCCACCTGTAGTTTTCTCTCACACTGCAGGACCCCCTCCTCTCCCTCCACAGCCCACCACTCCAGTCATGGGAATGCTCATACCTTCGTGTTAGGGCGTGACCTCATTCAGGAATTCCAGAGAGAGAAAGTCGGACTAAGATTTTCTTCACCTGAGCATCTCCCAGCCCTGTGACCCTCCCCCTGAATCTGTGGCATCAGGGGCTGAAGGGAGAAAAGATGTTATCATATAAACATATAGAGTGTTGGCAAGGACACGGAGAACCTGGAACCCTCATACGCTGCCGGAGGAAATGTAGAATGGTGCCGCCATTTGGGGGAGCTGTTTGGCAGTACCTCAAAAACTGGAGCCTACAGTTACCATGTGAGCCGGCAGTTCTGCTCCTTGGTATTATACCCTAGAGAAATGAAGACATGTCCACATAAAAAAGGATGCGTGAATGCTCGCGGCAGCGCTGTTCACAATAGCCAGAACGTAGGCACACAAGTGTCCGTCAGTGAGGAAGGTAAACAGACTGCGGTACAACTGTACATTGGAGTCTTATTCAGCAGTCAAGAGAAATGCAGCACTGATGTGGGCTGCAGCATGGACGAACTTGGAAAACTGTGCGCAGGGAGAGAAGCCAGTCACCAGGGACCACAGATCGGCTGATCCCCTTCACGTGAAGAGAGAAAATAGCACAGTGGTTGCCTGGGACTCGTGGGAGACAGGGAGGCTAGAGGGTGGCAGCTAGAAGGTGTGGGGTTTCTTTTTGGGGTAGATAAAGATATTCTAAACTTGATTGTGTGGTGGACGCACAACTCTGAATATACTGAGAGCTTTTGAACCGTAAGCTTTAAATCGCTGAATTGCATGGTACGTGGGTTGTATCTCAGTAAGACTTTTTCTAAGAAGCCGCATGAGGCAGGGGGGTGGGGTGAGAGAGACAGGAAGCCGAGGTTAGGCCCGCCGCAGGGGGAGGAGCTGCCGAGGTGAGGGGGGCCTTCCAGCCCAGCTTGCCTGCCTTCAGGCACGGTAGGCAGCCACTGCTTCTCTTTTAGGCCTTCGAGGACATCTACATCGAGCAGAGAAAGACCATCCGTACCATCCTGGAATACGCTGACAAAGTCTTCACCTACATCTTCATCCTGGAGATGTTGCTCAAGTGGACAGCCTACGGCTTCGTCAAGTTCTTCACCAATGCCTGGTGCTGGCTGGACTTCCTCATTGTGGCTGTACGTGTCCTGCTTTCTACTCCCCACCCCTTCTGGTAGCAAAACAAAAGCAGGGATGTGCCTTCCTCCAACGGCCAGAGTTGCCTGGGGACCCAGGATGTCGGACAAGATGGAGGTGTAGTTTTGGGTAAAGCTCCTGTCGGAGCACTGAGATAGTGCTCTGAGAGGCCCTATATTTGCTCCAGGGACGAACCAGCCGGCTCTGTGCTCTGGTGGTTCAGCTTAGAAGAGTCAGAGATTAGGAATGGGGAGTGCAAACATTGGTGCCAGCACCCCTTGTTATTAGGCTGGGAACAAGAAGGTTCTTGGCCCACACCAGCAGGCTGTCCTCTTCCTGGTGCCAGGAGAGGGGTGAGGATGACGTGGGTGCTGCTGGGGTCCAGGTTGGGGGGCGGATCTTGGTAGGCTCTCTGCTGACCGTTCCTCTGGACACTTCCATCAACTAAAGGCTTCGTACCAGACTCCTCTGAACAAGTCAGTCTATCCAGAGGAGGTGGCGTTCACACCAAAATAACCTCCCCGCCTTCCCACACATTGCCATTTCCACAGTGGTGATCACACTTAAGAGAATCCTTTTTTCCTCCAGATTCCAAGACCATCTCCAAGGCTTGGTGGCCTCTGATCATCTGCAAGGCTTGCCGGCCATCACCTCCTCTGTTATTTTTCAGGGTTTAAGCTGCATCATCTGTAACTGTTTGCTCACCCCTCCAGCCCTTGTTCCTTGTTGGCTTTTCTAACTGTGTTGAGTGCTTCTGATTCTGTGTAATCACTAAAGCTCTTTTCTTCTAGCCAAATCAGCATTTGAAAGAAAGGGTGAATGGGAATTTCAGGACCAGGGCCTACGGAGAATTCACTTCCTGCTGAGCGCTAAGTACCAAGCAAATGGAGTGTTTGGAGGCTGGGTGGGTACATATAGAATATATATTTCCTCAGCTGTATAGTAAACTACCTAGAGCGTGCCTCTGGGATCCCGAACAGAGCAGCATGGAAGCCTCTGTCAAATGACAGGAGCCCAGTACTCCGCACCAGTGATCTCTGCTCTATAAATGCTTTCCTGTTCCTACACAGTGTCTGCGACTTCCGACTTCCGTGGTTAATGACTCCTTCCAGGAGCTCTTCGCTCTGCTCCTATTTGCATTCCCTTTTCAGAAATCAGGCCTTTAGAAGATGCCAGATGAGGTGAAAGTCACCCTCTGCCCTTAAAGTGGACCAAACAGGTACTGCCTCAGAGGGCACCAGCACGAGGCCTCTCTAGCAAGAGGTTTCAGCACTCCCTTCGGCGACTACCGCTGGTACCTTCTGACGGAAGGGCTCTGCCTCCCGCGGACGGAAAGCCCGAGCTCTGAGAATTCAGAAATGGGCTTGGGAGATGGCCCAGAGAACTAAAGGGACTCTGGGCCTGCTCTCTTTCCACAGAACAGGACCACCGGGTACCCAAATAAGCTGGTAAAAGCATTGACCGTCCTGCACATCACCATTTATTTAGCAAACATTTCTATCACTTTTCATACTGGGTGGCAGAGAAATAGAAAGTATGAGACAGGGGCGCCTGGGTGGCTCAGTCATTAAGCATCTGTCTTCAGCTCAGGTCATGATCCCAGGGTCCTGGGATCGAGCCCCACATCGGGCTCCCTGCTCGGCGGGAAGCCTGTTTCTCCCTCTCCCACTCCCCCTGCTTGTGTTCCCTCTCTCGCTGTCTCTCTGTCAAATAAATAAACAAAATCTTAAAAAAAAAAAAGAGAGAGGAAAGGAAGTATGAGACAGACATGTGGCCAACAGTAATCCATAAATTCCCCAGCTTGTGGGAGTTGCTGGATTCTTACATTGCCTTGAGACCTGACAGTGGTTCCTAAGAACACCTCTGTACCAGTTATTAGTCAACAAATAGAAATCAAATACCATTCTCTGTGTAGAGCTGTCCCAGAAGCTGTAGGGAGTCATGTGGGGCAGGCAGCCATGGCCCCAGCTCCTTAGGCACTCACACCAGCTTGCAGGACTGCTCGGGCCTGACTCCAGCCTTGCGGTAATCCAGCATTCTGGGAACAGGGCTCCCCCGGGACCCTCCCATCCACTGACTTCTCTTGGACACAACAGTGCATTTTGTATCATGTTTACTGAGCACCCACAACATGCCAAGCCTCCTGCCAGGAGCTGTGGGAGATACAGAGAACAGAAGCCATGGACAGTTCCCTCGAAGGGCCCGAAAGATGAGACATGTATACAAATAATCACAGTCTAAAGCAGCATGCGCTAAGTGGGAGCAGCTCCAGTCCGCACTGTGGCTGCACCGTTTGCCACCCTGAGTTGTGAATGGAGAAGCAGGCTTAGTTGTGAATGGAGAAAGAAGAACAGCTGGAGCCATCACAGTTTTTGCTGTCTTGTGCCTTTGGCATTCTAGAACATCCAGCAGGTGTAAATTTTAGGTCCTACTTTAGCACCATCTCTGAGAGGCTCTCTTCTTCCCATCTCATCCCCCAGTGACTAGATGTCCAAATCTGTTTTTCATCACCATGTTTGTTTCCCTAATGGATTCTCATTCCTTTGTATTGTCCCTTAAAGCTGCTAAGAGGACTTTTTACAATCACGTGGATAATCCTGACAATTTCCAAGGTTAATTCTCTTTGGTTACAAGGCATGTAATTCCCAGAGACAATGTTTCATTTTGCTCAGGTTCTTGGCTGCACTGGAGATCTTGTCCTGTAGAAGAATTTTGTCATCTTTCCCCTAGGGAAATTTATCCCATCATATCCGGAGGTTAGCCAGCGTATCGGTTTCAAGGACGGGAACTTTCAGAGACCACACATCCTGAATTCAGACTATTACAGACATTCTCCATTTGCAAACGTTCACATCATTTGGAAGAAGTCCACCCAGTGTCTCCCTTTTTTTCCCATTCCTGTAGCCACTGATACCCTGAACTTTTACTTCACCTCAACTCCTTTCTTTTTTCCAGGTTTGATTCTTTCCTTAAAGTGTACTTTCAGCAATGATTTTGTTACCTCCAGTGAAAGTTTAACATGGTGACTCAGGATTATCAGAGCGCCCTCAGCTGCTAAGGAATAGCCCACAGGATCCTTCTGACCCTGCCTTGGGAGATCTTGGCTAGATTGATCCACTGAGCAGCACATTATCTTGGCACCATTTAGAGCCAACCTCGGGATCGGCATCTGTACCTCCATCCTTCTTCCCACCTCAGGCCTCTTCGTTATCAGATTAACCACCCCTGGCCCCCCCGAAGAGCTGGGTCTCCCTGCCATGTGTGGGGCCCGTCGTGCGTGGGGCCCATCGCCCCTCAAAGCTTAGTGTTTTGTGGTCTTTACCTGGCATAGTTTCTCAGGATGAGGTTGACTCGGGTATTTTGAACTCAGGCACTTAGTCAGGATGGGATAGCTCACCTTCAGGTGTACCTACTGGGGTCTCACTAAGAATCTGGCAATTATAGGGGCGCCTGGGTGGCTCAGATGGTTAAGCGTCTGCCTTCGGCTCAGGTCATGATCCTGGAGTCCCGGGATCGAGTCCCGCATCGGGCTCCCTGCTCCTTGGGAGCCTGCTTCTCCCTCTGCCTCTCTCTCTGTCTCTCATGAATAAATAAATAAAATCTTTAAAAAAAAAAAAGAATCTGGCAATTATAGATTATTTGGTGTTAAGAGTTGGCTGCACTTGGCAATAATAGGCAAAAACACCTCCACGTAGATTCTTCCTGGTAATGATGAATGGAGGGAAAATGATTGGTTGGGCTACTGTGTTCCAGATAAAGCTTTTGAGGCCCTTGTTTTAGACAAAAATTGAACTCTGAAGCATGTGCCCTTCAAAGAACATGAGTAAATAGGGCAGGCTTTAATTCCAGATTCGCTTTGAATACTGCCTAGGACTCCAGGGAAGATACCTACGCTGAAGGATTATGAGCCCATGCATGGATAAAGGTTCACACCCCTTTTAAAAAATTGAAATCCTCGAGCCTGCTCATTCCTCTCCCTCACTAGGTCACGGACATTCCACTTCTACCTCCTGTCAGTCCTGCTGCTTCATTGTAAAAAGAAAAGAAATTATTTTTTAAAACGTTTTATACAGTTCAGAGATACAGAATCAAAGAATTAAAGCCCTCAGCTAGAGATAAAAAGCAACAAATGAAACTGAGTTGCAGATTGTTTCCTTTTTTTCTCCTCTAATTTTGCTTTAAAACATCAATTTAGGCCAAGCAGATCTGTAACCACCACTTTCCAGTAGAGGGAACTTAAAAATGATTGATGGGAACATCTTAACCTATCCCAGAATTTGTGGTGCAGTACTCGGGCAAGACTCCTCCAAGAAACCAGAGCCCCACGCCTGGGTGGCTCAGTCGGTTAAGCGTCTGCCTTCGGCTCAGGTCATGATCCCAGGGTCCTGGGATCGAGCCCCGCATCGGGCTCCCTGCTCTGCAGGAGGCCTGCTTCTCCCTCTCCCACTCTCTCTCTCTCTGTCTCTCATGAATAAATAAATAAAATCTTTAAAAAAAAAAAAAAAGAAAGAAAGAAACCCAGAGCCCCAGACATGTCAGGATTTGATCTGCTAAAGATAGTTTCCTTTGGTGGGAACTCAGGTCAGGCCCAGGTGGCCCTCGGTATAGTCAGCATCCAGTGTTATGGGACCACCTGGGAACTGCTCTGAGCGCTCTGGTAGGGCAAGGTGAGTTTGGCTCTGGAAGAGCAGGAAGGCATTTGACCATCACGACACCAGGCCTGGAGACTTGCAGGCTTCTCCCCAGCAGGGCAATAGAGTCAACTCCGGATTGTTCAGATACCGATAACCCTCTCTTGGGATATTGTACCTGCCAGTCGGGGAGGTGACCTGTCTGTGGCAGAAGGAGCTCTGGCCTACAAACCAGGAGGGTGGGTCTCTCTTTCTGGCTCCAGAATGCCAGTGTGACACTCGGCAGATTCTCGTGGGTCTCCATGTGCTCCTCTGTGAATAGAATTTCTAAAATTTTTCTAAGAATCCTTCCAGCTGTTTTTCTAACAATGAGAGTAGAAGATGGTCCAGGAAGGGACAGACCTGAGGCCGGTTCATTTTGAGCCGTTCTGGAGAGGAAGAATGGGGATGATAAGGAGAAATATGGGTTCAGTTTTCAGACCCACCCAAGTTCTCATGAAGGAGTCATGGTGGTAGTTCAAAGACGGAGGGATTATTATAGTTGAAAGTGAGAGATGGAAGAATTGCTTAAGGGAGTTCTCGTGGAGCCAAAACTCTGTCTAGAAATTGCTTCCTTTGGTTCTTGCCTTCTCGGGAACTGCAAAGCCAGCTGTGGCGCCTACTGGATACGTTTCCTTTGTTGATGTAGTAACTCATCACATTCTCCAGCAAATGGTTTCTTGTCAACCAGGAGCAAGAGAGCTTGTCCCTGTTGGAAATCCATGGTGAATGAGCTGAGGAGGGGGCAGCTTGTGTGGAGTGTGTGTATTTATCTGTATTCTTTTCCATAGGTACCATTAAATTTGTCTGGCTTAATTTAATGGCAACTTCTGGGAGCTGCAGAGGCTGTAAAGGGCGAGGGTAAGGTTTTTGTCATCTGTTCAGGCTCCTCTCCTTCCACTGGAACGTCCTCATTCCCCCTCTCCCTTCAGCCTCTTCCCTTTGCCAACCTGTATGTATGTTCTACCGCCTCCTCTCGATTTTCTCCTCCCCCCTGTGTTTTTTCTTCTGCCTCTCAACCTCCTTTCCTTTCAGGTCGTTTGAGTCCAAGTTGAAGTAGGCAGCTGGTGTTACCCACTCTCTCTCCCTGGGGGGGCCCAATCTGTGTAATCAGTGCTAGGGGCTTTATTCTAACACTCTGGAACCTCTTTTCTTGTTTTTCTTTGTTTTGTTTTGTTTCCTTTTTTGTTTTTGTTTTTCTCTTCTGTTTCCGTGTAGGTCTCTTTAGTCAGCCTTATAGCTAATGCCCTGGGCTACTCGGAACTAGGTGCCATAAAGTCCCTTAGGACCCTAAGAGCTTTGAGACCCTTAAGAGCCTTATCACGATTTGAAGGGATGAGGGTAAGATACTAAGAGCAGCTGATCCTTCTGCATGCCGATGGAAACTGTTTACGCATGCTAGAACTGATCACACGGTGGGAAGATCATTCAGACACGATCTGTGATGCAGCTGCTGATTTGATCCTCCACTCTCTCCCCGCACCTGCCCTGTGCGAGGGGGTCGCATCAAGCTGCCTCATCACATTAATATGGGCCCCACCCCAACAGTGTGCCATTGCAGAACATGTTAACGCTGGCTATTCTCATTTGGCCTGGCTTACCTGTAGCACTCGGGGCGGCTTTCTGGGCTGTTGATTTAATAGGGAGAATCACCAGGTGCAAAGAAGGGGAATTGTAACCCACAGACCCACTGAAAAGCAGAGGCTGCAGGCAGGGCGAGTGCCATGTAGGGGCATCAGCCAGGTGGGGACTGTGGCCTTGCCGTCACTGAGAAGGCAGCTGAAAGACATGATGGCAGGCCTGGAATTGGGAATGGAGCAGAATTTGGCATGGCCCTGGGAAAAGAAATGCTTTTCTTTCTATTCTGATTCCTCTTATTGCACCTTGTTGTTCTCAGCCCAGTCCCATAAGGACTGGCAGCCTCTGTCTGATAGCAAAGCTTTCCTCCTCACCCCCCACCCCTCTGCCCACGCTATATGGTCCCCTATCCTGACACCATCAAAATAACAATCAGGTATGATGCCAGATGACTCCTCAGCTAGTTCTCCTGAAATTTCTTGACACCTGCTATTCCTGCTTTGGTGATACTCCACCCAAATCCAAACAGGGCAAGGTGCTGTCACCCTGCCAACTTAGAAACAAGGCTCCCTCTTTTGGTGCCCTTTTGCTGTCTCTCTTGGTTAAAAAAAATGTGCATGTGTGTGCATGTGCGTGTGCACACACACACATGCTAAAAAGTCAATTTCCTAAGATCAAGTGGGCAACTGGCTTTTAGTGGTAATCGTTGTCCTGTGGTAACAGAGAGGTCTGTTATACTTAACGAGACCAAGAAAACTCGTTTCCATTCAGATGTTGAATACATGCAGGAGAGCAAACCAGAGGATATGTTTTTAAATGTGCAGACATCAGAATGTAGGAATAAAAATTAAATGGTTCCAGTGGGCCCCAGGAAGCAAGGCCGACTGGAGAGACTAGGTACGAGGCCAGTGCCACCTCACCCATTCCTCATCTGTGCTCCCTGGCCACCGCTCCACAGAACTCCCCACGGTTGGACAGGAGGGTGAAAACGTCACTGCGCCTCGGGAATTGTATTTGTTAGTTTCTTCAGACAAATACTTTTCGCCACCAATTGTGTCTTTTCTGTAGCACAGTCACGGTTCGGTTTACTGCATATAAGCTTTCCGCAACCCACCTAAACCGTCGGCAGGAAGGTCGGGTCCACGGCAACACAGACTTCTTTCATTTTAAAAAACAAAGCAAAACTTGGGAGAAAGAAAGAAGAGAGATTTCAGAACGTGTGCAGTGAGGTGACCAGTAGGCGCAGGCTAGAGCGAGGGAGAGAGAGAGTATACTGCGGACGACTCCGTGTTCCGGGTCATCAGACCTAGGACTGCCGTGCCCTCCCCTCCTCCCCCGCCTTCCCACAGTTTTCAGCAAGGGCTGGTGAAACCCTTTTCATAAGTCCTATCAGTTCTGTTTAGAGCGTTGATAATCGGTGTTGGCGACTGAAACACTGAGTAAAAGAAGGCTGTTGAAGACCGTACTGGGCACACGGTAGCCATCCCAGCAGCCTGTGCTCTTCCTCAGCCGATGCCAGTGATCCTGGACCTCCTAAAGCCAGACTGGTAATAGCTGAAGAAAGCCCAAGAAAAAATGCCCAGCTGACACTTGCTACTAACTTTCTCCACCCGGATGCTCATTACTGCCAGGCCTCGCCCGTGGCAGAAGTCGTCCCCGATGACCAGCTGGGGCCAGCTTGCTCATGAGGAGGTTATTTGAGTCACCTGGACTCAGGGGCCCTTTGGGTGGCCACACCGCTTCCCTTCAGCCCCTCCCCCTCTCCCACCTTGCCTTGGACTCCCAGTTTCCATTCCCCAAAAACTTCTAGTTGCCAACTTTCAAGTAATTTAGGGACCAGAAGCAGTGATCAGAACCGGCAGAAAGTTTTCTCTGAAAAAGCGTGAGAAAGTGAAACCTCTACGTGAAGGTTTTTTTCAGCTAAGAGAATATGAGCGAAAACCAGTATGAACCAAAAGCCAGGATTTCAAACAATGAGTGTTCAGTAAGGGAAGCTCTGGTAGAGGAGTGTCCCTTGGTTTGGTTGGCTCCGGTCAGCCAGCAGAACTGACCACTTCTGGTTGGGCAGGGGCGAGGGCTCAGGACCCCGTCCTGTACTGCAGTTTCCCAGCCCCTCTGTGGAGGAGTAACTGCAGGAAGAAAAGACTGAATCTGCCTGAGCTAACAGTCAGCTTCCCAGTGATAAACAGGATTAGGTATATGCATTTTATTCGAAGGCTACTGTCCTATAGGGCCATATGTTTTCTATTTTTTGGCTTGGGTTCTTACACCGACACTGAGCCATTACCCTTAGAAAATGTTCGGTAAGAACTCTTCATAACCTGAATACCATCCATGCAAGTGGGCTCAACCGTCACTGTGCTATTCCAATGGTGGGCTCAGACCTCCGTTTGGGAGGGAACGTAGGGTCCCAGCCCGTCCCGGGACACTGACTTCAGGTCTTCCTCTCTCCTTCCTCAAACCAAACACCAGAAAATCGAAACACTCATGCTCTTGACAAAGGAACACTTAATGTAGTTCTTTGCTTTTCTCTCCTCCATAGTAATCTTCATTTAAGAGATTTTGCTGTGCTATTAAATTTTTGAGGGTATATAATGCTATGAAACCTGCATGCCTTTTTGTTGATTGTCAGTACATAGTTGTCCATTAAAGCCATGTTCCCTCTGCCAGATATTAAAAGCTATTTGACAGATTTTATAGCATTTAATGAATGGTAATGTTCTAGGCATTATGAGAAGACAACACTGCTCTAAGAATTAGTATCCACTGGAATTTTTTCATCAGTTAAGTAGATCTGAAGCAATCTTTAAGTATAAATGTCCACTGAAAACAGTAACTTCATAGATTGCTAGACCCAAGTTTTAGTAATATTTCTATACCTAGTTTTGAACAATGAATTTTTATCATAACTAAAGGCAATGTAGAATAACCCAAGAGTTGTTAGGGACCAATTCACAAAGTGACTGCCTATGGAAACTTGAATTGCCATTTGCACTTACCTGTAGTGCGAGAGTGCTTCTTGCCCTTTGGTCACTGAGAATATCAGCACGATGACAATTATATATGGAGCACGGTTAAACAATTTTCATTATTAGCTAATGTCTACAGCCAGGAAGAATTATTAGTAAATTTCATCAACTGTTTACTGTTTTATTCATAAAGCTAAGCTAAGAAGTTTTTCTTTGGTTATAATTAATCAAAAGTACATTTACATCATATAAGTACATTGGATTTTATAGGATTTTGTGTCCTACATATCAGAGAACAAGGTTCAGTAAATACTTTTGTGTATTGATTCTTTTGATCAGATCTATGAGTATAAAAGTGGGAAGAGGTCACTTAGTTAACGAGCTAATTATTCTTCCCTGCTATAAATATTACCCCATATTTAACTGTAACGTGTAACACTGTGCAGGACGGGTTAGACTGGGTTAAGATAGTCAGAAGAGTTCCTAGAGGAGGTAGATTCTGAATTGAGATAAAAAGAAGCATTTCTAGGTTTGAAATCTTTTGGGGCCTACTTCCCTATTGCACACTTGTGATGGTCTAATAGAAGGTCATGATCTCTCACCTAAGCTCTGCTGCAAAATGCTGTCACATAGACTTGAGCTTTTGAATTTTGATAATCGACTCTTATTGTCCGAGAAATGATTATTCCATTTGTGGATCATCCTCTTTTTGCCTGTCCTTTTGCACATTTCATTGCTTTCTGGTGCTCCACCAAGGGGTGAGCAACTGTAGAATGAGGAGGTAAAATTCAAATCTGATCACCTGACAAATTTGGTAACATCAATCAATCAATCAATCATTCTCCAAAATAACGTAGAGGATTTTCTAGATTTCAGATATTCTGGCTTTCCTCCCTCAAAGTAATGAACAGTTGAAGGGTAATCATTTTACACTAATGACAGAGTTATTAAATCTAGAAGAGATTTCTTGGTCTAAGAATTAAGAAATAACTACCTCTCAGTCTAAAGGCCTTCATATGTGAATTGGAGAAACACAAAACTAATATTTTAATCTAAAGAAGAGTGACTCCTTAGCAGAATATCATTGCCTTTTTTATATAGGACAGAACAGCTCTTCCCAGCCCCGCGTTCCTACCAGTGACATTGCAGTCTAAGGCGAGAACAGAAGATAAGGAAAACCCAACCCCAAGTCAAGTTGGGCTCAAACGGAGCCCAGAGCTGCCCCCTGGTGTTCATTCCACAGCACAGCCCTGTGGGCCCTTTTGATGCTGTGCTTATGCAGTGTGTATGTCCTGCCTCTTCCCTGCACTGAAAAACTGAGGCCAGAACACGGTGATATTTCTCACCTCCTTCTCACAAAACATTAGGAAGCTGTGTTTATATCCATTGTCTTTATTTTAAGTCCATTTTAATTTTCCTAGGATATTTAGAAAAAGGAAGACACATTCTTCCCACTTTAGAGTCACCTTTCTGGGCCTTAGCAGTCCCGCTTAAGACAACAGCAAGTGAGAATCAGGGCAGAATGAACACCAGCTTTATTTTCTGCCCCCCCCCCGAAATGCTATTTTTACAAGCCCTTTGAACTCCTCTAGTGAAAATTGCCACCACAGTTGAAGTGTTGTCTAGCTACTCTCACCTATAGTGTGAATCAAAATCAAAGTTAAAAACAACCCAGAAACTTTGATTCCTGAAGGGTTTTTTTCCCTTTGCATTTTTTTCATTCCCGAGCCTTACTGCAGTCAGTGATTTTTAACAATATGCCGGTTTTGGGGTTTCAAGAGCAGTGATCTAACTCAGAGCTCTCCAGAAAATGTAAGTCATTCCTATTTCTAATACATTGTGAAGAGTCGAGTCCAGCCCTGGATTGAGCAGAGAGACATCAATCAGCATTAGCCAAACAGGGGTGACTCAGATTCAGAAGCCTACAAAGTCAGAAAAAAAAAAAAAAAAAGGCTTAAGAAGAATAATGAACCTTGAGTGAAAAATTCATCTGTTCAGATTTTATTTTATTCTGTTTGGTAGAGGGAATATAGCTTTTTTTTTCTCTTGAGCCTGCAAAATATGCATGCTCAGCTATTGCCTGAAATAAGATAACTGGCCTTGCATAAAAGAGACTTTGTGTACCATTGACTGATTCCCTGCTAACACCAAAGGGTAGTTCTCTGTGATTTTGAACAATCCTACCTTGTTTTGCAGAGGGGGAATGTCTGTTGAAAGGCGACTGGTGAGCTTGAAATCAGATTTCCCCCATGGGGACATATTTTATGAGTTGGCAAGGAGGGAGACTAGACTAAGAAATAATTTTTTCAGTCCCAGGTTGGAGCCTGGGAGAGAAGACCTAAGTCAACTGGGGCAGGGGAATTCGTGTTAGATGAAATAAATATTATGGAATTTACTAGTATTCCTCAAAATATATTTTAGAGATTTAGAAAATTTTGGTCCTACTTGTGGATCTGTCCAGCCACACTAATTCCAAAGGGGATGTAACGTTTTTATAGTCAGAACAAGCCACACAGTATCATTCCCCTCCTGGAAATCAAAAGAGTATGCTTGCTCATACTTCCTCCCAACACTCAGCAACCTCCCCCTTCCAATGCAGGTGGTGGTGAATGCCTTGGTGGGCGCCATCCCCTCCATCATGAATGTGCTGCTGGTGTGTCTCATCTTCTGGCTGATTTTCAGCATCATGGGAGTTAACCTGTTTGCGGGAAAGTATCACTACTGCTTTAATGAGACTTCTGAAATCCGATTTGATATTGAAGATGTCAACAATAAAACTGAGTGTGAAAAGCTCATGGAGGGGAACAACACAGAAATCAGGTGGAAGAATGTGAAGATCAACTTTGACAACGTTGGGGCAGGCTACCTGGCGCTTCTTCAAGTGGTAAGCATTGCTCTTTTTGTCAATCCTGTGACGCTCAGATAGCTGGCAAAAATTGCATTTGGTTCCTTCTCATTCCTGCATCCAGAATCAGGATTACTCCTAGTAGGCCACAGAGAACAATGTCCTTTCCCAAACCGGTTCCAGGGAGACGCCTTTCCTGAGAACTTCTGAATTCTCCAAGACCTCACTCAAAGGGGATCTTTCACTGTGCTCAGGAGCAGAGTTCTGCTCAGCTACAAATAGATTCCTGCAGCATAAGAAAGTTGCAGAGAGACCACCGTCTCTCCCCAGGACAAAGTATGTATTTAAGGAGAAGGCGCGGGGGTGGGGGGGAGGAGGAAGGTAAGTGCATAGACACCACCCCCACCAAAAAAATGGGAATTCTGATTCAGCAGAATAATCCTATATAACAGCTACACTAAGTGAACTAAAGAAAAGAATATGGCAGTGCCAGGATGCTGCCACTCATGTCAGCCCAACCCCAGAGAAAGGTCTCAGATTAACGTATCGCGGTAAGAAAGGATTTATTTTAATTATGTAGCCTCCCGTCATGTCTAGTTTCCTCTTCCACTGTCACCAATTTTTTGGACTGTTTGATGAGACAGGATGATGCAGTGAAAGCTCTTAAGCTTTGGAGTCAGACAATTGTAGGTTTGAGCCACACTCTGATGTTTATTGCATATGTAACCTTGGACAAATTGCTCAACTTCCCCAAGTCTGTTTCTTCATCTGTTCAATGTCGGTAATAATACCTTGCACTGTTGTTAAGAGGACTCATGATAGTTTATTAAAATTTCTCAGAACAATGCCTGGCACAGAGCAGTGCTTAATTAATAGTATTTTGCTATTAGGTGTTTTTGTTACCTACATCGTATAGTCGTTGGGAGGATTGAATGCTCTAATGCAGGTGAAACTTTCAACTTGACCTTACAGATAGTAAGCACTTACTGTTAGCTAGTATTAGGAGCCAAAGTTAATAGAATGAGCTTTATCCTACTCCAGAGTCTTTTGTTGTTTTATCCAGTTGGGGAAATTGGACCCACAAAGTGAATCTGAATTGGAGCAGCTCCAGGAGACCAATGCACATCAATCAGCCAATTAGACATTGTATTCAGAGTCCCCACCTTGTGCAAGGTGCTGTGCTTGGCACTACTAGGGCCGCCTGATGAATAAAGAACCACCCGTGCCCTGAAAAAACTTGGGAGTCTGGTTGAATAAACAAAACAAATGGGACAAAAAGAAAACAGAGAACACTGAATTGCTAACCCGTATTTGTTTCCAAAATCAGACGAGGTATAGTAGGTGGAAAGAGAGTGCAGTTAGGAAGGGCTGTCTGGGATGGAGCCAGGATTGCCATTGACATAGGCTGAATGCAGAAAGTGGTAGGGGGAAAGTTCTGGCCTTGTGTTGTTTTGGGGTTTTTTTTTTCACTGCAACTTAGAAATTTTCAGACCCCCATTGCTTATTTAACACCATTGTAAAAAAATGACTTGTCAGTGGTAGGCTAAGTTCCCAGTACCTCAGTAGATTCCTGCCACTCATTTATAAATACAAGTTTGCCCTGGCGTTAGGAAACCTCCTCAGACCCATTTTAAAGACCTTTTATGAGAGAATTGATCCAATTACCATTGTCAACATGTTTCTCTGCCAAACTTTGGTGTTATTTTCAGGGACTGAGTCAAAGCTCCCTCGGGACCTGTATTAACTAACAGAAAATTCTGTGTCCGTATGAAGCCATGCCCAAACTCTGTCTTGTGTTCACGCTGAGCCTATGAGCCTGGCCTCTGTGACCCCTGCCTAGACCCCCGCCCACCCCCTAACAGGCACAGTCTAATGACTGACTCTGTTTGCCAGGCAACCTTCAAAGGCTGGATGGACATCATGTATGCAGCTGTAGATTCCCGAAAGGTAAGGATACACCTGGCAAAACCACAACCTTCTTGGATGGCTAGAAAGCAAGCAGCATGACGGCGCTTATCAAGAAAAAGGGTGTTAGGACATGTATTGCTTGTCTGATTGATTATAGCTCCCTTTCCTCCTCCCAGTCAGTCATCGCTCTCTTACACTGGCTCCGGATGATTAGGCCGTTGAGCTTTACCCAGTGGAGCCATCTCCTCTTTAGTGCTGCTGACAGAAGTGTGGCTCCTAGCGGACAGCCCTCCCCTCCCCCTGGCCTCGCCATTTGCATATTCTCCCCCTAAGTCAAGTGGCAGGGCAGGGCCGGGCAGCGAGAACGTAGAGCGCCCTCATCCCAGCTGGCGCAGCAGATCCAGTGGTCAGTTATGGCTGGTGGCGATGGCACGTCAGAATGGCCCGCCTCACCCCACGCTAGGAGCTGATTCTCTTCTTTTCTCTCCTATCCTTGGACAGCCTGACGAGCAGCCTAAGTATGAGGACAACATCTACATGTACATCTACTTTGTCATCTTCATCATCTTCGGCTCCTTCTTCACCCTGAACCTGTTCATTGGTGTCATCATTGATAACTTCAATCAACAAAAGAAAAAGATAGGTCTCGTCCCCTCACCGCCAGCGGCCAGAGCTCAGCTCAGAGGAGAGGCACTTCTGTCCCTATCTCTAGAAAGAAAATGCCTCTCTTTCTCTAAAATCCATATTATCACCTCACTGTGGCCCTGGCCCCACTCTACATTAGCGCCACCCAGCTCTTTCTGTGGGGGGCTGGATTGCACAGTATGTGGTTTACCACATTTCCTAGGCCAAACTAGCAATTTACTAGTACCAAATGTACTAGCAATTCTTGAGGCCTTTGCTGGGTTTGGCATCCTGCCAGAGGAAGGCAGAGTCAGAGAGGGTCTGGTGACAGGGGTGAGAAGGAAAGCAGCAGCTGAATAACTGTAGCAAGAAGTAGAAAGTGTCTAGACTTGTCATTACCGATGGGAATCCCTGGGCAGCACTAGCAAACTGGGATTTGAAAGACCATCCTTGTCCTTGGAAAGTTCACTTCCTCACTTGTTCCAGACAGTTAACAATTTTTCCCAAACAGTCTGAAGCACTCACTCTTGTCATCCATTTTAGAAGTCAAGTCTGTGTCAAGGAACTCTCTGTGTTGTTTTCTTGCACGAGGATTTCTGAATTTTTAATATTAATTGGAAATAAATGGGCCAATAACCAGGACTTGAAAATCCTTTCGTTTAAAAATGTTATTCTTTAGAATTTTATCAGGAAAGCAGGTCCAAAAACGTGTGTGAACCAGTGAGATGCAACTGTCTTCAATATCACTGCTCTCAAGTGTACCCTTCCCTGAGGGCCCACAGTGGGGTAGCCCATTTCCTTTGTGCCCAGCCACTGGCAGACCTCAGGAATTCAAAGCTGAAGACAAAGGCTGGTGTTTCTTTGACTTAGAATAGCTGTCCCAGGTTGACCTCATTATGGGGCAACTATTAGCTAAACTGACTTCTGGAAAGGTAAGGGGGTCAGTCCCCCCTCAGTTCTTAGGGTTGAACCTTAGGTCCAAACCATAGCATGTGAGAGCCTATTGTAATTGCTCGCTCTCTTCTTTCTTCCTTTACTTTGGAGGTCAGGACATCTTCATGACCGAAGAACAGAAGAAGTACTACAATGCCATGAAAAAGCTGGGCTCAAAGAAACCACAGAAACCCATTCCCCGCCCCCTGGTGAGTGCAGGCTGAGGGCAGAGTGAGACCCCATATGGTAAAGACACTGGTAGGGTTATTGCCAAGGAAAGAAAAGGGTAAGTGATGGGCTCCCTGTGCCCTCTGACCCTCTCCCAGCTGCCCCATCCAGAGGATCTGGGGAAGACAGCAGAACAGGGACTAAGGTATGGGATGGCTTTTATATTTGTGCTTGACCTTTCCTCTGAGACTTCCTTGGGCAGCAGCGGAGAATCAGCCTGTTATAACCACATTGACTCTGGCACTGGTAGAAAGATGTTTTAAGAGACCACTAAAATATTAACAAAGGGAAGTAAAAATGAAAGCTGGTCTCTTTCCTACCAGTGCAAGATAGGATGTGGCCACTATCTTCTCAGCTCTCTACCCAGCAAGCAAGTCTTTGCAAGATATCTGTGGGAGCAGAAGAGGGTAAAACTAGAAGTCTGATGTCCTGATTTTCTGTCTTGAACGGAGCCTTTTGTAAAACAGATTTGGGCACTGGGATTTTGCTTTGCCCTCCTGTTGGTGCTTGCCCTCTAGCTTCAGGGGAGAGGCTCTGCTCCCGAAGCCATATACCCAGTGGAGTGGGACATAACCCCCAGGCTCAAAGTTCCATCTTCTCTAACTTTCATTTAAAGTAACTGTTTATTTAAAAACAGCACAACTCTTTTTTTTTAAAGATTTTATTTATTTATTTGAGAGAGAGAGAATGAGAGACAGAGAGCATGAGAGGGAGGAGGGTCAGAGGGAGAAGCAGACTCCCTGCCAAGCGGGGAGCCCGATGCGGGACTCCATCCCGGGACTCCAGGATCATGACCTGAGCCGAAGGCAGTCGCTTAACCAACTGAGCCACCCAGGCGCCCCGAAAAAACAGCACAACTCTTAAAATAAACACTCACCTGGCAGTCTAATTTGTAAAAATAAAAAAATAGAGCTACTTTGAACCAAGAATGGGTTTTTCCCTACTTAGTGCTACCCCTGGCCTGGCATACCTGCCTCACCAACTTCTGAGAGGAAGGAAGCCCTCAGGCCCCACAGAACAGTTGGAAAACCAGCAAGTGAAAGTGATCCTCAAAATAAGCACCAACTTGAGTGCCTAGATTCTTTCAAAAAAAAAAAAAAATCAGAGAGATCTTAAGAAAGAGAACATTTTTGGTATTTCCTTGAGGTTAGAGCTTCCATTTTGTGTTGGAAACGAGACTAAGGAGAATGGAGAGGGTTAACATTTCTGAAGTTCTGTTCAGTCCTTTGCATGCAGGAACCTGAATGTATTTTCTTCTACTCTAAAATATGGAAACTTAATGTGGCAGGAGACATTAATAAAGAATGATCAGCACTCATTCAGCAAATAGTTATAGATCTCCTACTATGTTCCAGGCACAAGACCCACTGTTATGTCTGAATTATGAGGTTGCTTATGATACAGAGGGGACAGAGATAATAAAATAAGCAAACCGCCACGATACAATGTGGAGCGTTGTGAGAAAAAACAACTAGAGGGCCTGACAGAGAATAGGGAGGCTTGGGGCAGGGGATCTACTTCAGTAGAGTAGTTAAGAGGAAGCCTCACTAGGGAGGGTGTACTTGGGTAGATGAGAAGGAGCCAGAGTTCTGGGGGAGAAGATCCTGGAAAAGCAAATGAGGTTGTAAAAGCAGAAAGCCTCAGTGTTGCAGGTGGTGACCGGCTAGAGGAAGGAGCATGAGATGAGCTGGATTAGACCATGCGAGGCATCTCTAAATCAGGCTAGCAGTAAGAATTTTGTTGCAAGCCCAATGAGAAACCATTGAAAGGTTTTAAGTAGAAGTGGGATGTGACCCATTTATGTTTTTAAATAATAACACTTGCTACTCTGTGGAGACTACACTGGATGTGGGCAAGAGAGGAAGCAGGGACACTAGTTAGGAGACTCTTTCAGAAGTCCAGATAGAAGATGGCAGTGCTTGGGCTAGAGTAGGGCCAACAGAAGTGGGATGAAGTGGGTGAATTCAGAAGAATCAGTAGGACCGGCTGTGCATGCAGTGGGGGACAAGGGAGAGGAAAGCGACAAGGGTGACCCTCAGGTTTCTGGCTTGGAGACTGAGTGGACGATTGAGATGGGAGAGGAGCAGGTTGGGTGAAAGGCAGGGGAGGGACTTGTTAGGTTTGAGATGCTTATGGGTCAACAAGGAGAGATGTTGAGAAAGCAACACGGGAATTCAGAGGAAAGAACTTGAGAAACCAAAGTACATAGATACTGTGTACGCAGTAGGAATAGATGAGCTCTTCTGGGGAGACAGTGCAGAGAGAAGAGATGAGGGCAGGGCAGACATGGCCAGGACACGAGGCTGAACCGGAGCAACTGGCGAGCCAGGAAGACCTCCAGAAGCGTGTGATGGCATAGACACAGAAGCGTGGCAGTGTTAGAAAACCTGGGGAGGTGACACTGATGTCGGGGTCTGCCCATGCTCCTGACATCCTGCCAGAGAAGCGGCATAGGGGGCTGGCCAGGGTTACAGAAAAGAAAGGCGATGGCAACTTCGACGGTCCGCTCGGAGAGGCTCTCATGAATGCTCTTGTGTCTTTCCTCCCCCTCCCACCCCCCAGAACAAAATCCAAGGTATCATCTTTGATTTTGTCACTCAACAAGCCTTTGATATCGTTATCATGATGCTCATCTGCCTTAACATGGTGACAATGATGGTAGAGACAGATACGCAGAGCAAGCAGATGGAAAACATTCTCTACTGGATTAACCTGGTCTTCGTGATCTTTTTCACCTGTGAGTGTGTGCTCAAAATGTTTGCCTTGAGGCACTACTACTTCACCATTGGCTGGAACATCTTTGACTTCGTGGTAGTCATCCTGTCCATTGTGGGTAAGTGGGGCGAGCGGGGGGGAGACGCAGGGCACCTGACTGGCCTTGAGCATGGGACTTCTGGGACAGCGGCCACTTCCACGGGTGTCAAGTGCAGGCCCGGGACTCTCATGGCGGAAGCCCGCGTGCATCTCTAAGTCATCTTGGGGGCCCCCCCCCCGCGCAGTAGGTCACGTGGTCAGTGAGTTTCTACTGAGTGTTCATAGTCGTCTTGAATTATAAATTCCCTGGCTGAAGAGGGGAAAATGATAGAGATTTGACTCTTTTTTTCAAGGAGTTTAAAGTTAACAGGGAAGGTAAAAACAACTATGGCTGCAGTAGCAGTATAATGTGGAAAAAGGAATGGTTGGAGTTTGCTAGGTTGGATACTAATGAAAATGGTCTGAGAACATTCTGGTGGGGACTGCCAGGGCTCATCTTACTGAGGTTTTACTGTGTGCCAGGCATAGTTCTTCACTGGCATGATCTCACTGGATCCTTATGACAGCCCAAGAAGCAGCTATTTTTTAGTCTTCTGTATGTCCAAGGTCACCCAACTAGGAGGTGGCAGAGGTGGAACTCAGGTTGGAGCTTAACGGCAACTGTGTGACATTTTGCTTCAACCAAAAGGCATGGGAGGCAAAGGAAATGCTGGCCTATCGATTGGCCTCCCAAAATGTTTCCTTGCCTTCCTAAAAGGCATCTCAAATGATGAAACAGTGGCTTGGTTCCAGGTAGGTTTAACTGATGTAGGCTGGCAGAGGGAGAGTGCCCAAGGCCCGCGGGAACCAGCCCTGGAGCCGGTGGCCAGGCTGGCTGAGCAAGGTGGTGACCAGGGGTGACTGAAGGCAGCTGGCCCTCCCCTTGGTCAGTGTTAGTTTCTGGTTTTCTAGTTCTGTCCATGGGAGCAGCACATCCATAAGTGTGTTGATATATGGAGCGCTAATCGCATATATCTCCCCCCAAGAAAATTACTTTGGGCAACACTGTACATGGAGTTTCCCCGTGGAGAGTCACAGAGCACATTAGGCTATAGAAAGTTCTTGAAAGTCCTACAGTAAAGAATTGTTGAACTCACCATGCTACCTTTATTTTGATCACAACACCCTTTTTTCAAGTAATAATAATGGTATCCCATGTTTTACTGAAACATACTATGTGCCGGTCACCATTCTAAGTGCTTTACTCTAGTTATAATTCCTACAGTCCTCACAACGACCATCTAAGTATCTCAAGGAACTGAGGCACAGAGCAGTGACCAAGACATGAGGCTGGTGAGCAAGTGAGCAGGGGTTCAAGGCCAGCCCCTGGACTCAAATCCACACTCCTACCCTCCCACAAAACATACTTTGGACAGTGTTGCCTTGTCCACTATTCTTGAATGTTTTCTGCCCACCCGTCATTGAGTGGGCTGGAAAACCCACAAACCAAACCATGCCCCCTATTCTCAGATGGTACTCAAAAATAAAGAGAAAGAATAATTTTACTTTTGGTGATTAGGATTTTTATTAAATACCATTCATTTGTTCAGAAACAAAAGTATAGAAATTATCTTTTTATTTTTTTAAGATTTTATTTATTTGTCAGAGAGAGAAAGAGAGAGAGAGCACAAGCAGGGGGAGTGACAGGCAGAGGGAGAAGCAGGCTCCCCACTGAGCAAGGAGCCCGATGCAAGACTCGATCCCAAGACCCTGGGATCATGACCTGAGCCAAAGGCAGACGCCTAACCAACTGAGCCATCCAGGCGTCCCAAGAAATTATCTTTTTAAATTAAGAGGAGTTGGGGTAATTAGCCCTGGGACCTCCTAGAGGACCCTTTAAATGGTGTTCCTGCTCCCTGGAGTGCTGTCTACCCATCTTTCTCCCCTTTTCTCTGGGAACAAATACATGTTCATCAGACAAAACCTTACTCTGGCACCTTCTCTCTGAAGCCTTCCTTGCCCACCAGACATGGAATGCAGTATTCCAGATACTACCTGACTTCTTATGGTCATTGGTTATGACTTAATTGAGATGTAAGAAGAAGAGAGCTGAGAATTCATCTCGGGTCCTGGCTAAGGTAGACATTTGTGTTTTTTTTTAAACTTCAAATACTCCATGGAATTCTAGCTCCAGAAGATACTCCAAGAGGCTGTCCAGCCTACTCTCTGAACTTACTGATTCTCATCCCTTTCTGAAAGTTAAGATTTTTGTCCTATGTTGAAAAAGAGTCACACACTTGGGCGCCTGGATGGCTCAGTTGGTTAAGCGACTGCCTTCGGCTCAGGTCATGATCCCAGGGTCCTGGGATCGAGTCCCCACATCGGGCTCCCGGCTCAGCGGGGAGCCTGCTTCTCCCTCTGATCCTCTCCTCTCTCATGCTGTTTCTCGCTCGCTCGCTCTCTAATAAATAAATAAATAAAATCTTAAAAAAAAAAAAAAAAGAAAAAGAGTCACACATAATGAGCTTGACTGATCACAAAGACAGCTTTATGAAGGAATGGATGGGGGAGTGTAAGCCCAAAATGGTCACTGTTACTCTGATATGTCTCCAGTTAGACACCTCTTTGAGTCTTAGAGGAGGGAAACAAAAACCAAAAAAAAAAAAAAAAAAAAAGATATTTATCCTAGCTTAAAAAGCTCAATGGGATGCCTGAGTATCTCAGTCCGTTAAGCGTCCAACTCTTGATCTCCACTCAGGTCATGACCTCTGGGTCGTGGGATCGAGCCCTGCATCAAGCCCTGCATGGGGTCTGTGCTCAGCGAGAAGTCTGCTTGAGATTCTCTCTTTCTCTCTCAAAAAAATAAATAAATCTCTTTAAGAAAAGGGAAAATAAAGCTCAAATAAGAAGATTGCATAGCCTTCTGCAGTTCACTGTCCCAGTATCTGTGAATCCTTAGGTTGAAAGATATTTCCTTATTCAAAGTAAATCCTTCCTGTCAGTGGAAGCTCATGTTGTCTCATCAGGGCCTCGACAGCAGGAGAAGGCGCTGAAGGAAGAGGGCATGTCTTTGCCTTCCCTTCAGCTGCCACGTCCCAACCTTTGCGTGTCCTCTTCCTTCTGTGGCCCTTCATTGGACTCCCATGATTGCTCTGCAGTGTTCAAGGCAAGTGGTCTGGCTGAGGTGGACCCCCAGATAAACGTAAACAGAAAAATCCTATGGATTTACATGGTCACCCTCTACTTTTATATCCTACTTATGCCTTAACGTTTTTCTCTGCTGATGCTGTTTCTGATTTATGGCTTTAAACACAAAATCTAGAAGCTCTGAGTTAAAAGCCACTCCGAGGGATCCCTCTGGTTTTCTTGGCTACTTTGGCAGGGTAGGGACATGGCACAATAAGAAACCAAAAATGTCTTTTCAGAGCTAGGAAGAAGATACTTTGAAAATTAGTGGCATAGCGGAATAACTAAGACACCACAGCCTAGGGGCGTGAAGTCCTGGGTGGCGCCGGGCCCTCTCGTTCACTGTGTGTGGATATGGAAATTTGCTAGCATTTCGGAGAGCAATCAGTAACACCTCGGCAAGTCACACACGCGCAAAACTGAGAAAAACTAATCATTCTTGAGTGGGAAAACAGATAAATGAGAACCTGTTCATGAAATGGAATACTGTTCAACCATGAAAATGAATAATCCAGAACTATTTTAGCACCAGAGATCAATCTCACAAACATAATGCAAAGTCTCAAAATTAAGTTAGAGATCTAAAAAACTTGTTCTAAAAAGATACAGTATAATTCTTTCAACGTAGTAGGATGCTAGGATGCTATCTATCTACCTATGATAGCTATGGATTCATCCATAGTGAAACTGTGAAGAAACTGGAATAATACTACACCATCTCCAGGATTGTGGTTGAAGAGAGGAAGCAAATTTGGTAAAGCACTTGGATCTATTAAATCTGGATGTGAAGTGCATAAATGCCTATGTTATTGTTTTCTCTGCTTTTCCATATGTTTGAAACATGTGGTTTTCTCTTTTCATCATGAGAGTTGAGATTGAAGGGTAAGGTGCTCATTCTTTGAAGCCCTTTGAACTTAAGGGCTCCAGTGCCAGGTGACCTAAGAGAAAGGGGTCTCCAATCTCAGTAACATTTCTTCTTCTGTCCTCTTCTTAGGAATGTTCCTGGCTGATATAATTGAGAAATACTTTGTTTCCCCAACCCTATTCCGAGTCATCCGATTGGCCCGGATTGGGCGCATCTTGCGTCTGATCAAAGGTGCCAAAGGGATCCGTACCCTGCTCTTTGCCTTAATGATGTCCTTGCCTGCTCTTTTCAACATTGGCCTTCTGCTCTTCCTGGTCATGTTCATCTTCTCCATCTTTGGGATGTCCAATTTTGCGTATGTGAAGCACGAGGCTGGCATTGATGACATGTTCAACTTTGAGACCTTTGGCAACAGCATGATCTGCCTGTTTCAGATCACAACCTCGGCTGGTTGGGATGGCCTGCTGTTGCCCATCCTAAACCGCCCCCCTGACTGCAGTCTGGATAAGGAACACCCAGGGAGTGGCTTTAAGGGAGACTGCGGGAACCCCTCCGTGGGCATCTTCTTCTTCGTAAGCTACATCATCATCTCCTTCCTAATCGTCGTGAACATGTACATCGCCATCATCTTGGAGAACTTCAGTGTAGCCACGGAGGAAAGCGCCGACCCTCTGAGCGAGGACGACTTTGAGACCTTCTATGAGATCTGGGAGAAGTTTGACCCCGATGCCACCCAGTTCATCGAGTACTGTAAGCTGGCAGACTTCGCGGACGCCTTGGAGCACCCTCTCCGAGTGCCCAAGCCCAACACCATCGAGCTCATTGCCATGGACCTGCCCATGGTCAGCGGGGATCGCATCCACTGCCTGGACATCCTTTTTGCCTTCACCAAGCGGGTCCTGGGAGATAGCGGGGAGTTGGACATCCTCCGGCAGCAGATGGAGGAGCGGTTCGTGGCATCCAATCCTTCCAAAGTGTCTTACGAGCCAATCACGACCACACTGCGGCGCAAGCAGGAGGAGGTGTCGGCGGTGGTCCTGCAGCGCGCCTACCGGGGACATTTAGCAAGGCGGGGCTTCACTTGCAAAAAGACCACTTCCAATAAGCTGGAGAACGGAGGCACGCACCGGGAGAAAAGAGAGAGCACCCCGTCTACAGCCTCCCTCCCGTCCTATGACAGTGTAACTAAACCTGAGAAGGAGAAACAGCAACGGGCAGAGGAAGGAAGAAGGGAAAGGGCCAAAAGACAAAAGGAGGTCAGAGAATCCAAGTGTTAGAGGAAAGCAAAAATTAAATATTGTACAGATGTAAAACTTGCAAGTGAAAGATTGTTTACAAACTTCCTGAATATTATCAATGCAGAACAGCTGTGGAGACACTTTAACCTGAAGATCTATACCAAACGTAGTCTGCTTACCATGTAACACGGTTGCATCTTGAGCAGTGACCTGCCAAGGGCCAAGGACCCTGCTCCCTGGACTCACAGATTTTCTAATGCTTGGGCAGGTGGTTACTGCATGTTCCACATCAGTCAATGCAACTTAGGACAAAACCAACAGGATACAAAAACCAGAGGAGAGGCTGCCGGGACCAGCATATTTCCGTTGCAGCCAAATGGATTTTATTTTTTCATTTTGGTGATTCTCAGAAGCAGAAAGCATCACTTTAAAAGTTTGTTTGTTCATGCAAACTATATTTGCATTCTTACATTAGTTAAGCTAAGCAGCAAAAAGAACACACACACACACACACACACACACACTCTCATATCTAGCCCATGTCATTCAATTGTCAGTTTCTTTGACATAAACCGCATCTTCTCCACATGGGCTTCACGTGGTTTGGAGATGGGTGGGGGAAACAATCAGGTTTCTTCAGGCTGAGGAGGACTTGCTCAGGCCGATTCCAAACATTGTGCTCGTTCAATGCGTAGAAATGATTTGCATGATGGCATGCCGTGATCAGAAGTCATGCATGAGAACCATACACCACAGGACACTACTAATCCTGTCCCCTGCACTGGGTCAGCCTTCGGACAGGACCCAGCCCTGCACCGTTCACTGTATTTGGAGAAAAAAAATGGTAAGAGTTCCATACCCGCTGCAATTCCTTATGAATTCTTAGAAGTCTTTCATACACCCTCTGGGTAGGGAAACATAACCAACCAATTGACCACCACCACCAACAACAACAAAACAAACCCAACCCAACAAGCAGATGGATCCGTTGTGTGTATATGTTTAACAGACATCTCTAACATACAGCCATTGTTGCACATTTTGAAAGATGAACTACTTAATGCTGCTCTGTGTCCCTTCCATGGGGAAACTTTGATCTCGAATGGCTTGTATTAATAATGTCACTGTAAAACCAAATCCTAGGGCTAAAAACAAAAAATCAAAAAAAAAAAGTTCATTTGTATTGCAATATTTATGATGATTGTTTAGCCTTCATACTGGAGAACTGACACTTATTTGGGGCAGAGATAAAAGTGCTGTTCAAAGTGGCACGTTATCTCTAGGGGGCAATTTGGGGAACTGAAAGCAAACTTTCAGTTGGTCAGGGGGTTGGGGTGCTCACTTCATTCAGTGTCCTGTCCTTCTGCACCGTGGCTTTCTCCGGGCTCAGGTCCCGCTGGAGAGGGGTGCAGATCTTCCCAGCGGGCCTCTCCCCTCTACAGAGGGGTTGTGGCAAGCTCACGCACTGCATGATTCCTCTTTGCCTCCATCTCATTTTTCCACCAAGCGGGGCTTCCCTTACCTACAGAGCTGGGTGAGGGCAGAAGCACTGGGGGCTGTGGCGGTGGTTTCTTTCGTGTGTTAGAGAACAAACAGTCACTGCTGGGCCCCGAGGTAGAGATGGAGCCGCCTCTGAACCAAGCCCACTTGGTTTCTTTATTGCACTGATTCTCATGAGAATGCGATTTACTCTGAATTCTTAACACGTCCCAGCTTCTCCCCACACAGTTCCCTCTCAGCCAGTTACGCTGCTTAGCGGCCTGCCCATTGTCCCTGGAGGGTGGCTTTGCGGGGAGCACCGTGTCGTCCATTCCGTCTCCCGCTCTAGGGAAGACCGTTTTTAGTCCAGAGGTTTCTCATTGGATGACTAGAGCTCAAAGCCAAGATGCTGCAGTTGAATGTGTCAGGAAGTCTATACAAAGAATGAGGAGAGACTTGAGCATGCGAACCAAATCAAAACAAATTCTTCCTGAACCATAAAACCAAGGGGGACTAAAAGCACCCCATAATCAGACACACCAACCTGCCTTGCAATAGAAGCACTTTGGTGTAATTGTACCATCCACCTGACTAGTTTTGCGTAGAACAAACCACGGCAAGGCAGTAAACAGAGCTTTCTATCTTGTCGGACCTTTAGAAGCTCTGCCCAGCTCTCGTCAGCCTGCTTCTGCGGCCTCCTCCGTAGAACTTTTGTACTACACCCGACACCAGGTTGGAAAAGCATTTCTCTCAGTGACCCTGCTAACTGCTAGGACGAATGTATAGTAACATGTACAGGCTACATCGTAAACAGCACAAAACAGAAGCTGACATGTGTGGCTATTCTTTTTAAAAGAATTATAAATACTGTAATATATCATTTTATTTTATTGGCATGCCTTTTTGTAAATACAAATTATTAACTTATTAAATAGGAAATGGCTTCTGGCTTATGCCATTGTCATGTTTATTTTTATTTTTTATACTTTTCTTTCTTCTTAGAACTGAGATGCTGTCAGCCAATGTACATCCCCAAACCAGACAGACAGACAAAAAATTTTTTATTGCTAATGGTCTTTTCCAAAACAACAAAAAAATATATATTTTTGTTCCAATGTGCAATAAATTCTAACCACTTCTATGCAAGATTTGGCTAAACTTCATAATTGTTCTTAGGTCTTGAGATGGGCAACAGAGATATAAGATCCCGCTCGGTACCCCCCAAGTGCTCATGCTAGTGATGTCATTAAGCTACTAGAGCATATTAATGAGATTTTCCTAAGATCTGACCTTTTCCCTCCCATCCCCCCGGCCCCCCAGCAGCTATCTCCTCAGTAACACACACATGGGCCTTGGTATCTGACCCCCATCAGCCAGCTTCATAGGGAAGAAGCCACCCCCACTCTATTTGATGTTTCAACTTTTTTTTTTTTTTTAACTTTTCCTACCTTCTTTTCCCCTCACCCACCGTCCCTCCACCCACTCGCTCGCTCACTCTCTCACTCACGCGCCCTGCTCCACACTTCTTTGGTAGTAAATGACACCATCACCAGCAGTTTACACCGGCAGTTAACAGGCATTGAACGGAACGACTCAGTGAGGACGTTCTTGTACACCTTCACTGAGTGGGTGAGCGGCAAGGCTTTGCCAAATATTAACGAAGCCAACAGCAACCACAGTATCACTGCACATATATATATAGAGATCTATAAATATAATATAAATATTTATTTTTTGTAGCCAGGTCCTTGGTGCAGTATTTATACTCCACAATCCACCTTTAAAAAAGGACAAAAAAGCAAAAAGACATGTGTGATGCTGTCAATTTAAAATGCAGAGCCAAAGCCACGGAGCGGCCGCTGACACGGTTGCTGGTTTGTGTGTGAAAAACACTCTCCCCTCTCCTTTCCTTAACCTCCTTGTTGCTTCGGCTGAGGAGACTCCAGAATTTAAAGCAGAGGGTGAGAGCAGCAAAAACGTCCCGAGGCAACAGGACCTACTCCCACTCGCTCTAAATGAGCCACTTTTGGCGCCAGAAGTTGACTGGGGAGAAATAAACAGAAGCTCCCAGTCAGAGCCCCTGGAACGACAGTGCCCAAAGTTCTGTTCTTTTCCGCCGCAACCAATGTAAACTTGTAAAAGACCACTAGTGAAGATTAGTGTGTTAGTGAATGCATGGAGGCCAACACTGCTCTAAATGAGACATGATTTAAAAAAAAAAAAAAAAAAGTGCATCACTACTATAAGCCAAAAGGAAACAAAATAAAAATGACCCTTTTTACTGTACAAGGGAAGCCTGTCTTGGTGTCCGTTTGTTGCTTGACTATCCCAATTCTTGAGTCCTGGGAGGGGTCTGGGAATCGGGACCTTAGCACATTTGGGAAAAGGCGGGGAACAGAAGGGAGAGAGATCAGGGTCTCTCGCAAAGTTCTAGCTGAGAAGTAGAGATTGGAGAGCAAAGCAAGGTCCCGCCCACTACCACCTCCCCCCTACCCAGATCCCCCCCACTCACCCACTGCATGTGGCGTTCTTCCCCGTTCCGGGCCAGTGCTTCCAGGCCCATGAAACCCCTTCTTCACCAGTCCGCCTGGCAGAGCCCCCAGAGATGATGTCAGCCAACCCAGCCGGGCTGGCTTCACTTCTGCCTTTTTCACCAGTATGTTCAAACAAACAAACAAACAAACAAACAAACAAACTATCCTAATGCCCCAAAGCTCGGGCGAGCACGATGCCCAGCAGTCTCCACTCTGCTAGCTAATGCTGGGCTCTGCCCTCCATCACCCCAACACATACACCAGCAGACTACGGCTGGTCTCGTTCACATTCGTGCAGGGGAGAGGGGCACCGCTCCCCTCCCTCACCCTGCCCTGCTTTGGGGACATCCCTCTCTAGGCCATGTCTCCCCGTCCAGGAACACTCTCAGGAGGATTATGAAGTGCCCACTCTGGTCCGCTCCAGTAGCTCCACTCTGGAGAGAGATGGCTGGTAGGTCAGTCCCCATCCTCCTCCCCTCGGCCCCAGCCTCCAGGCCTGCTGTGGAGGTGAGTTGCCATGGGTTATGACTTTGCGACTTGAGTCCTGGGCATCTTCTGTAATGATGCCTCTTTCTTTTCTCAGATGTTGCCCAAAGTTTTGCAAAAAGCTTCGTTCATTTTCAGGTACCCCCACCCCCTAAAGAATCGGCTGCAACTAGCCAGCCAGGGGGACATCAGGAGAGAAGAGGAAGTCTGGGTCGGTGGGGGGGGGTCCAAGGTGTGCACAGGGTCTGTACTGTGGCTCAGCTCTGTGCTTTCTTGGATTCCCTTTCCAAGATTACCAAGATTTCCTCCACGAAAGTGCTCCTGAGGCACCCCCTGCCCCTGCTCCCCACTGCTGTTTGCTGTACATAGAGGCTAAGTGGGGTGGGGTGGGCGGGTGTGCACGTGTGGTGTGTGTGTGTGAAGAATGTATATAGGTAAAGGGGAGCGTGGTCCAGTGGTTCCAGAAAAGGGACAGAACTCCTGTGTTCCATCCCCAGCTCAACCACTGGCTCGCTGTGTGGCCTTGGGCAAGTCACTTAACCTCTCTGTGCCTCAGTTTCCTCATCTGTAAAATGGGGATAATAATACTGACCTACCTCACAGGGGTGTTGTGAGGCTTTAACTAAATGTTTTGTAAAGTGTTTTGAGATACAGAGGCAAAGGCACTAGGGAAGGGCAAAGTATTATTTGGACTTAAGGAAGACGAAATGGTACCATAAATGCTGCTATTCTGAGAGCCATTTTAAACTGCACTGCTCCAACCACCCCCGCTTCTCATCACCAGGACAGCAGGTCGAGAAAATGTCTTTCCTTTCACTTGCTTCTGGGGTTTGTGATTATTCTAGACACTTAATTTTTTTCCCTTGCTGTATCTCCTCCTTCCCTCACCCCCTCGACTTGTTCCCTGTTCCGTTTACGCGGAAATGGCAGAAATGCTTGAGAAATGAGAATGCATAAGTGGATTGGAAGTTTATAGTCTGAAATTTCAATTTTACTTTGTACTGTACATCTTTTTACTTTAGAATTTGCAATAAAGGGTTACGTCAATCTTGTTTTCAACTCTCCTCTTGGACTGGCCTGTCATTCTGTCATTGTTCTCACGCCAAAGCCCCTTGGCCCCGGGGTAGACCGGGGAGTCAAGCTCTCCCACCCAGCCAGACCCCACAGCTGTCCTCTTTGCCTTCCCCTGTGGCAGGGGACAGAGCCGGAGGGCTCACCTAGGCTCAGCTCCTCAGATGGGCTGGCCCGGCCCCAGGCACTCAGGTGGGTGGGAGAGGTTTGGGGCTCCAGGTAGGCTAGGTCTTACTGTCTCCTCCATTCAGGAGGCCTTGCCTGAGTAGGGGGAGCAGCTTGGAGGCAGCAGCCCCTGAAAGTGGGGACGCCTCTAGCTGTGCCAGCCCTGCACACTCCAGCAGGGCCTGGGCGTAAACAGAAACTCCACATCTTGTCACGCTGCCTTACTGGTCACAGATCGTTCCCTCTGGAGTTCAGCTTTCGGCTCAGGCAGCTCTGGGTTCAAAACCCTGACTCTGCCACTAACTAGTTGCGGCCACTTTCTTTAGGTGTCATGGAGAGCATACCTGCTTTTCTTGGGCTCTGAAGATTCTATCAAATAATGTGGGTTGTAACTGCTCCGCCCAGGGCCTGGCATACAGTTAGCACTCACTAAATGCAAGAACTCCTGAGCGAAGGAGGCACTAAAGCTGACCAGGGGGAGGGCCTGCCTCCCACCCCGGGGACACTGGCACCCAGGCCCTCCTCGCCCACTGGCAGCCCCGCTGGCGATGCGGCCATTTCCAACAAACCAACGCTCGCTCCCTCCTTTGCGTATTCGGTAACGTTTATAATACGGCGAAGGCAGCGCTCTGCCAGGGCTGTGCTCCCGTCTCACAGCCAGGGAGACTGAGGCGAGGGGGGCCCCGGCCCGCGCGCAGCCGCCCAGGCCCTCGGTTCGAGCTCCGCAGACAGGAGCGGCCTCGCCTCCCCCACGCCGCGCGCCTGGGCCGGCCTGCGCCGGGGAGGGCCGGGGCCGGGGCCGTCGCCGCCCGTGACCCACAGCGTGAGCACGACGAGCAGCGCCCCGGCGCCCAGCGCCCCCACGAAGCCGGTGAAGAGGCCGAGCGCCAGCGGCCCGACCCAGCCGACCGGGCTGCGCTCGTAGGGCGCCTGGGGCAGCCGCTCCACGATCAGCTGCAGCGCGTCCCAGTCCGGCTCCGGGAGCGAGGCGCGGCGGGGGCGCGGGGCTAGGGGCGCGGCGGCGGGGCGGGGGGGCGGGGGCGGGGCCGGGGGCGGGGCCGGGGGCGGGGCCGGGGGCGGGGCCGGGGGCGGGGCCGGGGGCGGCGGCGGGCGGCTGCACGTAGCGCTGGCCGAACTTGCGCAGCTGCAGCGTCGCCTGCTGGTGGAGGTTCTTGCCCAGCTCCCGGGCCACGTCGGGGCGGCCGCTGCGCCGCAGGGCCCGGGCCACGCGGTCCCAAGACAGGGTCGAGGCCTCCGCCGCCAGCCAGGCCGCCAGCTTCTCCCGGCAGCCGTCCGACTCCTCCGCGGGCTCGGCCGCCGCCCGCCGCCACAGCCGGCCCGGCGGCGCGGACGTGGACCCCGGCGGCTCGGCGCGGGCCAGCCGGTCCTCAGAGAGCCGGGCCAGCTCGGCCTCGACGTCCGGCTCCGGCGCCTTCAGGAGCGACTGGAAATGGCCGCACTCCTCCGGGGTCAGCAGCTCGGCCAGACGGACGGCCGCATGGGGGCCCATGGCGTCCAGGGCCCCCGCCGGGGACAGCGCCCAGCCCCAGAGCGCCAGCGCCAGGGCCCGAGCCCGGGCCGCCATCGCCACCGCTGGCTGTGACCGCGCCGTACCCACTGTGGTGGGAGGAGCTCCGAACGCCCACGAGTGGGGGAGGGGTGCCTGGTACCCGCGGCGGGGGGAGGGGGGCTTCCACAGGCCGGGACCAGGGCGAGGGGGCGGCCCACACGTGGGATCTCCCAGCACCCGGAAACTAGGAATCGGAAGGAATTAGGAGTGAGAGTTTTCCAAGACCCAGGGGTGGGGGACACCCAATCCCCCAGGAGGCTAGGATCCTGGGCCCTTATATTAAAATGCCTGCCCTAGGCCTGCCGCCTGGCCATCCCACTAATGCCTCAAATTGCCAAGTGTCCCACATCTCTAATAATCCATTCACCGCCCCTCAGTCTCCAGCACAAGCCCTAGACCCCTTGCTCTCCATGATCCAATACCCAATCCCAAATTCTCGGGCTACCTACTAAATACCAAATATTTATAGACTCACCAATTCCCATCCTCCCACAGGTGCCTCCAAACCCTCACCTCCTCTTGTCTGGATTAGGTAAACTCAGTCCCCACCCCTACTCCACACACCAGGGCCCCACTCCCTAACCTTGTTTCCTTTCCTGAGCAAGCTTGGTTCTGGCTCTCCTTTGGATCTTGGCCTGCACTCTCTTCTGTCTTGGTCACTCCTCAGCTGACAGGTACCTTTTGGGAAGCCCTCCCGGACTCCAGTACACACCCTTCGCCCCTCTCCATTAGGTACCCCTCTTATCTACTCCTACACTACGCTGCCCCTCTGCCTTTTTCTGTCTCCTCCATTCCACTGTAAGGTCCATCTGCTGTTCCCGCAGCAACTAGCACAAAGTAGGTGTTCAGTAAAGATTTGTTGGATCCGTGTATGAATTCTTTTTTTTTTTTTTAAAGATTTTATTTATTTATTTGACAGAGAGAGAGAGCGAGAGCAGGAACACAAGCAGGGGGAGTGGGAGAGCAAGAAGCAGGCTTCCTGCCGAGCAGGGAGCCCGATGTGGGACTCGATCCCAGGACCCTGGGATCATGACCTGAGCTGAAGGCAGATGCTTAACGACTGAGCCACCCAGGCGCCCCCGTGTATGAATTCTTAACTTGCAAATCAGGCCATGTCCACAGGCCACCAACCCCCTTTCCTCCAAGCACACACGTGACTTTCATCTCCAAGCCTCAGCTCTTCCCCGGGCATGAAAGCTCCTCAGGGTGCAAGTGGTCCAGCCTCACTTCCTCCAGCCCTCCCACCCCTGCCCTCACTTTATGCTCCTGGAACAAATCACACCTATGGTGCTTTCCAGCTGCCCCCCACCCCCCCACGCCGGTCCAGGAAGTTTTTCTAACACACCACCACCACCAGGAGTCAGGAACTTTTCTGGGCATTCTTGAGATAGCTTGTTTTGGTTTTGTGTTGGTATTCTGTTCCAAGATAGCCTGTGCATCCTCCATTAGGTCATTTCTCTAGAAATTGGTTAATTGAAGGACTTATCTAGTATTTTAGTGTCTTGCATGTACCAAATCCTATACCAGACGTGAGAACATAAAATTTGTATATGGTCCCTCCCCAAGCAGCTTTACCCACTTATTTTCAAATGACCCAATTTTTAGTTCTTCTCATCTTGAACAGTGGCTGTGCTTAACCATTTCTGTATCCTCAGTGCTACAGTGTCTGTACAGAGTAGGAGTGTAATAAGCCAACTGGAGTGTGAGGGAGGTCTAGACCTCCAAAGGCCAAGAGGGTTGGCATCACCGAGTCCTGGGGCAATGCCTGGAGCCTCCATGTGCAGGCACACAATTGTTTCTCTCACAGGGGAGCCGGCTGCTTTGCGGGCTCTCCCCTTGGGCTTGCTTTGCCCCCGAAAGCCCAGGGCATGTGTCAGCCCTGAGCCCGTGCATGCTGGTGCATCTTCAGTAATTTTGCTTAGAGCATGCAAGGACCTCAAGAGGTTGTGGGTCCACACCTCCAACAGGTATCTCCATATAGCTTTTTCAACAAGATCTTCCCTCCTGGTTCTCAGGCTCTCAGTTTATGATGAGCTGGCAAAGGTAGAGTTTGGGAATGGACAGATGGTGGCAGACAAAGGATCCCACGTGCCCCTGAAGACTGGAACTTGGCTGTCTCCATACCCTGCCCTCTGCCCCCTTTCCTCCCTCCAAGAATCAAGAAGTCTAATCTTAGCTCTAGCCAGCAAGGGCTGCTGTCCACATTCTGAGTGCACCAGCCTCTTCAGCCCCCGTTTTCTCCGAGCATTCATTTCCTCATCCATTCACTCATTCAACAAACATGTGAGCCCTTCTTTCCCCTCATACTTTGGGACTCTGGAGATAGGAGTCAGCCCGAATTCTGAGCCTCTGGGAGCTCGAAGCTGCAGGAGGGCCTTCCCTATCCAGGGGCTTCTCACTTCGTAGGCCTTAGGGCCCAACGCTGGGTAGGCACTTGCTGCGGCAGAGTGAGTACTAGGAGTCCCGCAGTAATGTTCTGCTGAAGGACTAGAAACACCCACAGGGCCGCACCACCCGTGGCACACCTGGATGCCCAAGCATTCCCCAGAGGGCTCCCCACATCCTGCTGCCCCCAAGAAATCCTCTGGAAACCACATGTCATCGCTTTAATACTGTGTAATACTTTCTTTTAAAATACAGTCTCTTCTGAGGTAGACAGACCACAACTGCAGAGCATCGTCAGACAGGAGATAAATACGTCCATGTACAACACGCAGCAAAATGAGGTAGAAATGGTTACAGCTGGAGGAGAGGACCCCAACCCCAGTCTGGGTAGAGGAAGAGAAGGGCCAGCTTGCCAAGTCTGCCCTTCCCCAATCCCTGCCCCTGGATTCTTTGGTATGCCCCCCCAACATTGCCAGAGCTGGACCTGCCCTTCCCCACCCCCCGCCCCAGTGCCCATGAGGTAGGTGCTAGTAGACTGGGGGCTGTGTCCTTGTGCAAAGTTCCCCAAGGCCAGCAGAGTAGGCAGTGGGGGCCCTGGGTCTCAGTGAGCTCCCCCTCCCCGCAGCTGCCTGCCTCTTGAAGGGAAGGCTGGCATCCCAATCCCACTTCCCCATGCCCTCCACCCCCCCATATACATCCGCACACCTGAGAGAACCTCCTCCCGCCCTGCTCCCTCCAAAGGGCCCTTCCCAGCAGTGCAGCCCACCGCTTCTGGGCACCCAAGCCCTGCAGTCAGTCAGCTCCAAGGAGAGGAGGCCCAAAAAGACCAAGGATGAAAAGGAGGGGAAAACAGAGCAGCTTTCCTGTTAGCACTCCTACCTAGGCCAGCACAGGCCCTCAGCACCTTGGCACCTGAAATGTCCCCCATGGACACCCCTCCAGCTGGGAGTGGGAGATGGTAGAGACTGTAGGAGCTATAAGGGTGAACAGGGAATGGGGTGGAGGGGCCGAGGGGGGAGAGAGAAGAGATAGGGTGAGGGTTTGCACCCTACTTTGGAGCAAAGGGCAGAGTTGTGAAATGGGCTCCCTGAGGGGGAGGGAGACAAACTGAAGCCCCATCAAAGGAAAGCTGCTGGGAAAGAGAGGAATATTGTTCTCACAAGGAAGGGCCCCCAAGCCTGGCTTCGGGTGGAAAGTTTGGGTGGGACTGAAAATAACCCCCCCACGTCTGGGAAAAACAGTCTGCCCATCTCCTTCACCCTCTCGCAGCCCCTGGATCTCCCAACCCAGGACCCTGGGATGATGGGAGGCACACTTGCCCACAGAATGTTCTTCTGTAACAGATGCTCACTCCTCCTTGGAGTCTCCCAACACCCAGGGAAGCTGAGTCTGTCGTCAGTTTTTGTGCCCAACCAGACTTGTGGCCACACTGTCTTCTCTCCCGAGGGAATCCTCTTAACAGAAGTTATAGAAGACCTCCGCCTATGAAGGGCCAGGTGAGATGACCTCTCTGGGGACTTTCTGCCCAGGTCACCTTCCCATCCGGGCCCTCTCTCTCTGGATCTGGGGCAGGAAGGGGGGCAAGGGGCATCCCTCTGGATAACGCTAAACAGAAAACACTAAGCTGGAGGGTGGGGCTCAGGGGGAGAGCAGCAGGACCTACTCCTTCTCAAATCCCACAACCCACTCCCCCACACCCCTGCCTACAACCTTGGACCTGGGGAGGAAGCCCTAGAAATACATTCCGCTTCTGTCCCAGGAAGAGCAGGGGTTTTAGTGTGGCTCTGGGTCTTCCTCTCTCCTTCCCCACAAGTTTCACTTTCTGAGTCTCCTGGGAGAATCTGGGGTGGGGGGGCAGGGTACACACAGGAGAGCAGCCAAAGTCTAACATTCTTTCTGAGGTCAGTTTCTTCCTGAGTTGTCAAAATAAAACGAAAAACAGCAAATTCTACTCATCTTACAAAAATAAGAGGCCTAAAATATTAAACAAGCTACATTTCTGGGATTTCCCCCTCAAAAACAAACAAACAAACAAAACCCTTCTTTGGGTGTTTTTTTTTTTCTTTTTTTCTTTTCTTTTTTTTTTTTTTGCTTGCCCTCCCCCCCGCCCCCCCCCCCCCCAAGACCCAAGGATACAGCTGGGTGAAGGATAATGGGGTGGGAGGGAACTCCCTACCCCTCCTCCTCAGCCCCTGGACTTTCAGATCTCCTGCAAAGGTACACTGCATTCTTTTGAATGAGAGGGACCAAGAGAAACAGAGAGGCTGGAAAGCGAGGGAGGGAGACAGAAGCACAGAGGGTGATAGACGGAGAGATGGGGAGGGAGGGGCAAAAGAGAAACAGGGCCAACATAGGAGAAAGTCAGTGACAAAACCACGGAGAGAGAAAACTACGCGAATGCAGAGAAAGAGGGGGGAGGAGAGAGCCATTCAGGGAGCGAGGAGACAAAAGGATTGTGGCGAGGGCGCAGGAGTTCCTTAGGCCCCGGGTGCCAGCCTATCCCGGGTCTGCCCGTCGGCCGGGAGGAGATGGCGAGCTTCCCGTCCACAATAAATAGGAAAAACCTGAGTACACAGCGCATATGGCATCTATCTGCCTAGCAGAAGCATTTTCCTTCCCACGGAAAAAAAAAAAAATTTCACCGGCAGCCCCTCCCCTCCCCCAGCCCACATTCATCACTCCGGCACCCTCCCAGCCCGGTTTGGTTAAAGACAACCCTCCCGACCGGAGGGGCGGGGGGAGCGGGGCGGCTTGCTCCCGCGGCCTCCCGGCGCGCCGTCAGTGTCCGGAGCCGTACATTTTGTCCCATTCCACGTACGAGTCCAGGTCCTTGGGGGAGGCCCTAGGGCCCACCTTGGCGAGCGCCGCCTCCAAGTCCTTGTAGGAGAGGGGCCGCTGCAGCCCCGGGAGGCCCGCCCCGGCCGCTGCCTGCTGGCACAGCTGCCCCAGCTCGCCCCCGGAGAAACCCTGGGTGCCCTGCACCAGGGCCGCGAGCTCCCGCTCGTTCAGCGCGCAGCCCTGCTGGGCCAGCGCCCGCTGCAGGATCTGCCCGCGGGCAGGGCCGTCGGGCAACGCCACGTAGAAGCGGAGAGCGAAGCGCCGGCGGGTAGCCTCGTCCAGAGCCGCGGGCCGCGAGGTGGTGCCCACGACCAGCACGCCGTCGGCCCCCGCGCCGCAGCCGCCATCCAGGCAAGCCATGAGCGGCGCCTGCAGCGCGCCCGCCGCAGCGACGCCGTCGTCCCGAGCCGGGAGCAGCGCGTCCAGCTCGCTGATGAGGAGCACGGAGGGCGGGCGGCAGCGCGCAGCCGCGAAGGCGGCCTGGAGGAGGTGCGCGCCCTCGGCGGCGCCCGGCGCGGCCAGCGTCGCTCCGCGCAGGCGCAGCAGCGTGGCGCCCAGCTGCGTGGCCAGGCAGCGGCCCAGCAGCGCTTTGCCAGCGCCCCGCGGTCCGAAGAGCAGCACGGTCCGCGGCGGGCGCGGGCTGCCGGGGTAGGCGGGCGGCCTGAGCAGGGGCCACACCAGCTCCTCCTCCAGCGCCGCCTTGAGCGCGCCCTGACCTGCCACGTCTGCCCACTGCACCGGGGGCCCGCAGTCTAGCATCTTGCTCGTCACCAGCTCCAGGGCCCCCGGGTCCACGCCTTTGGGGGGCTCTCCCGACGGCACCGCGAAGCCCCCGCGGGGAGCCGGCGCCGGGGCGCGCTCCGGGAACTTTTCAAAGGGCTCGAGTTGCGGGCCGTAGACGGGGGAGCCCAAGACCTTGAGGGGCACGCCGCCACCGTACTTGCCCGACGCCTCCTCCGCGGCTCCCGGCGGCTTCGGCCGGAACCCGTTGCCCCGACACTCGCCGTTGTCCGTTGCGGGGTAGGAGGCGCCGTCGGCCGCCGGGGCCTTGGCGGGCTCGTAGACGTACTTGCGGTAGCGGCCCTCCGCGCCTTCGTCGGCGGCCTTGCGCTTCAGCGACACCCCGGCCTCGGCCGCCTGGAAGCTGTAGGAGGTGGGCGCCGGCCGGGGCGGAGCGGGCGCCGGCAGGGGCGTGGGCGCCGCCAGCCCCGAGGTCAGGTAGGGGGCCGGGGGCGGGGCCGGGGGCGGCGGGAGGGCCCCGTAGCCGGGCTGCGCGGCGTAGCCCCCCGCGGGGTAGTTGTACAGCGGCCCCGAGGGGCCGTAGCCCGGCGGAGGCGGGGGCTGCAGGAGGGCGGCGGGGGGCGGCGGGGGCAGCGCGGTGCCGGTCTGCGCGCAGTAGCCGGGGGCCAGGTACCCCCCGCCGTAGCCCGCCCCGTACTCGGGCGCCGCCGACGGGCCTCCACACGCATTGCCGGCGTAGAGGGGGTCAGGCAGGTTCCCGCCTAAAACCGGGGAGCCCCCGAGGCCCCCGGAGCCGCCCCCACTGCTCGACTTGGTTCCCGGGAGGCCCTCGTGGAGTGAGGCCAAGGGGTAGGGTGGCTCCGGCCCTGGCCAGGGCTCGGGGTCCCCCTTGGCGCCGTTGAGGAAGGCGGCGTCGCCATAGCCGCCCAGCGCGGGGCGCTCGTAGGGAGAGTCCAGGACCCCTGAGTACTTCTCTGCGTAGCGCTTGAGGAGGTTGGAGGCTGTGAGGGCAGAGATGTCGTCGTGCGCCCAAGCATAGTGGCAGCGCTGGCGACCCCCAGGGGGCAGCTCCAACTTGTGGGCCGGCGACGGGGTAGTGGAGGAGACGTCCAGGTGCTGCTCTGGCCACTGGTTGAGGGACTGGGCGTGTTCCGGTGTCCAGTGCATCTTCGACAGAACTGCAGGCGAGAGGGAGAGAGGCGGCTAGAGCGGTCCTGCAGGGCCTCTGAGGGGCCGCCGGCCACAGGCCAGCCCGCTTTCCACCCCCCCACCCCCCACCCCCGTGCCACCCTCCGGGGCCTCCCTTCGGCAGACACCACATTCACAGTACTTGCCTTGGCGGGCACGGCCCAGGATCAAAGCTATCTGAAAACGCTTTCCTCAGAGAGGTCTGGAAACGATATGTTTGACCCTAACTTCACCTTAGAGGCAATATGATGATGATTTTGTCCCAGCCACACGAGCCCTGCCCTCTACAACACCTGGTCCTTACTTTCGAACCTAATGTAGCTGCGGGTCAGGCGATGAGTGAGACGCCCGGCCCCTGGAACTAGGCAAACCCAGGTGGGGCTCCTTCAGTAAGGCGCGTTTTCCGCACACCCACCATGTGCTAGGCTTACAGAGACACTAGGTTTGTATGAAGATGGATGGCCCCGCAGTTTGATAGTCCTATCTGTGCCGTTCACCCCAGCCCTCCCTGAGATTCCAGGGCCCCCTTTGGGCCTGAAGTCAGAGACTCCAGTGTGTGGGAGCAGTGCCCTGTGGTCCCTGGGAAAGCCCAGGGACGGACCCAGAAGCATTCACTTCCTTTCCACTTAGTTTCTTTCAGTCTCTGCCTGATGCAGTCAGAGCACCTGGGTTCCAGAACCCCCCTGCACATGCTGGCTGTGTGCCCAGGCAGGGGCCGCCATCTGCCTCGTGCCCCGCATGCTTTCCACCACCATACAGAACCGTTATTCAGAAGAGGCAAATCCTATTCCAGAGAAGATGGGGAAAAGTTAGGACAGGTCACAGCCAGCCATGCCATAAACGTGGCAGAAACGTTCCACAGAAGTTTCTTACACTGGCCTTGAGCACCAGCCAAGGCATGAGCCAAACACTGGTAAAAAGGGATTCAGGGCCTGGGGAAAAACACTTTACAGGCGCATGGCTCCAATGGGTTGGCCCGTTCTGAGGATTAAATCTCAAAGACTAAATGGGCCCGTGGCATGCCAGAGGCGGTTTTTGCTAATGACTATTTCTCAAACCTAAGCTTTTGCTAAGATATGTTAAACGGACAGGTTCAGTATTCTTTGTTCAAATTTTTATTGGGCAAATAGCGTTGTGCTAGGCAAGGGGGCAGGTTGAAAGGCAAAATGATGGTTTAGACAGGTGAAAAGGACAGGCAGACAACATCCTTTGTGAGGTGGGAAAATAGAAGCATGTGCCAGGGGCTCTGGAGCTCAGGGAAATGCGCCCTGCCTGGTTGAGAAGATCTCAGCAGGGAGGTGGTATCTTTACTGGACCTTGAAAGGTGAGGGGCCAAGTCGGCCGGGCAGGCTAGAGGGTTCCAGCACAATGCATTCTGAAAGCCAGGGCCGTGCTAGCTCACACGCCCTATTCCTTCCTCAAGACCCTTTACTGCCACCTTCTGGAAAACTTATGATAAATCTACAAACCTCCCGTGTCCATGGGGTGAATCATGCCCCTTTAGAAGGGCTCATGTTCAGTGTGCAGCCCGCATAACTGTACACTGCAAGCCTGGTGGGAGTGCTAAGAAGCGCGGCGTCCCTGGAGCCTTGGAAGTGGGTGTGTATGGGGGGTAGAAGAGGCTGCAGATCAAGTGGCTTCTGGGGTTCTCCACAGTTGTCCTTGCAGCGGCTTGTTGACAACACCACCTCTGTTGGTCTCACTACTGCCTATGGCTGTGCCCTGCTGTCAATGGGAGGGGACACTCTTTGAAAATAAAACTATATTCTCATCCCCACTGCCCTAAGGAAGGCGTGAGCCATAGATACTAAAGCTAAAAAGGGAAGTAGAGTTCTTTGAGGTTGTTTGGCCTCCGTCTGAGAGGTGACCCTGGCCACCAATGGCAAGAGGTTCGGAGCAGAGACGACAGACCTGAGAGGGAGGTCTGCGGAGGGCAGGGAGGCCGCTCTCCAGCTCCTGCTGAGGAGGGGTCCCCCCAGAACAGAGGCATTACCTAGTATCAGAGGGGGTGATTCCCCGGGACATCAGAAATCACAAGTGGTTCTGGTTTGCAGGGTTATATGAGGTAACATCAGAGTTCTACAAATGCGGGGCGCCTGGCTGGCTCAGTCGGTTAAGCGTGTGATCTTGATTTCAGCTCAGGTCTTGATCTGAGGGTCCTGAGATCAGGCCCCACATTGCGCTCTATGCTCAGTGGTTAGTCTGCTTGAGATTCTCTCTCCCTCTCCCCCAACCCCGTGCTCATTCTCTCTCTCTCTCTCAAAGAAATCTTAAAAAAATTCTCCAAATGCAAATACTCTGTTGTGACATGGACCCCAAAACTGTTTTGTTTTTTCTATTTACTATGATCTGTGCTTTGGCTCCTTAATATGGAGAAAAGAGATTTGACCTTAATCACACATCCCCCTAGCATGCTGGGGAAAAAAGCGTGACCCCGTCCCAGAAGGACACAGACACAGTAAAGAAAGCTCTGGATCTGGACTTAGCCACACGCACTTCCTTCACCCCCTGCCAGACCCTCTGCTCCCCCTCATTTCTGTCATGTGGTATCCTCCCTGCCCCTCTCACTCAGCTCCTACTGTGGCCTCAGCCCTCTCCACTCAGGTCCCCACCCTCAAGACCAAATACTCAGGCCTGGTCATCACTGAACCGCTCCATCTCAGCAATTGTGCACTCAGGGAACCCACCCCCAGCTCTCCAAACCTGCCGCCCAACTTCATGCCCACTCTCCTGCTCCGAGATTCGCCCCCTCCAGGCGCCTCCCAGCCCCTCCCTCGAAGGGCCCTGTCCATGGCCGCTCATGCTGCCCAGTTACTGGCCCTTCCATTACAGGTAATTCGCTGCCCATTTTAGTCAGGAGCACAGCTCCCTCACTTCTGGCCTTCCGTTTTCACCTTCATCTACATCCACTTCGCAGCCCAGTATACCTGGAGGGGCCATCCACCCCAGCCCTTGACCCCAGTCCAGCCCAGGCTGGGACCTTGCTCCATCCATTAACTACTCCACCCCTCTACTGTGCCGTTTCCCTCCCCACAGCAAGCTCAATTCTTTCCCACCTCCGGAAAGACCTCCTGGATCCTATGTCCCCCACTAGCTTCCAGCCCATCTCTCTGCCCTTTCTCCTTCACCCTATGGCCTCTGCTAGAGGTCCTTTAGACCACTCACTGGGGCGCGGGGGACCAGGTCAGCAAGTTCTGCTGAACTTAGTCACATAGACTGCATCTGGAGACTTCCTCTCACCTCTTCCAAGGGAAAGAACAAAGCTCTGGCCACAGCCAAGCTGCCCAAGGAGCAGGCTCAAGCAGGGAAAGGAGAGGAGGACAGCAGTTTGCAGGAGAGGGCAGGAGGGGAGGTTGCCTGACCCGCACACAGGCTGAGAATGCTGGCCTACGTGAGCCTGAGGACACCCCCGCACGCATGCCCCTACCGCTGGGAACAGCACGATGTGCACAGCTGCAGGCCCCGTGTGTATGTGTGCGCGTGTGCATGAACATAGACACACTCTGTCTCGAGCTTGCGGTGCGGCCTCAGTTGGATGACTCCTGACACACCCATGGCCTTGCCTTCTTCCCCTTCCAGACTCAGGGGGTTGGGGAGGGAAGCCGGGGGGTAGACCCTGCTGTCCCCCTGACCCCACCCCAGGCCAGTTACAGCCCTCCTGATCTCACACGGAGACCCTGGGCCTGCTTGTGGCCCAGCCCACAAGCTCCTGCCGTTCAGCCTCCTGCATCTGGAGGGGTCTCCTTCCCACTACATAGGCCATACTCCAGTGCCCCGCATCAGCTGAGATGGAAGTAAGGCCAGGCCCCAGGGATTTGTGTTAGGTGTGGGCTTTGAATCAGCAAGACCTGCGTTTGAATCCAGGCTCAGACACTTACTCTGTGACCCTGAGCAGATTACGTGGCCTCACTAAACCTTAATTTCTCCATCTGTGAAAGTGCATAACCTATGCCTTGTAGAGTGGCCACAAAGATTTAAAAAGGTAATGTGTGTAAAATATGGAGTCCTGTGTGGGGTACAAAATAATATGATACATGGTACAATTAAGAACCCAAGCAGGGGTGCCTGGGTGGCTCAGTTGGTTAAGCGACTGCCTTCGGCTCAGGTCATGATCCTGGAGTCCCGGGATCGAGTCCCGCATCGGGCTCCCTGCTCAGCGAGGAGCCTGCTTCTCCCTCTGACCCTCCCCCCTCTCATGTACTCTCTCTCTCTCTCATTCTCGCTCTCTCAAATAAATAAATAAATCTTTAAAAAAAGAACCCAAGCAGTGGCCTCACCATGCTGAGTGACTCCGAGTAGCTCCCCTTGGGGTTGGGGGAACTTGGAAAATGTTCTGAGGGAGGTTCCTTTCAGCTCTGATAGGACAGATCGCCCCTCATGCCATTTCCCCAGCACCCCAGCACGAGGGGCAGAGCCAGACCCTTTTCTGTGCCTTCCGTGCATTATCTTATGTAGCCTTCACAATGGCTCTGTGAGATAACTATTGTTACCATCTCCATTTTACAGATGAGGAGACTGAGGTACAGGGAGAGGAGATTAATACATCCCAAGGTCACACAGCTGTCACACAGTGGAGCAGGATTCAGACCCCAGTAGTATGACCACAGAGCCCAGGCCCTTACTCTTGCCCACACTGCCTCCCTGGTCTAGCCCTTGGTTCTCGCAGCCAGAGAAGAACCCGAAGCCTTGACAGCCTTTATCAATGCTCATTTCCTTGGTCCTATGGAAACACGTTTCTGTATTTGCCTGGGGACGCAGCTGTACCTCGGGTGCTGGGTATCTACCCTTCAGATCTGCAGTTGAAAGCACCTACCCCCTGGGGGATCCCAAGCTTTGCTCCCCAAGCAGGAGAATTTGTGGCTTCATTGCAAAACAGCCCAGGAGAAGCTGTCCCTTACAAGCACTCACTGCCCGAGGCTGGGCAGACAGGTCTTTACTTGAGTCTGCGACCTTCCCTGGGGCTGGCTGGGGCCCTGGAGAAAACGCCAAC